ATCATAACTCGGTCAAAAATTAAGATACCTATTGATTTGCAGTTTGCGCCAAAATTCTTAGTTTATTATGTTCTTTCTAATGATGTATCACAAGATAGGGGTTACCATTTGAAAAAATAGTCGGGAGCCCCCGCGCCTACCTGAGGGGGGTACAAAAATTTTGAACCCCCTAGAAGATGGTCCCCTTAAAGATAGAAACATCCCCAAACTTTCGTTTTCCTACCTCTAACCGTTCAAAAGTTACGAGGGGGGTTACGGACTTTTGGGACACCCTGTATTTAAGTGGACCCGACCTGAGAAGGGAACCATAGAGTGGACTCCTTCGATCAGCCGAGACCGCAACCCGCACGACCAAGGGTATGACATAACAACTGTCAACATACTTTTATTTAGTCTCTGCAGGTCTCTGCCATCAGTTCATCAGTTCTGGATATAGAGTACATAGAGTCGTAATGTAATTGGGAGAGCTGGCGCCACTTTTAAGCATTTTCCATGTCCCGAATTCCGAGACTCCTGTGTGACGCCGGGTCACTTTTTCGATACATAATCGATTGTTTGCGATACACGGGTACCCGGCCATCCGATGACAACAACAACAACAACAACAACAAAGGAGATAGGAATCACCATGTATTCCACACCGCCATTTTGGATCGAAAATGTATCGTAAAAGTGACCCGAACTCGGCGCACACCGGGCTCGGAACTCGTCGAGCAGAACATGGCGCCAGCTCTCCCATTTACATTACGACTCTATGTACTCTATGGTTCTGGATCTGGACTTCTGGCATTTCTGGACAATGCTCTAACCATAGAATCTCTAACCTCTAAATTTCCGATCATGAATTCATGATTCTCACTCTGTCAATTGTATTATCTTTTCATGAACAATGCTAGGAAATTTTAGATTTTCTAAATATTCAATCTCTCAAGCTTCTTTATGTGTTCTTGTTGTGTACATTTTTTTTCGATTTAGCCTTAAAAACATAGAACCTACGACTGAGAAACATCAGAATGTCTACCCCAAGAAATGAGAATGCTTTGACTCCAAATGAGTTTGTTGTAAGTTGACATTTTTTGTACCTATGTTCTTCCCATCACCCATTGCTCTATTTTTTTTCTCTTCAATTTGATCAGCAAGTAAAGGAAATATTATAAAGCCTCGCTGATAAAATTCCAGCCATACTGACGTCACTAACCAGGAGAGACTTACAGGCAAGTTATAATGTTATGATGAGGAAAGGAAAATTTTTTAAAGCTATTTACGTCTAATTTTCTACCACATCCTTTGCTTCCTTCTGATTACAATAGGGAGATGACCTTATTCTGCAAAAAATGTTGAATGACCATTCAGTGGTATTCATTCTACAAAAAGGTGATTTCACAATAAAGGGATTAGTAGTATCTTCAGTTTACTTTTTAGTGTCTTCAAAGGTATAGAAGTATTTAATTTGAAGGAGTTATAACTCTTGTTCAAAATGTTTAAAAGTTGTGACCCTTCATTGATTCCTGCAAAAAATGCGAGAGATTATTGTTGAGAAATTATCGTTGAGAAATTATCGTTACGAAGACTCTCAGACCATAAAATGTTCTGTTGGTTATGCGTAACTAACTTCCCGCTTTCTGGTCTAAAAGTCTTAATGATGATAATGTCTCATTATTTTCCACGAATCTTATGCAAGTGCACAAATTAGACAATTCCCAATGACAATTATTTGGCAATTATGTTCTTTTTCAATTAGTTTGTCTTACTGCCTTGAAAATATCCGAAAATGAAAGTGGCAACACCACTATTCCTGTTATCATGAATTCACCCAGAAAAAGACTTATTTATGAGGATTTGATTACTTCAACCATCTCTTGAGTTTCATGATACTAAAAGCTCGTCAAAATGTGGTGTCAAAAAGTGCTGGTCTTGTCAAAGCTTGCGATGGGTCAATTGTGTTCGGCATCTCCAATCACAGCCAGGAAAGAAACGAGCACTTTTAAAAAAAGACAGGGATTTACCCTTTATTCAAGAGCAGTTAGGTTTGATCATACAAAAGTTAAGAACCTAGCTCTCCCTCTTGCATTCCATTCCTTTTTTCTGCTCTTTCAGCACAGTACTATCCCTGCTCAAGACTTAAAAGGCTCATTTTACTTTATACAATGACCTATTTGTCCTCCGATTAAAAGTATTTAGGAATTCTTCCAAAGTATGACAATTCACTAATAAGTAATCAATCAAATGCCTGGCTTATGAGTCAGTTATTTAATTTTCCTGCTAAGTAATCTGATAGTCAGTCAATTTATCAACTTCAATTCGCATTTAACTTTGCATTAACTCACATTAATCTTTTGTCTTAATGCTTACTATGCAGATCACTCAGTTACTCACCGAAGTAGTATTCGAAAGAAAATATTTCAGTCTCTCTCCTTTATTTGTTGATAGGGTCGAGTATAAGTAAAGGAGCTGAGTTTACTTCACTGCCTCTGCCTGCACTTTTCATAACCTTATTTCTCTACTTGTTCACCTCTACTCAACGTTAATTTGATATCCTGTCTTCCTGTCTAACACTTTTCTAAACAAAGCTATGGTAAATGCCAAAGAGATTTGAAGCAAATCTGGTCATACTTCTCTCCAAATGAATTTTAATCTCATCAGCAGGAAGTTCTAAGCATTACAGTGTATTGTAGCGACACATAATTGTACATATAATTTGACTGAGAAACACTTTAAAATAGCTCCAAAAGTATATTCTGAGTGAATATCACGCATCATTTTTTCTTTCAATTAGAGTTATCCACTTGAGACGTACTTCGAAAGCTTTTTCATTATGTTTTTTGACCAAAATCCAAGTACAAATACCTGATGTGTATTGAAATAATGTGGTGTTCGACAATTCTTAAGAAATGTCTTCAAACCCAGGAATTATGAATTGATCGTTCAACTACCTATCGAATCATTCTCTAAACCACTGAGGAACCACCCAATATGAATAGTTTTATCCGCCATATCTATACTATAAGCTCCGAGACCTCCTAATTTTACGTAACTGGTAACGCTTTGTTCCAGCGTTCTACCGGGCCGATTTCCATGATTTTTGCGCAAATCGACAGGTAATAAGCCCTAGATGAGCCCGCTCTAATCAGATTTTGGAAAAAGGACCCAGGTTTTTTTAAAATCACGTTATTAATGTGAGTGAATTTACAGAATGCTCCGGGACTGCTACCGCTATGCGCGGAAGAATGCGCAGTGGTCGAGGAGGTTGTGCAGTGGATGTGTAGCCTGCGCATCAGCTCTGCTTATCAATACAAGATTCGCGCCACTTGCATCAAGATGAGCAGTGGCCGAGTCGTCTAAGACGTCGGGAGCGTCCACAGTGATCAAGGTGTGGGTTCGATCCCCAACTCCTGATTTAATTAATCATTACCTGATTAAAATTATTCGTTGTTTTACTGCAAAATTTCATCAAGCAGTCATTCCAAAACGCGTCATTTTGACTTCAAATACATTTTTTTCTCCTTTATTCATCAAAATCAAAAATTATTTCATTCTAAAAGTAAATTATACCTCATATCGTAATTTTTTAGGGGAAAAATAAAACTAACTGATAGAGGGTAAAAATATGGCCGCAAAGCGGCCCATTGATTGCGCGGAGCGCCTTCAGGGGGTTGGGCCGCGTAGCCCCCTAGTTCCTCTCTATTTCTTAATGAGGTTTTGTATTGTTTAAATCAAGTTTTTTGTACTTCTTACTTAGTATTTTCTCTTTATTTGGTAGAATTACAAATTCTCACGGGAAGAATTAAAAGCTATAGAAGAGTGCGATCATGAAAGTTTTATACAGAGAAGCTTACCCCTTGGTACCATGGCCTCTGCAGGAATGTGGTATGCTGTCAACACAGGTTAGTCTTTCCAAATGCCATATATTGGTATCACCATTGAAGAGAATTATGTATCATATTAGTCACTCAGACAAACATAATAATACATAAATCATGAATAATAATTGAAATAGACTCTTATTCATTTTATCAAATTCTTATTCATGACTCCCTTCATATTTTAAGAGAGGAAAAAAGGAAAGAGGAGCTAGAAATGCTATTTATGTACATGCGAGGCTAAATCTATTGGACGTATTTCTATCAAACGGAACTATGTGCATTAAGACATGAACCCTGAGACCCATAAGAATACATGCGTAACAGGGCTCACGTTATAATGCACATAGTTCCGTTTGATAGAAATACGTCCTATTGAGAATCGCACTAAAAGGTACACAAAGAAAATTCTCTAAAGTAAAGTTTGGCTGCCAGCTGTTTGCAGTGGTGCAAGCGCATAACAAACTGTTGCCAACAGCTCGAGCATTTGTGATCTTTATTCTTATTATTTGTACCCCTGCTTTTATCATAAACCTACTTTATTAATTCTGTAGTTTCAGTTCATCCAATTAAATCATTTTAATCCAACAGGTTTGATGAAAGGTAGTCCCAGGTTTGGGGCTTTTCCCAACATGCTGATCGCTGGTTTTGTGGGATATTTTATTGGCAAAGTCTCCTATCGACAAAAATGCATTGAAAAATTCATGCAAATACCAGACAGTAAAATAGGACAAATGCTGAGGGAAAATCAAGGGAAATCCAAAGGTGCCTTTGGAGAGTAAGTCACTGCATTTGTCAATTAGCTCTTATTTTTTTCCAAAGCAATAACTCTTTCGTTACAGAAATTCAACAGTGATGACAAATATGGATCTGTTTCCTGGTACAATGCATAATTTTGCTTGCTTGAAGCATTTGTTTTTTCATTTACATTTAAAAAGAAAAAAAAAAAAGAAAAAGAAGAAAAAAAAAAAAATGTGGAGATGTAGGTAAATTAATTCCTTGATTGAAGAATAAATACATCTAATAATTGATTTCCACATATTCAGAATTATGGAGATGGTTTTTTTGAGGAAACAGTCGATTTTAGTAAATCTATTAGATATTTCAACAACAAAAAAATGTTCCTCTCTCAAATGGATGTCATCAGTTGTTCATAGCGAAAAAGTGAAATCTCCGATATTACAACAATGCAACAGTTATAACAATGTCAAGTAATTTAACAAAAATTGTTTTCTTTTAATAGGCTATCTATTTTAACTGTCCACCTTTTTGAAAAATTGATTCCTATTTTAATTTCATCCCAAAAATCTTCTCTAATCATTTATTCAGAAAAATTAATGTCTAAAATTAATTAATTTAAAATTACCAATCATAATCTAAGTCTGTCCATTGGGGACCTTTCCCTAAAAATAAACCTACAATACTGTCTCACTCCATATAGGTGAGTAGATCTTAACATCGTCACCTTCCGACCAAAGTATCACAAGCGCCACTAGCCACTATGCCAACTTTTCAGGAGACACCGGATTTGCGACCGCCTCAGAGTTTCGGCTTGAAACTTGAAATACGATCCAACACAACTTCTTACCTTGAATTTCAATAAAATTTCTTTAAAGAAACATTTTTTTCTTTGAAAATTTGTGCTTATGATACTGCATTCTTGGGGCGTTCTGAGAACCCCTGGTGCTTGTGATACGGAAGCTCATCAAATAAAGGAACTTTTTCCATTTTTATTTATTTTTAATCCAAAGCAAACTATCATTTTAATATGTAAATGCATCTTATTAATTCAAAACCATCCAAAACTCAATTTCAATAAAAATAGCGCTTGTGTTACTCCGACCAACAAGTGTCAAATCTCTCAAATTGCTCCAGGTTCCAAGTGTCATTGAAATTGAAATCGTAAAAACTATCCCTAAGATGAGTGATTACCCAACTTGGCACTTGTGATACAGAAGTTCATCAACCTCAACCAAGTATTCTCCATATTTATTTATGTTTATTCTGAAAATGAATCGAAGGTTCAAAATAATGAGATGCATTTACATACGATAATAGTTGAGCTTCACGTCATTCCAAAGGCTGCTTTAGCTAAAATTGCAAACAATCAGAAAGGTGGGCGGTTGCTGAACTTGGCGCTCTTGATACTTATCTCCCAAATGGCGCTTGTGATACAAAAGTACATCAATTTTAGTCGATTTTCATTCATATTTGTACATTTTTTCTCTAAAAAAAAACATAATTTTCGTATGTAAATGCATCTCGTAATTTCTATACTATTCATAACACTATTTCGGTAAAATTGGCACTTGTGATACTTCGGCCGGAAAGTTACGACATGTCCTCACGAATTCCACAAGTCACCATCGACTGGACATCATTTGCTGAAGATCAAGATCGCCATTACAATCCCAGTGGATTATAGAAAAGATCTATTAAAACTACAATCCATGAGTAATCCAATAATAGCGTAAACAACACAGTTATTTTTTATCAGATCACAATTACCTAATTCATGACTGAAGCATAACATTGATCTAGGAAACATTATTTTTAAATAATTTTCTTCTCAAATTACAAGGGCTCATGATGGTTTTGGGAAATCCAGTTCTTTTATCATCTTGTTTTGTTTTAGTCCTCACATAGAGGAATGCCTATGAAGTATGAGTTCTACTAATGTTCCGTCTTTCCTTGCTCAGCTTTGATCCAGGGTTCGGGTCAGGGTTCGGCTCTTTCCCTAGCACAGCTTCCAGTGGACCTGGAGCCAGTGAACGAGGCAATGATGGTTTTAGTGATATATCTCCAAGGACTTATGCAGACCTAGACATAGATCGTCCCTTAACAAATTTCGATGATTCATTTTCTTCAAATAATTTTAACAGTAAGTTAATTAATATCCTTTCGTTGACTTTTTTTCCTCTCACCTACTGTATTTGCTCTGCTTGCAAAGCTCCTAATTACCTTCTTTTCGCATCTGTTATTCTTTGGGTGAAATCGGTAATATAATTTTTATCCTTTTGATTTCAAACATGAACTTTTCTGATTCCTTGAGTAGTGGCCAGATGTACCATTGTAGTACTAGCTGGCTTGTAAATGCGTCAAAGTGCATTTTCAAAACAGAACACAGGGGTTGTAAGCAAAATATTGAATCTCCTAGAGCTCCATATCCTTGCTTTGGAGTGAATTCCATCATGTATGAAAAATTGGTCTCAGTAAGATTACAAGTCCTTGGTTAAATGAAAGGACCACATTTTTAATAAAATAATTTTAATTTTTTTACATTTTAATTCAATATAATAAGATTTAATAAGTAGAAAAACCCCTCTTTTGACGCCTCATTCAAAAGAACTTAACAAAAAAAAAAGTTTTCGAGCTCTCCTGAAGTCATTATCTCAAACCATTTTAAGATGACGGCCAGTTAAAATTCAAAGTGGCTGAAAATTGGCACCGATTTTTTTGCCAATGGATTTGCCTGAAACTCGGTATCTTGAAATATTTTGGCATGACAATGAAGACTTTGATGTCAGATTTTTTTAAAAAAAAAAATCTATATTTGACCATTTAACTTTTAACAAACTGCCTTTTAGGAACGGTTTAAGATGGCTTTGGATTTGCGCAAATTCTTTCTCTTTTTTTTTGTTCTTTCGTACGAAGTATTGCGAAAGAGATCTTTCCACTTGAAAACAGAAGTTAGGGTCCATCCGTCTCCAAGGGGCCCCCTCTGAAAATTTTAGGGGGGCCAAAGAGTAGCTCCCCTTGCCCAAGGAACGGCCTCCAAGTTTCAAATCTTTAGAGCCCGTTTTAGATCACTTTTCCTCTTTCACAGTCTGGAACGGGATCTACCTCAATTAGGTAAAAAGTTTAAGGGGATGGAAGGGACTGTTGGATAACCTTGTACCTATGTTATATATCGATGGTGAAACTCCCAAACCATGTACCTTGTTTGTGGCGTTGTAAAGTCTCTGCTCCTATTTTATTTTTTCTATTGAGAACAGATCAACATTACACCTTGAAGTTTTTTTCAGAATTTTCCTCGCACAGAAAGGAGGAATCGTGTAAGTTTTTAAGTATTGACATTGAGTCGCTTTCCATTTAAAAAATTGAAGTATAACAGGAAGTCTGCAGCGTCACAAACGGAAATACGTGGTTTGGGAGTTTCACCATCAATGTCTCTTAATTTTTTACCAGAAATCCTTCGATCTTATGAGAGTCAAAAATTAGCTTTTATAGATACACTGAAGGATCCGAAATTGCTACCCCTGCTTCAAAGAATCCTCAGAGGAAATACTTTATTCTGAATTTCAACAATATTTGATAACTTTGTAAATAGTATCTGTATTACTTAGCAATGTATCCCAACACTTCTAGCACCTGTTCATGATGTGTGAAAAGTCTGTTAGGACTGTTCTGGTATGCTCTCCATTTCGATTTCATTGTTTTCAAATTTCTTGGTAACAAATTGATGAACAAAATATTTACAAATCTGAATTGCATTAAATTAATTGCAATTGAGGACACCGCACCAAGAACAACCTATAGGCGTATAGGTCGTTATTACGCCAATCTGCTTTTCGGATTCTACGTACCCTGGACTATGCTGTGGTAGCGATAGAATATAGATAGGTAACGTCTTGAGGTCGAAAAACCTTTTTTTTCCGAGGCAAGTCAGGCCTCTGGATCGATGGGTGCAAGAACGACCTATACGCGCGGCCTTATCATTCTCGGTTAGCGGGCATCGGCGCGGCGCGGCGATAGTGATGGCTCGATTTTTTGATCTCATTTTATAAAGATTTGTTTTTATTTCAGAAAAACGAGCTATTGAAATAATTTATTCTCCTCTCAAACTATCCTTTCCTCCAAAAATGTATACTTCGCATTTTGCCACCAAAATGACTGTTGGGCGTAATACGGGCCTATAAATTTAAGGGCCTATAATGTGCTAGTTACCCCTCTCTATACTCACCATCGATATTATTTTATTTTGCGTTAATCATGCGTGATTAAAATGATTTATACTGCATATTGCCACCAAAATGACTGTTGGACGTAATAACGACCTATAAACCGCTTTTTTAAATTAACTATATTAGAGTGTAAACCCAAAATGTATCGCAAAATCTACCCGGCATCCTTCAGTAGAAGGATTAGGTCACCCAAAAACACCAAAACAGGGTACCTGCATAGAAAAGTCTGCGCAGTACATCAAAAACAAAACTTTAAATGCGTTTTTCTCAAAACGCGGTTTCCAGTTATAGGTTGTTCTTGGTGCAATGTCCTCAATTTAACTTCTCTTATGTATGAATTTTCAATTTTTTTATGATATCAATCTGTTTTTACTTTTTCTGTGTAGGCTCTATCATCGAAGATAATCTGCCTGCCACACCACCTTCTGCAATGTACTCTTATGATGAATTAAGAAGGAAGAACAGAGAAGAGTATGAACAGAGTAGAATCAAACCTTATCCCAGGTATGTTCTTTTCAGGCTTCCCTTTTGTGCTTCGATGTTTGCTCTCTTTTGCTTATACTATAGTATACAGTGCTTACTGCTGTAGTTGTATAGATTTTCACAGCTCCAGGTTTTTTTCTTCTTTTTTTCTCTCTAATTGGCTGTTGACTAATGTATTACAATTGAGTGATTGAATCATGCATCTGTTTGTATCTCTCTATTAAATATACCCATTTTTGGTTGATTATTCTAGTCCACCAAGTAGCAGAAACATTATCGACAGAAAATATCAGGGGTGTTATTTGGATGGTGACATTTTTCCTGATATACAGTTGGCTTGATTTAATTTTGGTCAGAAAAAATGATTAATGAAATTCAAGCTATGAAAGTGGGGCGCAAGAAAGAGTGCCACTTACCCAATGGACGTCGTTAAATTTTGTTTTTTTAAGGTAAAGTTTTCAGGAAAAATACTGTCATCTCTTTTCAAGTGTATGCGCTGAACTCTATTTCAGCTTCATTTACTTTTTCAGGCGTGTGCAGCCATCATCAGCAGCACCAAGTCAAAGTCCAGATCCGCCCCCAGAAAGTCCCAGAATTTGGGATCAAGAACCCCCACCAAGAAGCTCAGCCAATCCATCCCAATCATGGAGACAGAAAAATGCTTATGGGGATGTTTGGGAGAAGTAGAAGATTTTTTTATTTTAGCTGTTTTTAAAGTTATCCATGAAATCTTGCGATTAGATACAGAAAATGCTGCCAGCTGGCACTTAAAGTCAATCAAAGTTTATTTATCTTTTTTATTTATATTTATTTATTTACTTTAAATGAGTTCCATAGAACAATAAGTTATCCCCCTCAAAATCAATAAAATGACATTGCTGCTTTATCTAGAGTAAGATTTAAGCAGTTTTTATCATTTTTCCTCATTGTGAAGATTGCATTCAAGAAACTGTTTTAATGCTGTTTTTTAGCTTTACTTTTAGTTTCATTTTTCTCATGTGTGTGTATCCTTTCCCTAATTTTTATACCATTCTATCTTTGGCAATTTCTTATTACTTACTAAAGAGGTTCCTAATAATCTATATGGAGGCGACTTTTCAGTGGATCAATTTTTTGTTGATAAAAATAAATAACTGTTGAAATTGTTTTTTCTATCTCTCTCCATTTTGTGACTAAAATTAAAATTATTTACTGTTGCGTCTAGCAAGCCGATCCTTAGCTTCTATCTCAAAGTTGTCAGCAATTTTGCAGATTTTAACGGATCTCTGTTATGATTCACGGAAAAAACCAAGATGTAAATATCTACTGAAATCTCACTTGTGCAGAGAGGTCATTTATTTGTTTTAGGCAGGAACTAGAGTTACTAACAAGTAATTTATTTGAAAGATTGACAAAACAGAAAATAAAAATACATTAAGAAGAGCAATTATTAAATCAAATTAAATAACAAAAACAGATAGAGGATTCAACCCATAATTTGACAGCATAGATTACACAAGTAAAAAATATACATTTTGTATGTACGCTCAGATGAGGATCGAAAAAACCAAGAACAATATAAGGAACATAAATAGAAAATTTTGCTAAGTCATAGTATTGGAAACATCAACAAAGGTCATTCCACAATCAAATACTTGTCAATATGCTTCTCATGTGGAATCCAGAACTTGCAGGATACAGGAAAATCAATCCTAACAGTGCTGTGGTTATAACGTTGTTGCAACTTCAGAAGAAAATATTTAACATGAGTGTGTCTGAAGACAGAATGTTGCAAATGACAACACTCACAAATTTATATCCCCCCTCTGTCTTGTAAATATGGTTGGGCTTATGTTTTACCAGCACAAAACTGGATCACATGAAGGATAAAAGTTTAGCTAGATCCTTACTTCATAATGAGAAAATGAGTATTTAGCACTCACCATGCTCTGTGAAAATAGGACCTCTAAAATTCAGTAGAATTTTGACTCAGGTCCAAACTCCTAACTTCAACAAGCACCGAATAAACAAAAGTATTAGGTAAGAAATCTGCCTAAGCTTGGAAAAAAGTTCAAGTCTGTATTTTAAGAACTGAATATTAAACATGACAACACTCGGAGCCTTTTTTCCTCTAAAAATATGAAGAGTTTTAGAAACGCCTGATTGATGCAGGAACAATAAGTTGCATGCGAACCTTGATAAAAATAGAAAACTAGTTTCCAATAAAAAATATGTTTTATTTCAGGTAACCTTAAAAAAAATATTTTAGAACTTATGAACCCATTTTGCTGCCACCTTTCCAAAATAGGCAGGTAGACCATGTATGTGTGAAAATTGCTGGACTTTTAGAGGGACAGTGACCCTAAAAAATACAAGTTTTAAAATTGATTTTGAGAATTTTCTGTGCACACAAGGCAGTTGGAAGGCCCAATTCGAAGTCACGCTGAGATGTATAATCCGTCCCAAATAAGATGATCATAATTTAAGGTGATTCATCAAACTCTCTGATGTGGCCATACTGGCGTGCGACATATCGCATCAATTGGGTCAAAAATCTTGGCAGATTTTGAATTTTTAGCCACCAAAAAGACGATAGCTCCGGCGCATGAGCCTAGAGAATCATTTTAACCAAAAAACTGACAAAAGTCAGAGGCAGAATCCTGTTTGGAAAAAAACCTTGCATTCGATACAGAAATCGATAACTCTGTATCGGATGCAAGGATTTTTTCCAAATAGGCCAAATTTGGTGCCTACTGGCTGAAATGTGTGTTGGATGCTTATTTCCTTGTGTTTCCTGCACTGCTAACTTTCATTTCAATCGTTTTAAACTACCTAGAGTTTTTCTGCATGAATCAATATTTATCTTCCAACTTTTACCACTGAGACATTAATTGGTGCAAAAGTTCCATTGAATACATTAATTGGTTTTGTGTGTTGGAAAATAAAGGAATTAATTAATGTTAAAACCCGATATGCCCATTCTCTGATGAGTCCTGAAGTTCATAAATGAGGCCTTAGATGTGACAATGGCGGATGTGAAAAATTACCTTTTAGAAACACTTTTAAAATACTGTTTTGTTCACACAAAAATTTAATACGTTTGGCCCTGGCATAATGTACAGATCTCGAAGATCACATCTCAAGTATTTTCTCAAAATTTTCTCGATGCCAAAACAGTTTTTTTAATGTGTTTCGAAAAGGTAATTTTTCACATCCGCCATTGTTACAGATAAGTCCTTAAATATACATAGCCATAGGTACAAGAAACGACCGTGTAAAGTTTTAAGATCGATTGATTCCAAACAGTTGAGGTTATTCGAGACAAGAAAGGCAGCAAACAATTTATGGGGAGAATATCTGAAATACAAGGAATGAGAAGAAAATTTAAATTAGAAGTATTAAGGTGGAAATTCCATCTCAGTTGACAAGACAAAGAATTTTATCTTTAAGTTAAAATACAAATTTAACACTTGACTGGACAGATAAAAAAAAAAAAAAAAAAAAAAACTTGTATTCTAATAATTAGGTGGGCATATGCATCAATCTAAATGGAAAAAGAGGGAAGCAAAGTCTCACTCATTAACTGTGGAATGGAGGATTTCATTATCAGCGCCAAGCACATCGGTAATGGTTGATTTGCAAAAAAAGCAATCTTTGGAGTTCATTAAATGATGTAATATACACGATCTGCAACAGAAAATTACAATTATTGTTATTAAATTTTAGCTTATATCAAATGTGATTGATTTTACTGAAATTTCATAAATAGTTCAAAAAATAAAAAAAATTACAGTAAAACTGCAAAAAATACAACGTAACAGAACAAACGTAATGATTGGAATGTCTCAAAATCTATGCTGATAAATTTATTTTTTAAAAGGAGACTAAACCAACATCATCCCTGGAAAGTTTTGAGAAGATTCTTGAACTTGATTTTTTCACTAAAGATGGGTCTGTGACACAATATGACGCATCTTGCGGTACAGGGAGCAAATGCCATTATGCTGATGAGCCCCACAACAATGATATTCTTTCGTAATCCAGGACTCAACAGCAAAATGAACTTTGCTCTCTTTTTTTCAAGACGCTTCATATTTTGCTTCTTGTATTGAAAGAGGATTGGTCCCTAATTACAAAAATTTTTGACCAGTAGAAACCTTGAAAAAAAAACACAAAACAATCCTCAGATTAAAATCATTGGATAGAAACCTGGAACGCAACCCCTGAGAAAGACAGATGGCTTAAGCAACTCATCACTGATCCTGAGAGCTGGCTCACTAGAGAACACGGAGAACCAAATTTCTTCATTACACAAGCACTCACAGGTCACGGAGTCTTCAATGGTTTTCTCCACCGTATCGGCGTTTCTACCTCCGACTCTTGCCCCTACTGCCCAGGGATCTTTGACTCCCCTGAGCACACTCTTTTCAATTGTTCTCAATTCTCAAAGGGAACGGAATGGAACTGGAATTGGACGGGAATTGGAGGACAAGTTGGGCGAACTTTCACCGTAAACTCATTCCAGAAGCTAATCACCTGCTTCAAAGAGAACTGGTCATCGATTGGAAATTTCCTCAAATCAACCTTGACTGCTAAGAGGAAAACACTCGACGAAGCCACCCTTTCCGATGTATGCCAACCGGAAATTCCCGGAGCCGCAAATGGATCCTGAATCTTCCTTTCTTTAACGGAAGTCCAGCCTTCAGTATCTAGCCTCCTATCTTTGTTCTTTTTTTCTTTTTGAGGCTTTTGTCCTTTTGTCTTTCCCTTCTTTTATAAATTTACCTTTCTTTCATTCATTGTATGAATTAGAATTTTTGTACCGATTCTTTTTAAAGCGGCAAATAAACAAAAAAACAAAAAAAAAAGATTAAAATCATTATCATCATCTTTGAATCATGGACTTTGTAAGTTCATTACTAGATGGTCTCATCTTGAAGTCTTGGTTTCTGCAGGGTTTCCACATTTCTTAATTTTCCATTTCTCTGACTTCCTTTGCTTTTCCGTGACTCCACAATTTTCAAATATTTTTGCTTTCCCTGACCATTGATATAAACTACAATCCAGAATTTTTTCTTTCAATTATACTCCTCAGCCGACACGCTACTGACTAAATTTCCGGGTTTTCCTTGGGAATTCTTTGACTTTTCAAGGTCACCGTAACTTCCCTGACTTTCCAGGGTATCGCGAACAACAGGAACCTGGATTTCTTCTGCATCTGACCGAGGTGTTATTTTAGTGGAATTTGCGAACCTACCTTTAAATTTTATATCAAGACCATTGATGAGCTATCAGAAAATAAAAAGAAGAATGGCAAAAGTGAAATCCTTGAGCCTTGTAATAAGAATTTAAAGCTGGAGCAAGTTACATACGATGGAAAACTGATCTCCGAAAAGACTGAAGTCTAAGGGTGAGAACAATTAAGAGCATAACGAATTATCTTAGGCAGCCACAGGTAAGCCACACGAATTTCTTAATCATTAAATTATAACATACTGGTAGTAGCACTTATTTAACTTGATAGGTGGGTATGTAGCCAAAAAGCTAAATAATGTGCAAGAATTAACTCACATAAAAACTGTTTTATTCAATTATAATTGTGGCCAATCAAGCTTTTCCGTACAATGGACCACTAGACAAGGTACGAATTTCAGCATTCTGATACATGATTCTTAACCAAAATTTCACGTAAAACACGATACGCACAACGAAAATTACCGAAATTAACTCCTTACGAAGATATTTAATGATTCTTGATGCGTGAATTGAAACCACCCGCTCATGAAAACTCAATGCTCTACGTGATTCACATCGAGCCCTAAACGTTATCATGAACGTCTCAGCGATATAAAAATCTGGCAACCTCAGTCCTGACGCTTTGGCTCAGCTACAGCAAGTTGCTTATAGTTTGAACAACACATGCTGGGAAATGAACATTGCTCGATATAGAAGCTTGCTGAAACCATTGTAGTGCGCGATTTGACTCACGTAGAGTTTTGAGTTTCTTGTGAGCGGGCAGTTCAAATTCCTCGTAACCAATGTGAAATGAAAAGGTTAATATCTTCGTTAGGATTTGGTTTCAGTAATTTTCGTTGTGTGAATCGCGTTCTACATGAAACTTTGGTTAAGAAACATGTATTAGTATGCTTAAATTTGTACCCTGTCTAGTGGTCCATTGCCATCGTCAAGACCTTTAGAGTCAGAACACTATATTTTAAAACCATTTTTCCATTAATAATATCAACTTAGGTAGGCAATTTGTTGACTAGGTAGGCAATTAGTTGACTAGGTAGGAATGTAAAAATAGAGAAGATGTTTCAAGGATTAATCACAGAGTTCAGCACATATTTCATCTTTTCATCTGGTTTGTTGCCAAATCTATTTCTGTTTGCACATTCAATAAATTACAATTTTTGTGGACTGCCTTAACAATTTCAAACTTCTATAGAGCTGAAACAATGTATTAGTTCCACTTTAGAGCTCCAACCCTGCCACATTGTTAGCATTAAAGCAGCTTAAAGTTACAGCCAGTCAAAAGCGACAGGCAAAAACCATTATCAAAGTATGTCAGATCTAAGGCTTTGAAGAGGGCTGTTTCTTGCTATTGGAACAGTGAACCTTCACCATGATAAAAATGTCTGATCCTTATGATAGCCCTGCTATCGATCAAAATAAAAGGCAGTCCCCAAATAATCAAGATCAGAGTATCTGGTCAAAAAGCATTCAAACGGATGAGTTCATCGATTTGTAAGTCTGTTTTCACAGTTAACAGTTTCTCATGAGAGGAAATAAATGATGTTTTACAAAGACAGGCAAAAATAGAGGATGAACTATTACCTGCAAGACTTGTGATCACAAGGTTTAAAAGTCGCTGAGATTGGATAGGCATAACAAATCGGACACATGTCTTCATCATCAATTTCTTTTGAAACCGACATTTTTTGTAAACAATGAGAAAGAAAATGAATCATTTGTTGAACTTTCTTGATTTCTTCTGGAGTAATGTCATTAGGATCTAAAATAAAAAAACAAAATATACCTTAACATCTGATATGTAGTGAGAATCCTATTTTTTTCTTTCTTTTCCAACTTTGGAAGAGAGAGCACTTCTTTAGGTATTACAACTGAAAGGCCACTGGCCAAAGTCAGTGATTCAATATTACACTTGTTGAATCAGTAAAATTTTGACAACCATCAACTATGGGTTCAGTAAAAATTTAATATGTATTGGAGCATATTAAAAAAAAAAAAAAAAAAAAAAAAAAAAAAAAAAAAAAAAAAAAAAAAAAAAAANAAAAAAAAAAAAAAAAAAAAAAAAAACAAGCGGACAAGAGAAATAGATGAAAAACTAAAATTTGAGTGAAAAAGAAATTAATTGATACTAGGAAACGACCTGACAATAGTTGACTTACTTCTAACCACGAAATTTTTAGCAGGTAAATCTGTCATTACCAAGATTATTACGAGATCTGTTAGATTAGAAACTGGATTTTGGTCATAACTAGCCCACAATGCGTCCGAATTAGGTTTTCTTGAACTTTCCTGATAGCTGATAACATACTGAAGAACGCTACGTTCACAGATTTTGTTGATTTTGATCAGTGTTTATTCTGTATCATCTTGAATACGAGTAAGTTAGGTGCGTTCTGCGATGTTCATCATGCAATCACTGATAGAGCAAAAATTTAACATTAAATTTTGTTTTAAACTCCGTATACATGTACCGAAACTTTTGGTATGCTAAGTAAAGTTTACCAAGATCATTGTATGAGTTGTCCTCACTGTTTTGAGTGGGTTAGACGATTCAAAACTGGACAAGAGGTCGTTGAAGATGAGGAGCATGGGAATCGACCATCAACGGCAACTAACATTTGGAAGAAGTGCGGGCTAAAGTGCTCGAAAATGGTCGTTTCGAGCTTGCTGAACAGTGCAATATTTCTGAAGGCTCTGTACATACAATGTTGATAGAATATATAGATATGCATCGAGTTTCAGGTACACTTGCCCCTTGATTGTTGTCCGTTGAACAAAAATCCAACCAAATGTCAATTTCCCTTTTGCTGCTTGAACGTTCTAACAATGATCCTACATTTTCGGATAGGATAATTTTCGGTGACAATACTTGAGTGTACGGCTACGATATGGAGGCAAAACTCCAATCATCTTTGTGGTTTGAAAAATGTAGTGCAAGACCGAAAAAAGAGAGGCGAGTTCGGTCAAACATAAAAATTGCAGAATACCCATGAGGTTGCCTTACTTCAAGCCACATACCAACAAAGCTTATTAGGATTTTTCAAATTTGCGAAGGTAGCGTTCTTAAGTATATTTCCAGCTATCAGGAAAAATTAAGAAAACCTAATTCGGACCTATTGTGGGCTAGTTATGACCGAAATCCGGTTTCTAATCAAACAGACCTCGTATTGGCATTTTCATCAGATTCTGAATTTCATTAAATGAAAATGTGAACATATTGTAATTGGATACCGGCATTGTCATTGTAAAATGCCCTGAAAAAGAAGCAGAAATGACCGATTCTTCAAAACTTTTGGAAAGAATCAAGTTATTTTATTCCTGAACATTGAGTCCATGGAAAAAGACTTATCGCCGGTGAAAGTCGGCAATCACATAACTCGTTTGCGGTGTCTGAAAATCTCCGCCTCTACGTCATTTTCTTAAAGGAGAACAAATTGACATTATTGCTTGAAGTTTTTGCAGAATTTTCTTCGCATTGAGAAGAAAAATCATGACAGTTTGAAAGAATTGCCGTTAAGTATTTTTGCCATTTAAAAAATAAAGTATGACAGGAAGTCTACAACGTCGCAAACCGAGTTATGTGATTGCCGACTTGCACCGTCATTATGTCCTTTTTTGGGTGACTACAAATATAGCCGCCCATCATGAAATGGTAGGAAAATAAGGAAGCAGTTAAGGATGCAGCTACAGTATCGTAATGAGGAGCATCTCAAGGGCGAAGTAATGTAATATGTATGCGGTTCTGCCTCTGATATTCTAACTTTTACATTCTTTTTTTGCCTTTTAGTTCCCTCTCTAATCTCGAATTAATGTTTTTATACAGGTACATATTTACATTGAGAAAATCTTGATGCATGTAAACTCATGAATTTTCTATACCTCATAACTTTAAAATTTTCTTGGAGCAATGTCTCTCTCTTACTCCAAGAAATGACGCAAAACATGCACTGTTTTTCTCTTAAACAATCCGAACCCTGAATAACTATCCCAAAATCAAGTTATAACTTGCATATTTTAACTTGATATTCCAACAAAAATTTCTTAGAGATCACACCTTACACAAGATTAGTTTTACATCAAAGGACAGTTTTCTTAAAAACAAGAATTTTCACACCCGCTTTTTCAACTATTGATTGTTGTCAACATGATCTTCTCCCACACTGAAGAGAAAGTTTCCAGAGAGAATAAATTTTGATATTCTTACAGCTCAGGAAGGAAAATATCCTTTCTTTTTTACGACCATTTGCTGGAAATCGAAGATCCGAATTGTTATTGCCAAGAACAAATTGTAAGGAACAGAGCTGGAAGCTAGGATCAGATAAAATTACTTTCGCCACAGTAGGAACATGATTTTTTTCTGAAAAGGGAGAAAAATTCGGTTTGAGAGTCAAACTACAACAGAACAAAAAACCTAACGATGAAAAACGGAAAAAATCATTGAATATACAATAGCTGTCTCGAAATTAATTCCACAAGTTGTTTTTTGGGGCAAACTACAATAGATATTAAATGCAATCTTCTATAACTCATTCGGTTCAGAATTCACCAATTAGCAGAGTTTTCCTCTAAAAACACATTCTCCAGACACCTTAACAATTTTTTAATCCTTTTTGAAACGAAGAAGTAAAAATTAAAATCTAAGATATCTCCTCAAACAAAGGAAACTGGATTGGCTTTAACGCCGAATTATTACGAGAAGCGACCTGGAGTGAATGAAACCTGAATCCTTCATCGGCATATTACATACCCGCTCACCTACATTCTCATGCAGGAGTTTGTGGAGAGGAGAGGCATGACCTCCCATGAGGATTCGACCCCCTCCCCCCTCCGTACAGTTCAGATCTTGCTTTAAATGTGACTTCTGGTTTTCCCCTGATGATAAAGGAAGTTTAAAGGGCCAACAAGTTGGTACAATTGATGAAATACAGGAATCACTGTCTTGGGTTATTCAATATCCTTCAAATAGTAGACTGTAAAATATACACCTCACGAACTCAGTAGGAGGAACCCGTGAATCAGACATGAAGGGAAAATACTTTAAAAAAATAAAAAATGATAAAAAACAAACAATCGTCAAGATTCTGATAAAATTAATTGATATTGTATGCTTCTGAGAGATAACTTATTGTGAAAAGTTCCTTTAATGCACAGATTTTTTTTTAAACTTATTTTTTTCTGTGGAAAAAAAAAATCCTTATAATCATAGAGGGGTGCGAAAGACACCTCTGTAAAACTCTATAAGTTTGTGAATTTTCAAGGGAATGAGCTAAACAAGCTTTCGTTTCCAAGCTCAGAATCCTACTTGTAAAACCATGAAAACAACATTTCAAAATCTGCTATAGTTTGCTCAAAAAGTGAATCATTGCATTATTTCTGGGACAGCCTGTCGGAGAAATAATCTATTCTATCAAAGTTTAGAACATTAACTTCAGAACTCAAAAATTTAGTGGATATCTCGGTTATCATCTGCAATAAGGAATTCTCAGAACTGCAAGGATTATGAATAATTAAATTTCTCTGATTTCTTGCACTTTCCTCTTAAAACTATTGATACCAGGAAAAATTTAGTTGTATTGAGACCATATCAAGAAAAAATAATTTAGAACTGACAGGTATATGTTTGCCTTTATCTACAAAATCCAGCATGAAATGAAATATCCTAGTGATACAGGGAAATGTTCATTTGAGTTCAATTTTCATTTTGAAAAGTATGCTACTAGATAGAAACAATCAGAAGGGCAAATCGGCAAGTGTTTCAGGACTAATTAATGCCATTGCCAATGGGAGGGAAAAAAGAAGGCAACGCCACCATTTTTTAACTATAGAAGAAACCAATGTTCCATGTAGACTTACCAATTTCTGAATCTAATTCATCATTTAAAAGTGCTAGAAGGATTCCAACTACAGCAGTGAGAATTGGGTAGTGATCAATTAGGTCCAAGTCCGGAATCTCAAGAGATATGACGTAGTGAAAACACCCAGATGTTGCACTTACTCGGTTCAAGATTTGGCAGAGAAGCTGAGCAAAAAATATCTATTGTAAATACTAGGACTACTTGATGGAGTAGAGGAAATTACTGATGCAAATGTTTGCAAAACTAAAGATCTGTATATTAGTGGCAGCACACAATATTTTGACTTGCATACTTACTGAAGATTTTTGACCACTTCGTTTTAAGAAAGAGTTACTTAACGAATTTGCATAAACAGACATGTTAACTTGTGCAGTTGCAAAGTGTTTGTTTCAATCCTGTGCGTCCTATTTCCCAATAAATAGCACTATGGGTCGGTATTGTTCTAGAGATCATTCATTGTTTAGGTACCCTGAAAGTCAACTTGCCAATGCAAATTTATTCTGAAACAGCACTTACAAGTTAACTGAATTATGTGTGCAAATTGTTTAAATATCAACTTATGGGTTGTACCCTCCACTTTTGGGTAAACTGTTAACACCACTCTATTCAGGAATTTCTACCACATCTATTCAGTGCACATCCAAAATAAACTAAGCCAACTAAGAGTTATGTTTTTTTACGATTGGTTTCGATTTTTTTTTTGGAAGAGAAAAAAATGGCTCAACCGCTAACAAACAATAGAACAAAAACAATGGTTTACAAAATAGAATAATAAAAACATTTTCATATGTTTTACTATGACTGTAAAACGGTCTCCCAAAGTGAATTTAATTTAATTTATTTTAAACTCTGATGAGGACTCTCTTATGCAGTTAGGCTGCCTTTAACTTTTACCTAAAACGATCTCAATTTGAACTCAAAATTCATTCTTTTCCAGTGGCAAAGTGTGGATCATTGACTATTGATATTTTCCTATTTGAAACTATGGTGAAGACTCCATTATGTACTGCAATGTTCATTGGAAACACGCTGATAACAGATCCTTTTCCATAGGTTTAAATAGATCTGTTAATTCATCAGAAAGCACAAGATGCAACTGTTCTTTTTTCTTCTAATTCCATTCGACCTTGTTCAATTATAATGATTCGTAGAGAATAAATCAACATAGCGGATACAATCAATATTCAGTCAATTGAGTAAAAAAAACAACAACACACTACCTGACACAAACGCTCTAACAATGTTTTTGATGATTCGTAATTGAGATCAGTGAAGACAAAGCGTGCTGTTGCTGCAACCATCTCAAGGACTCTTAAAAGAGCAAGCGCTAAATCAAAACATGTGACACAAACTCGCAACTGTCGTGAATCGATCAGAACCCGCTCAGATCGGGATGATAGATTCTGAACCTGTTATGATGATAACACACAAGGAAAAATTATATCAGTCAAAGAAATGGTATCACGATAAAATATTCAATGTTAAGTAGGCATTGTTCATTGGAAAGTTGTAAATTTTAAGGTCAAGAATCCATTGATCAAGAGGCAAGTTCAGCACACGGGCACTGCCTAGAGTGCTAAATTGTGTTCCCAATCAGGAGCATCCACAGAAATGGATCTCTATTCCTAGTTGTGCTGGTACAATCTGGTTGCTCGAGCACTTAAGGCAGAGATGGCAACCCACTGCAGCTTTTTTCCAACTCTATATGTTGGGTAGGTGTTTCACATCATCAGAATTTGATGTTGTACTTTCTAATGCTGACCTTCTAATTTTTTGTACATAATTCCAAATTGTTTTTTATTCATATTGGCCTGGTTTCAATAAATCTGAACAAATTAATGTTATACTACTTGATTTTGACCTGACGATGAGGCTGTGGTCCCCTCAAATTGGCCCTCCTCAGGTAAAGTCATTTAAATTAAGTTAGAGACGAGTAGAAAAGAAGAAGAAGAAAAAAAAACCATGCGAGTACTCTCTCTCAAAGGGAAAAAGTAATGGAGGTAATAATAGAGTAGGCATCCAAAGATAACCATACCTGATTTCAAAATTATTCATGGCCAAAAATCATGGTGCGGTTATACATTGGAATTTTTTTCACCATATATGATAGGACCACATTTTTCTATGAGGGACAAAAACATAGGTCATCTACATGCGCCTGCAGTATCAAACGTTTGTATTGAAGCATCTGTTTGCTGACCATTGAGATCCTCAGTGATGAGGTTCAAAAGTTTCCTGATAGGAATATTTAAAGGAGAAAAAACTACATTTTCATCTTACCTCCTGAAGCATGCCAATAAATTCTGAAAAAGCCCAATTAAGTTGATTCAATACAGAGTTGATGAAACTTGTGGCGAGGGTTTCATCTCTTAGAAGTACTTTTAAATGCTCCTGAAATATAGTGGATGGGCACGGCTCTGGGGGAGAAGAAGCATGAAATGTTAGTTTTATGTTTACATTTAATTTTTGAGAGGAGGGTCATTCCATGCCAACTGGTGCTACTTTGAAGACGTTACCCCTTCAGAATTTGATGAAATTCAGTATACTTAGTGTACATGCATAGCTAAGTAAAAATTCAAAATTTTCAGTTGATTCGACCACCCGTTAGGTTTTTATTAATTTTTTCTTTAGTTATAAGAAATTTGTCTCTCCTGCTCACAAGAAAAACTACAGTCTACTGGCATCAAATCGTTTACTGCAACGGTTTTGGCAGGCTCCTTGATGAGCAGTGTTCATATCTCCTGTCTGTGCTGTTAAAAGTGTAAACAAAATGCAATAGCTGAGCCGAAGCGCCGATATTGAAGTTGTTGTAGGTATACTCATATTGCAATGACTGTTATGGTAACCTTTAGTTTTCGATTTTAATTAAGTAGATTTTTTAAGGTTTTTTCTACGAATGCAAAGTTTGAATTGAGTCAAGTGCGCAGGTCACAGAATCGTATTTTGATGCTTGGTTCTTAAAGATTAGCAAAAAAGAATGAAATCTGTCCAAACAGCAACTTTCTACGTTCAATATTAATCGAGATGACGCCCTTTGAAAATTCGTGTTTTTGGCGTCATCCACCGCGGCAGTGACACCCTTGGTTTCTTCCACCGTTCTTTCATCAGTCAGTGTGACGCACATTTGCACTGATTACTCGACGTGAAACTTGGACGAAAGCAACATGGAAGAAACCAAGGGTATTACTACTGCTATGGATGACGTCAAAAATCCGATTTTTCAAAGGGAGATATCTCCGTTGATATTAAGCATAGAATGTTACTGTTTGGACAGATCTTATTATTCTCAGCTAATCTATAAGATTAAAACATTAAATCACGATTCTGTGACAACCGCAACTGACCCACTAAGTATCAAAAAACGAAAAAATATCTCTGTTAGTTGTTACTTTCAGTAATTTTGTTTGTAAAAATTGTGTTTTAAGTGAAATTTTGATGAAAAAACATTTATCATTACGCTTAAATTTGCACCTTGTCTAGTGTTTTTTTGGATTGATTTAACCAGAGACAACTCAACTGCATTTCTTGTAGCCCAATTTCCTCTCAAATTACATTTGTTTAACAGAGAACCTAGCAATTCATCGCCTCGAAACTTACAGTGAATTATCACTGGATTATAGGGAATAGACTCACAAAATTTCGATTCAGAATGTTGATCAGTTTTCTAATGAAAAAATAAGATGAGAGAGGAGTATGTAGAAAATTAAGCATGCATGCATGTATATACAACATGGGCTGATTCTACTCAATTCTGTCCAAATAATCTATATGGTACGGTATATATTGTATTACTTCTGCATGGAATTAAAATTGCCATTTTTCTGATTCATAATTTCATCATCGAGTCTTGTTGCTACTCGAGAGTCAGACATTCTCATGTGGATTGTAGTGGCTAAGGGTAGCAACACCACAGCACGCAAGCAGAGAGTTAACTATTGCCACCTTCAACACACAGCATCTTTACTACCTTCTAATTTCTTCGACTTTTGATTTGGGAAACATACCTATTGATTGATGAATTATACTGGTTTCCAATGATAGAAGTTTTGGGCCAATTCGGGTTTTCAAGTGCGGTGATCGTTTACATCGAAAACCAAATCCATGCCCTTGCCAGAAACGAACCAGAATCCAGTTATTTTGGGCCCATGCTCGATTTTCATAGGATTTGAGTAAAGCTTGGACTAGCCTACAACGACTGGAACAGATGAAGGAAATAATTTTTAAATAGAACTTATCCTTTTTTATAGGGATCAAAGTAGTAGTGAGCAATGAGTAGGAAAATTATTGGTAAATTAGCGCAGTTTTTTTGAAGACACTAACAAGAAAGAGAGAGACAAAAACCTAAAAGACTAGGCAGCAAAAAATAAGGACCTCAATCATGCATAAATGAAGGTATTGATCCAAAGCGTTCAGTCATAAATGATACCAATTGAGACTTGAAGTGCTTCTCTAGAATGTAGGAGGTATGAGGAATGTCCCAAAGAAACCCAAACAGGCGCAGCTACTCATATACCAAATTACATCCAGAGCTGATATTTGTTTCATTCAAAAGAGGATAGAAAAAGCTGTCATCAATTGCTACCACCATTAGACCATTAGGCCATTTTAAAACAAATTGACAAAGTTATGCCATTTTAAAACAAATTGACAAAGTTATGCCATTTTGAAAATTAAAGTATGCAAACCGACAACAGACTCTTGAAACTTTTTTTTTAGAGCTATTTGCAGAAAAAATTGAACTATGAGATGAAAAAAAAAACATTGTTATAAAAACCGTAGAGGCTTTGTTGCTTATCGACGGTGTAAGTTGGCAATCACATAACTCGTTTGCGGTGTCTGAAAATCTCCACCTATATGTTATTTTTTCAAAGGAGAACAAATTGACATCATTCTTGAAGTTTTAGCAGAATTTTCTTTGCACGGAGAGGAAAAATCACGGCAGTTTTAAAGAATTGCCGTTGAGTAGTTTTCTGTTTAAAAAATAAAGTGTGACAGGAAATCTGCGACGTCGCAAACAGAGTTATGTGATTGCTGACTTACACTGTCGTTATGTAACACACTGCATTGCTGAGCACACTGTTGCTTATACGATGGGAGAGGCCATAATCATTTACGAGTCACTAAACAGAACCGTTATTGCCGTATTTGCCTTCTTGTAGGTAATGCTGTCACCTAATTTTCTAAACGGCCAAAATTTTGTAAATTTTTGTTCAAATACGTTAATTTAGGCCTCAATCAATAATTTTCTACCTTACGTTGAAAATGGGCCTCAATTCAACTTGATAGGTAGAGACTTCCTTTGAATTTCAGCGCAAACCTGGGTCTTTTCGGGGCAACCATTTACAGTTTCAGCAATAAATTACTTAGAATTAAAGCACTACTCAGGATAGTTTGACAAAAAACTGAGCTTAAAACTCTTACTGAAAAAAAAAAAATTCATCTTAAGTATATTCCACTGCATACAAAATAAAAGATACTTCATAAGTTCTGAAAACAAATTTGGCAAAAGACAGGGACAGGAAAAGCTTATGTTGCTACTGTTACTGTGATAATTGCTGTGTTATTCATAGCATTAAACTTACACGTCAACATCAATTTTTTCCAATAAACGTAAAGTCCTTTCATTAGAAACAAATTCTGCTAATGCCTGTACAATTAAGTCCCTTGAATTTGCACTGACTATGCGGGAGTCATCGAATTGTTTGCACACAAATTCTTCAATGGTAAAAAATAATTTTTCATGACCTGCAATAGACAAAATCAAATTATAACAGCAATTTCAAAGAACTATGTAATTATTTTTCATTACAGCTCATTATCGTGTCAATGTAGTCTGCCTCCTAAAAAAGAAACTAATACCTTGCTTATCAAGACTGATGAACAAAAGTCAGACATTTACCTTCTTCATCATCTATTGAATGATGAACAAATAATAACATCTGTGAAGACTTAGAATATTAGATAGCCCTTTAAAGGCTAAGAATCCTATTGAAGACGTTAGTGTTGGAATTCAAAATTGTTTCGAACAAATTTGAACTTTCTTTCTTGTAATCAAATCAATTCCAATGTTAAGAGTCAAAAAACTGTTGATTCTCCCTTATCTAACATAGTACTCTGTACACATAATTAACATTACTTACACTCAAAAGACATGACCATTTATTTACAATGATGGATTGAGATGGTGTAAAAAGACTGATAGATATAGAGACAAATTACCTAAAATCTTCTCAGGTGGTAAGGAGGGGTAAATGTAATCCTTCAGGACCGACATCATTTGGATTATTGTTTCAAGATAGTACTCTGGAACAAAACCATAAAGCGGTCCTGTCGCAGAGGCATTCATGACACTAGTTATCATAACATGCAACAGCCAGATGATGTGACTTTGCTTGGTATCCGAATACAGTACTCCTCGTACCCAGGCCATGTGCCGTGATTGTTCACAGATTTGTTTTTCTAAGATCTGAAACAAACCGTTGGTAATTAACAATTACAACAAGATGATAATGAGGACTTGTTTTACATTAGAAAGGGACTTTAAACCCATGATTCAACTCCACATACCAGACAGCTCCGGTCATTTAGCCTGCTTAAATTTTGCACTGATCAGTTAGATTGGATGGAATTTTCTTAGATATTTCAATTTTCAAACAGTAAACGGAGCGATACTGAAACTTTAAATTTTGTGAGCATACTTTTCTTAATCTAGGGTAAAAGGACCACTAGACAAGATGAGAGTTCAAGCATCCTGATTTAAAGTTCCTTATCAAAATTTCACATAAAGCATGATTCACGCAACGAAAATGACTAAAAACAACTCCTAAGGAAGAAATTTCATGTTTTTTGATGTGTAAATTTGAACCCCTTGCTTAAGAAAACAAAAGTCTATGTCAATCAACTCACGCATTAAACGTTAGAATAACAGTCTCTGCCGTATGAAAATTTGACAACCTCAATCTCGCTGCTTTGGCTCAGCTGTTGTATGTTGTTAACACTTTGAAAGACTTAGGGCGAGGAGGAAACATTGTTTGATGGAGCACCTTGCCAAAATCGTTGTAGTGCCCAGTTTGATTTAAGTCGATTATTGTTTTTCATATGAGAGGAGACTACAAAATTCCTTTAAGTAACGTAAAAATGTAGGTTAGGAATTGATTTCAGTCCATAATATCAGTTGCGCAAACTGTGTTCTGTGTGAAATTTAGGTCGGAAAACATGAATCAGAATGCTTAAATTCGCACCTGGTTTAGTGGTCCATTCACAGAAAGTTTAAAGGGGCACGGTAGTTTATTTCTCTATTAAAAAATTACACATGAGAGGAAATCAGGCAACATGAAATGCAGTTACGCCGAATTCGATTGAATCTGTCTAATTATAATACTTCACTTGCTTTACTGCTTTTTCCAGACAGCTGCAAAGTTAAAATATTTCAAAATTCTACCGAGTAAGTTCTTAATTAGTGCAGCGATCCTTGCATCCCTGTACAAATTCATTTCTTTTGTTGTTTTATTTTTCTGGAATTTAATGGTAGACAAAAAGAATCTTGTTTCTGTTGAAACCTAAAAGAAAAAATCAATGGGTAATTCAAAAAGTAGCTTGTTATAATATAACATAACAAATAAACTTACATTAGCATATTCATGAAGCTCATCATTCCACGCACAAATGTTCGTAGAGCCTTTTGATGATGCAAGAAGAGTCATATTCAGACAGCTAACATAATCTTCCATACTATTTCGCAAAGAGCTTACCTGAAAAATATACTCCAGAAAACTAATAAAAGTCCACCCTCAAAAGAAATGCAAGGAACATTATAAGATGAACCTCATTATTTTGAAGGATTGAGCTATGAAGACATGCATCTTTAATGGAGTGTTTCTAACTACGTGGGCCCCTCTTATTCACAAAAGAAAGCAACTGACTATTTTGTGCAGATATTCTGCAGAATGTTCTTGAAATAAAAAGAAAAAATCAGACTGAGTCATGCTCATGTGGCATACTGACAAAATAGAAGTCGCACAATAAATTGGATAACCCCTGGGTTTATAACTTAAAAAAATTCATGATACAGTCAAACGTCACTAAATCAGAACCTACTGAAGTCGCAAACCCTGCTAACTCGGTAATGATGGCTTGGTTCCGTTTTTTTCGTTTTGCCAGTACAAAGTTTATTTAACTCAGAAACCCTGCTAACTCGGTAATGATGGCTTGGTCCCGTTTTTTCGTTCAGCCAGTACAAAGTCTGTTTAACTCGGAAACCCCGCTAAGTTGGAATGAGCCCTTTGTCCAGATGCATTCTGATTTAATGAGATTTGAATATGAATCATTGGATGGGTGGTTGCCAGGCTCAATATTTTCCTGATGACAATCAAGAAAATGTTAGTGTTGGGGTGGAGGAATATGTGAAGGAACTGGAAAGGGGTCATGTGCGAGCCATTTTTGTGTAAAAGCAAAAATACTGATGGTGATATAATAAAAAATTTTGGGTCTGCTGCAGTGCATCAAAATTAGTTTCCATATATTAAACGGAAATCAGACAGAAAGATTGCAACCTTGCGGGTTGTTTGCCAAATTGCCCTTGAAAAACCTTTGATTTTCTCCTTTCATCCCTAACAGCAGGGAACAAATAATATGAGAATAATCATGAGCAATGATTAAGAAAACAAAATTCCATATGGTGCTAAAAGAGAGAAGAGAACAAATTTACCTTCAGTAACTGTTTATGAGCAGCTAAATGATAGAGTAGAACTGCTCCATCCAGCAATTCTATTAAGGAGGCATGAGAATCTGCTGATCCTAACTGTAGATTCTTCATACAGAGAGGAGTAAAGGACGAATGACTAACAACAGCAGAAACTGTGACAATTTGATCCAGCTGAGACACTCGCATATCTGAGCTTGTGGTTGCAGAACTAAGGAAGCGAGTTAGCACTGGTAGCAAACTCGCTAAACCTGAAGCTGCCTCTCCTGTGAATTCACCAAATATTGCACTGGAAAAATTTGGCTCTGAAACAAAAAAGTCAATTTAAATGCAAGGTACTTCTGATATAAATTTTAAATTTTACTTTTACTTTTAAGAGGTAGAAAAACGGAAGGGACCTGGGAGAAAGGAGTAGGGACTTCTGGAAAAGTGATAAAATAGAAGGAATTTTAGGACGGAACATTTTTTTCTAGTGACAGAACTAATGGAACAATTGCTCTAGAATTTCATTTTGAAAGTCCATTATGGTAGACAAATTGAAGAGAAAGCTGGCTTGAATGCACCTTCTTGCATCACTGATGCACTTATATGCACTGTAACCCTGCTGTAATTTTGAGATAAAAGGGTAATTGAACTTTTCATACACTAAAATGTCATTTGAAAGATGACATTATCTCTTCGGGTTTATGGCATAGTACTTGAGTGTCTGGTTAAATGTTACTGAATCTGAAGCTTATCGCAATTTATCAACTTTCGAAGGAGGATTCAACGATACTTCTAACTGACACACTGGATGAGAATTGGCCAAGAAGCATGGATTGTGCGTGTTTTCTGATGCAGATAAAGGGACAGTTAAACTTTTACCCTGTCATCATTTTCTTAACGACGCCTCCTTTTGAAGGAAAAAAAAATGAAAACCTAAAATGGTAAAACCTTAAAAAATTGATGCTTCCCATTTTTTTATTTATTTATTTTCTTTTCAGAACAAATAATGATTCTGAACTAATTTGCATGAAATATCCAACATTAACAGGGTTTCCTTATTGTCGTAGTTTTCCAGTTCCCTGACTCTCCCAGACTTTTCTCCAACTCCAAAATGTCCAGATTCCCTGACTTTCCTTGATCTTTGGACAAAACTTCCTCTTGGATTTTTTCTTCTTAAGATTACATTATTTTACATTACTGTGACAGCGAGCTGCTTGCAAAATTCCCTGACTTCTCTATGAACAACCTGACAATCCTCGACTTTTGGAAGCTGCCAAAAATCCATGACTTTCCAGATTTTCCAGACCACCGGAAATCCTGATTGATCACGGTGAGAGAAAGAACCCCGCACAGACCTTATGGGCAATGGCTCTCTCTAGAATCTGATGAAACTTGGATATGTTGCTCAGCTAGTCATTCTGATCAAAAGTTCTAATGGGCCGAAAGAGATCCCACGAGCGGTTTTCGAGATATTCGCCGTTTTATGTGCGAAAATTGAGGTTTCGCTGGCCGGACCGTTGTGCGGCGCCTCTCGTGTCCTTCCCGTCCAGTCCACTTCGGCCGCTCTCCGCTTCCCCGCCACCCATACCCGAGGCTCGGGCTCCGACGCTCACGGTGATAAGACTACCCGGCTCGGCGGCGATAAGCAAAACCTCTTGAGCGTTGGAGCCCGAGCCTCGGGTATGGGTGGCGGGGAAGCGGAGAGCAGCCGAAGTGGACTGGACGGGAAGGACACGAGAGGCGCCGCACAACGGTCCGGCCAGCAAAACCTCAATTTTTGCACATAAAACGGCGAATATCTCGAAAACCGCTCGTGGGATCTCTTTCGGCCCATTAGAACTTTTGATCAGAATGACTAGCTGAGCAACATATCCAAGTTTCATCAGATTCTAGAGAGAGTCATTGCCCTTAAGGTCTGTGCGAGGTTCTTTATTTTGGCTTTTTCTAAAGATTCTAGAGAGTGAGATACTGAAATAAATAAAATATAAGCAATATTTATGATAAATTAATCCACACACAAGTGAAATATTGTACCTGGATCAGCATTTAAATCTGAAATGGAGGAAAACAGAGGATGCTCTGGTCCCAACTCTTCTATTAATTCCTGTTTTGTGTTTTTCAATAAAAAACTGAGGACTCCTCCTAGACGATCCATATTTAAAAAATTGATAGATCCATCAAAAAAAACTTTATGTGGAATTAGTACAGGTTGATCAGGTACTTCTTGCTCCCACAAATCACGTGCTGCGACGATGATTCGATGGAAGCAGCAAAGCGACATTGGAAGAGGTGTATGCAACATGGGAAGACTCTGGAAAAAGAATTGAAAGTATTTCATGAGCAAAAATTCAGTATTAGACTTGATTAGAATAAGCTTAACTCTATTATAAATTGCCTGATTTTATTCATGTTTTATTTTTTAACAAAAAACTATGACATATTCAGACTTGGAATTTTGTGAGAATATTCTCTACTATCGAGAAGAAAATCAAGGAAAGTTTCAAGGTTTCATGGTGTGCGGTTCTCTCTTAAAAAATAAATCATCTGAAAAAATGTATCAACTTGAAATGCAGTAAAATTAAAAAAAAACAAAATCTGCTTGATAATTTTCAAAGAGGGACCACCATTAACAAATAGTTTTGCGGAACTGTAAATAAATCTTAGAGACACCTCTAGGGATTCAAATATTTGAAAAAAATTACACTAAAACTTGAAAACCCTTTTAATCGAAATCGAGTTTGTTAAATGGTGCTACATTGCCAGTACGTGCTCACTTTAAAAATTTCAGGATGAAAAAATATAATCATTTTATGACATCAGACAAAATATTTGAGCAAACCATCTTAATTTTTTGTTTTTCTTTGAGTTGTATCTAAACCCCGCGAAGGATTCAAAAATGAGTTTGCTCATACTAAAATCCGCGGATCCTGAATTCTATTTACCATGCTCAGGTTAGCTTGAGTCTCCTTCGACAAATAGGTCAAATACAACTTTGAATGTTATGGTTATGACAATATTTATCTCAGGGGTAAGAGGATAATGTTAATATAAAAGCTCACGGAACAGGACGCTAATCTTCTTCCCCTGAGTCGCTTTTTCTATTCTTGGAAAAGTTTCATGTTTTCTTTAAATAGAGAAGTGGAAAAATCTTGAGATAGCACAAAGCTGATAGTTCAACAGCCTAATTGGGTCCTCATTTGCCTTTCTGATAAGTTGTTACTATCGTTAGGTTAAACACTTAGGCAGCATGCCTCTTAGGAGAGAGGTGGGCACCTCGTGTCAATTATTCCTCCAACGAATAGCATCCAAAGAAAATATATTTTTGAGACCCCACACTAACAATCAAAGCTATGTAATTGAGTGAAGCTGAAATTAATTTCGGAAGTGAGAGTTAATTTTCACCTGGTGATGCTTGATGAGCAAATTGTTGGGCATGAAATTTGTCAGATGATTACTGATAACTGTCAAGGTAGGTAAGCACTTTGCTCAGTGAGTTTTTGCAAATTAGGTTAGGTTTGTTAAAGCAACTACACGGAAATAAATTGCTGATTTAACAATTCAATTACTGTAAAAAATTGACTGCAATGTTTCAATGTAGATTTTACAACAAAAAATGGTAATTTAACCACCTTCGTGGTTAAATTAGCTTACAATAAAGGTTAAAGTAGAGTTTTTTTGTTGTGAAATCTAAGTCGAAATATTGCAGTCACTTTTTTCAGCGATTGAATTGTTGGATCAGGAATTTAATTTTTCCCGTGTACTCAACATTTTGGTCGTCAGTCAACATCAGACAAATTTGAGCGTTGTTTTCTGAGAGAACTGTTTGCACTTTGAGGAAGGTTGCAGTGCAAGGTCTCTAAAATATATTGTCTCTGATTGCACCAGAAAGATTTTCTCAACAAATAATTCCTGGTCTAATCAAAGAAGTTGACCTGCTTTATTCAAGAAAAATAAATGTTAAGCTAGCAAAAGAGTAGGATAATTTAAATCTTACCCTCCACGGTAGTAGATTTTCATTGATGAAAATGCGGAATTTGTGCAAGAATATGGATCGGGAACAAGGCTCTGTGGATGAGCCATCGGTATTTGTGAGGAGCAATTTAATAAATTCTACTTGCATGGTCTCCAGTCCTGGAGAAAAAAGATTTTTCAAAACTGATAATATATGACAATGGAGAAAAATTGGACTGCAAGCTGGTTAGTGAATATAGCAAAGAGAGCTTACCAAAAGAGTTTTGATCTATTAATAACATCGCAAAGGTACATCTTTACAATCAAAATAAATGGGTACGAGAGAGATGAAATTCCATAATATCAACCAGTTTGTTTTGTGCAGTCTTGGAAATAAAAAATGGTGAATCAAGGGTAGAAAACACTTTTTTTTTTTTTTTTTTTTTCAGAATATGATACAACCACCTTTTACAAAGTGTTAATTATCTTCTTTTTACAAATATGATGACTTATAAATTGACTAACGTCTAATTTTCATTTTTAGCTTTAACTTGTATAACCCATTCTCGCACAACACCCAGACTACATGCAAACGTTGAGTGAAACGTTGAGAAAACACTGAGAATTTAAATTTAAATGATCAGCTAAGAAAAATTAAAAAACTAAAAATCTGATTCCGCCCTAACATAATCTCTCAAACATAAAGGACAATGAAGAAGAGATGAGACAAATACACAGTGCCTAAATTTTTTTTCCAATTTCAGATCCCTTCCAAGGCCGCAGTATCCCCCGGATATAAAGCCTAAAACAACATAAAAATTAAAAAAAAAAAAAAATACACAGTGATAGCAGGGAAACTTGCAAAACTCGTATCTGATAAGTTGGCAGTTGTAAATTTTCCATTTTCAAGGGACTGCACTGCTGCAGACTAATACTAATCAAAAGATAGAACTTCAAGAGAATATTATGTATTAATTCACCTGAAACTGCTTGATTGATGCATTCACAGGATTCTAGGTATTCTTCCTTGGAGTCAACATCTTCATCAGAACTTGAAGGGGAAGCCTCTGATTTTGGCCACCATGTACAGGTGACAATATCTTTCAAACCATCATCATCCAAAGGTTTAATGTGCAAGAAATTCGCAAATCTGCAAAGGAAAAGAGCAATTCAACACCTTAAAAAAAATAAATAAAAAGAGAGCGAAAAAAAATTACAAAATTATCGTAGAGTATTCATCATTACTGCCAAATGAAGCTCCGTGGAGCAGTGACAAGGAACTTATGCAGGGTTGATGTATGTAACCTCCTGGGTAAAATTTTGCGAAAAAACTTAAAAGTTCATTGACAAGTTTAAAAAAAAAACATTTCTAAGAGGAGAAAAATATTATCAAAATCCGACAAGTCAAAAGCCAACTGTTGAGTTGGCGTAGCAAAACGATAACCAAAGCTGATTGTGAGTTCTGCTTATCAGCAGGCATTCTTTCCCTGCCTAACTACGGCATTAGGGCTTGCAGAAATATCATTTCAAATGGATGCTATTTTTGGCATTTATAAAATAGAAATCTGAAAAAAAAATCGTGGTAGCTCGGTTCACTCGGTATTTAAAAAGAAGAAAAAAAATTTGAAAATAGGTGCCACTCACCCATTCCGGTCTGTAAATATTCAATTATTTACTTATTTTTTTAACGATACATACATAGATGCTGTCACATGACCGCTGTGGTGCATCTCAAGAGGGAGGCTGTGTAAAAGAATTTAGGAAAGCGAACACCTAAGAACTATTTTAAATCATAGTATGAAAATTAAAATGTTTTCACTTCAACCGAAGATCTACTGAAAAAAGTCATTGTCAGTCAAACTGAGATGGAATATTATTAAGGCAAGGTGAGATACATTCAAAAGACCGTGAACTAATATCAAAATTGATGTTGATTGCAGAGTGCTAAATAAATAGGAAAGGATATGCTGGAGAAGCACATCATAAACAGCCTTTATAAAGTACAAACATTTAGAAACTGAAAAACAGCTTTCATACTTTTTTTTATTCATTTCATTACTCTCTACAGAAATGATTCTAAAACTGTGCTGAAGGGAACTCACCGAATTTTGTCAAAGAAGATATTTTGCAATAAATACTTTCTGGTTTTTCCATGCATTGTCAAAGCTGTTAAAACGCACAAAGCTTCACATTGATGGGGGTAGTCTATGAGGTAAGCTACGTGTCGATAGCTTGAAAGAAGGCAGCTTATGATTCTCTCTAAGAGGTATTTGACATCAACTTCCTGCAAAAACCAAACTGTGTTAGTAAAACTTCAAAAAATGCTATGAGGGTTTTTTACTTATTTATGGAACATGATGGAACTGGTTATCTGTTCGAACACTCCTGCTTGACGTTCGGATTGGCCAGAACACAATCCACCTCAATGGAGCAATCTAAAAGTTTCATCAGAACCCATAGAATGGGCAGGACTTCAACAGTGATGGTGGATGACAACAACAGTGCATTGCAATCCACTCTGGTTCCAATACAAAAAAGCCCTGAAGATTAATATGAGGGGAATCATGCAAGATTTCCATTGTTTCATTAAAAGTAAACAAAATTTAAATATAATTCTACATACAATAAAGCAAAAATTGATACTTTAACAATATTAAAATCTACTTAGGATTGTTGTCACTTTGATTATTATAATTTTTTTGTTTATTCTTTTCTTTCGATGAAATTTGCCAATAAAAATTGTAAAATTAAAAAAGGAGGAAAAAGGGGAGGAAAGAAAGAAAAATGAAAAGAGGGAGAAATCTGAATTTTGACGAAAATCTTTTTTTATGACCGACTACAATTACTACAAATATGGAGATAGTGTGCCCTAAAAAGCAGCTCAGGTTAGATTTGGATTCATCTCGCTTAGTTCCATCTCCTTTGAGGAAAATTTTTCCAGTTCAGGTGAGGAGAAGGGGCTCAAAATCAACTCTCACTTGGCATAAATATGAGATTTATTTTGGTAATAAGACATTTTTTAACTAGAAATGCATTGATTGAAACATTCAAAAAGATACAAATTTAAATTTACCTCCATTAAGAGCCAGACGTAGTCCATGAAGCGAAAAAACCTTTGAATTTCTGGTGAACTGATATCTGGTACCGTTTTCTTTCCATTTTGAGACTCTTGATTGCTGAGAGTCTTCTTGATAAACTTTAAAATACATTCCTCTATGATAAAGTTATCTTGCAAAAATGGTGCAAGTTCAAAAAATATCATTCGTACAAAAATCATGGTGATAGCTTCTTTCGTGATGACACCATCATGATTCTAAAAACAAAGAACAGAGATGAAAAATATTAGGCAAATACTAGAGAGATAAAAGAAAAACCCAAAAGGTAAAGAGAATAAAAAAATATGATCTTACATTTTTTGGAGCATTTCACAATCTTATAAGATGCTTTACGAACAATTAGTATTCCTGGATTTTATGGTAATTTTACATAATAAAAAAGGAAAAGATAAGGTTCATGGCACATACTTTTTTTTGTTGGTAAATCATCATCAAAGAAGTCATAACACCGTATCTTTTGGTTAGCATTCAGCAGTGATAATTGATGGAGGGTTCATGTAAATAAGTTACAGAAAAGAGATTAGATTAAAAATGATTGATTTACACCAAACAGTTTTTATTCTTAAATAACTTAAGATCCATGTGAAGATAAATAAAAGTGGATTGGATAGTTAAGGAGGATAGCATTTACTAACTAAGGAGTCCTGGGTTTTAAAATGATAATATAGTATTCTGGTATTAAATTATTTTGGACTATACTTATAATAATAACACATGCAACCCTAACTCAATCGAGTCAACAAATGAATAAAAGAATTAGTGCTATCAAATTAAGATTTACTCACAAGAGAGTCATGATACACTAGAAGACTGTTCAGCCACTCAAGGATTTGGTCAACCTTCCCAATTTTTGAACTGGGCGGAAGTTGCATTGGTTCATAACCAACAATTGGATACTTAAAAGGTGTTGCACCAAAATTGACAATTAAATTCTCTGCAAATGCCAAACTAACTGCAGGGAAGTAAGCTTTGCCAGGTCCAAGTTGGATATCAGAGAATGCTTCACCCAGAGGGTGACCATTCCTAAGCAAACAAATTATTTTCAGTCAGGAAAAACAATAGATAAGAATAAAGGGTAAAAACTCGAGGTTTTTAGTAAACAAAACAGGAATAACAAACACATGGAACTGGCAATGACTGTGCCAATAATCAAAGTCATATTTCAAAGGCAGTGCCATGATACCACCACATGCAGCAATAAGGAGTCCACTCAGCCATGACTCCATCAAAAAAAATTCTAAAACAATCCTTAGCTTCAATAATAATAAGAATCCCCTTCGACCTACCTTTTTGGATCTTCATGTACAGAGAAACAAAGCTCTATTCTTGGGCAATTTTACAGCAGAGTAGCCAAGATCGCCTAATATTCATTGTGCACATGTGAGCTAAGCTCAGGCAAGTCGTATGTAAACACCGTTTTCTCATGAGGACTGACAAACTAAAATTTGTTACTCCAAGTAGAGGTATAGAGACTTACTGTTTAAAAAAATAAAACTTTGTGGAATGGTCAGGATTTTAAAATTTTAATGAAACGATCAACATTTTTATAAACAGTAAAAGCTATTGTATTAAAACTTTTGAAAAATTTAAAAAAACTTACGCTTTCACTTACTCATTATTTATCGGACGCGTTTTAGTGGCTACCTGGGCCACCATCATCAACTGACTAGAATCAACTGATGATGATAGTAAGAGATATGAGGTATGATTGATAGTCAGAGAAACTTTAGCAGATGTTGAAATTTTCTTCAAAAACCGAAGAACTACTTAAAATCCAATCAGATTTTTGCAGACTAGGAAAATTACGGCAATAAGTACCTGAAATAATTCACGGATCCAATATTCAAATCAATGGTAACAGAAATTATGTCTCCCGTCAACCACAACTCGCCATATGAATCTGTAGAAACATTCCAACGGCGCTTCCGATTACCATCATAGGAAAAAGAGTCAACTGTGTCTCCTGAAATTAGATCCAACAGTTATAAATCACTTCATCAAAATAATAATCAAAATCTGGTGCATTAAATTTCTCCAAGAAACAAAAAAGGAGAATTTAAATTTGATGGGACTTTGCAGACGGGGATGGAGGAATCTGGGGATTGAAAGGAATTTGAAGTACATTTTTCAGGTCCTTAGACCCTATTTTAGGGGTACTTTGGAAAAGACTAACCCTCTTTCGGGGAATTTTCAAGTGAGGTTAACTCAGCAGTTGCCTTGAAACTGGGCAATTCTCAAGTAAATTCTTGCAAAAAATATGTTTCCAATCTTGAAGACCTCAAAACAGCTTTTGTAATTGAAAAGAAGAAGCTTGCCACTGTGGTAATAAGAGAGGTATTTTCGGTAGCCTGGAGCTTATGATGTCATAGGAGGTGACAGCCCATGATTTCAATCACTGTGAATCTTATGTAACTTGGCTGCTGTATAATTCATGTAACAAACCAACGATTTAATTTAGAGAAATCAGCGAAAACATTCTCTTGTAGCAGCAATGATATTTTGATTACGTTCAGAAGTCAAAACCTTCTGTTGTGATTGTGACCAGAAAATAAACTGAGATATGCACATGAAAGGATACACAACGGTTAGCTTTCTTTGTCATGTAATCTGTGGGTGCGGTATTTTTTCTACTTGGAATGAAGTTCCATTCTTGATCAGTTTGAAAGTCATTTTCTTAGCTTTATTTTAACTAAATGAAAAATGGAAAATTCGGAATTATCTTTCTTTAAGTTCCTTCCAAAAATGATGAAACAAAAATCGTCAGCGTCAGATTCAGATTTGGAGGGAAAAAAATTGTTAATTAAACTATGATTCAATCTTTTTTTTGTTTGTCAGGAGGGCCATTGAATTAATGATTAAAAAATAAGAAAAGAGAGAATTTACTTACCAACTCCTACTTCTTGGGTGAATTTACTTCCACGCAAAGCCCAACCTATTTGCATAATACCTTTGGAACCTAACTGCACTTCGTACTGCCATTTTCCTACAGGTAAAAAACAAAGTTTTATATTTGCAACACAAAAAATAAATAATAAATTTTGGACACCACAAAGAACCAATAAATTCTTCAGATATACCCAAATAGACCATAACCCAAATAGATGTAACTATTGTCATTTATTAAATCCACTGTAGAAAATAATCCACAAAAAACTAACAAAATCTACCTACTGCAAACAATAGTTCTCTCTACAATTGAGATTTGCCCACCTAGGTTAGATTTGAGATAATCAATTAGAAACACATAGTCTTAAATAATAATTTTGCCGAGATTTTATGGTTGGCCATGGCAAACATGGTTTAATCAAATTACATAATGATAAATCTTGATGTTAGGATAGGTACATATCAAAGGGTAATTTTCTATCCTTCAGGTACTGAACTGACTTACGCCACTCTTGGCTGCTAACGCACACCCTTCATGAAAATACAAATAGGTATATACAACAGAGTAAAGCACTCAACAAAGGAAGATACCTTCATAAACACAGGAGTTTGCTAGGATTGTGCAAAAATTACTCTGCGCATTCAGAGAAAATTTATCAGGCCAGAAAAAGAAGTGTCCAACTTTGCTATGAATATCAAATTTTGTCACAGCTGGTCCCAGTCTGCCTGGACGACTGTCAACTTCTGGATTGTTCACAAAACATTGGTCTAATATTCTTTTCATTGTTATTTGGACACATTGCAAGCTAGACCTAAAAGATGGAAAAAACGAAGTGAATTAAAGGATAAAATACCAGTGAGGGAAGAGATACATTCAATGAAAAGCATTCTTAACCAACCTGAATAAGGCGCTTGCAAAAAGAATAAATTTACATACTTGGATACAATTGTCTATTTTAGATTATCCTGCCACGACCTTTCTTACATGTTGGCACAGGTGTTTCATGTTCGACATGTTGGTTCCTTTAAGCAAAAATAACTGTAGAATGGGCATACCGTCAGCAGTTGTCATGTTCCCAAATCACAGTCCTTCTCAGTGTTTAGTTAAAGTTAGAAATCACTTGACAGTATTATTTGGGGAAGATATTTTAGAGACCTATTAAGGAGCCATAAAATTATACTGTGTGGAAGAACAGATTTATCATTTTACAGTGACATATTCACTGCCAACAACTAGCGCCTGAAATTGTCCCAAAATTAGGAGCTCTTCAAACACTACCCAATGCAAAATTGAGGAAGGGGGGGATTAAGTCTAGTCTTACGTAAGGCTCTCCTTTCAAAAACAAACTATATTTTCTAGTAAAAGGACTTGTTTAAAATTATTCTTCAGGCTTCCTCCATTTTTTTCTGACAAATTGAGGAAAGGAGGGTCAGACCAGTCTTATACATATTTCAAGGAAAGGGAGGTCAAAGGTTGCCTTATGTTACGGGTGTTTAACAAAGGTAGGAGGGGAAAGAATGTCAAGAAGGCAACCATTGTGCCTCACACAATACTTAAATGGCCCCCTCAGAACAGGTGCTAGCACCTGACACTGTCACCAGCACATTAAATTTAGGCCTTTTTAAACATTTATACAATGAAATGACACTATTATTTTTTCTGTAAAATATGTTTTTCCTATCTCATCTCTCCCTTCCTGGACATAAGCCTCAAGGGCTCTATTTGGACAACCTCTGAGACCCATATGGCAATGAGTTCTTTCTTGTGTCCTTCTTTTCTTCTGAGTGTTGCCCCACACATTTTGTTGGACACCAGTTGTAAAAGCTAAGGGGGCTGACAACACATACATATCATGACAAGACACACACAAATTAATGCTATTGACTGTATAAAAGGTACTACAATTAGTCATCAATTGGTACAATCTTTTATCGATGACTTGGAATTTAATATTATAATAATGAACATAGGAGAATCATAAGCTTCCTCTTGGGTCAACAAAAATTATGTTTAAGTAATATGATGGTTTAATTTGAACATGCCACATTAGGTGATAAAAATTTTTCTTCTTCAAGATTGAACTTCTTAAATTTTTGCAAATATTTGGCCTTGGAGAATATATCAAAAGAATCAACACCAATTTTGGTTGATTAATAAGCCCTGGAACTTAAAATATGCTCCTGTTCCAATCTGGCGACCTCTATCAAAATAGTGATTGAACAAAGAACAATAGTTACAGATATACTCACGAAGAGAGTGGTTTCCCTTTAAGAGTACAGGTGTTTTCGATAGTATCTTGCAGCTCCAGGAAAAAATACTCTCCAAACACATTTAGAATGATGTCACGTACTTCAACCGCTGAAAAGAATTAAAAAAAGGAACAACATTCAAAAGTTGCATTAAAGGGAAAATCAAATTTTCATGGAGGAGGAACTTCTGTCATAAGAATAGATTGTATCAACCATCATCAATTTATTACTTAGTCAAACTCATCAATAAAACTTCCTAAGGCTGAAAATTTTTTTCCCGCAAGATTGGCTTAAGTATTAGAACTTGCGTCAGATAAATTGGTGGTTGTTTATTTTTGGCTATCACACGCAGTAGAGCAATGTACTTTTTTGTGCACGGCGGAAGCATTGCCCCCAGTTAATTCTTGATGGCTTTTTAATAACTGCGATGCAGTCGCTTGCAAATGGAAAGTAAACGTCTGTCAACTTGTCTGACACAAACCACATCAACTTCATAAGGCTGATGCCTGTAATAAACCTTGAGTTGGAACTTTGATGGACATCTAGAAAGCAATAGACTGATTATGATGGATTGGTTTGTTGCAGTAAGAGTAAGTGATATAGGATTAGGTCAACCATTTCTAAACGCTACTTTTCTTTCAAAATTGATCTCTAAATTTCAAATTACTCTTTCAAGTAACTCTCAGAACTGCAGCTCAGAAATTATCTATGGTAGAGAAAACAAGAACTGCAACAGTCAACTGAAAGGTAGCAGTGTGATGCATTTTGTATGGGGTTGCGGCATCAAAAGCTTGGTTAAGTCATAAGTACTGTAATTTAAGGTATAATGCTTAAAATTCATTGAAAAGCACAGGTGTACATATCCTTTTAGTTAAAATGATTTAATTCACAAAACTGGGATGTAATGAAAATGAGGAAGATGCACAATAATCAAACTCCAAGATACGTCCTAAACTCAATTTTGTCAGCAAAGGTGCTTGGGTTATTGCATTCCGAAGTGGAACAATCGATTCTGAAAGAAATATCTTTCCCAAAATATAAAACTGTTGACGAGTACTTACTTTTAATGGGCACGTTTACTCCGTAACTAAGCATTGATGCTTTTATATTGAGCTGTCAAGGGAAAATTGTAAATATTTGGACAATTTTATCATTCAAAATCTAGGAGAGAAAAGTCAAGAACAGCAAGGGAATACTCAAGTAGAAATTGAATTTCTGTCTCAGTTGCCAATCAAAACACCCCATCACTTTGCTGAAGCAAATAGGGAAATATGATTGATGTAATGACGCTAAAATGTACGAGTTACGATAAATTACATTGGGACAATGGAGAAATTAAGCATGAACATTATTAAGTTAAGTTTGTTCTTATCACAAGTACACAGTTATCAGTAAACCATTTGAACCATTCAACCATTCTGATGGAGGCAGAAGCAAGACAGGGACAGGGACAGGGACGGAACAAATCACTTTACACGCAGCAATATTGAGCCATGATGACGTCTACTGGCACCAAAACGTGATTGGTCGAAATACGCTCCAAATAAAATTTTTTGAATTTTAGAATGACGTACCATAGTGCTGACCTATACTCCATACATCTTCATCTGATCTCCGATTGCCTTGATCATGATCATGTGTTGTTGTGGTGTTCTGTGGTTGTTGCTAAACGACCACACTCACACTAGTGATTTCGCGCCTTTTCTCTCCTCGGAAACTGTAAAGCATGTTGAAACTTGTTAGAATTTTGACATCCTGTGCTACCGCTGATTCTTTACTACATTGCTTCAGATATTGATTGTACTTTTCCAGGAATCGGTTCAACTTTCGTCACTACAAAATGTTAACTTCCAGAATCGATTCTTCCAATCCCAAGCGGGGTGTCATCGTTCGAATTTCTTGCAAAAACTTCATGTAAGTCAAGTACTATTATATCACTTCACTTGAACGATGGAGCATTTTGTTCGTTTTTCCTTATGGAATATCATTGATTTAAGATCAGATTTTCTCTGATAGTGTAATCGACTTGGAATGTTTTCATTCGTAGACACGCAAGGTGTGAAGTCAGTTTTTTCCTCATGCCTGCACCAAAGGTGTCCTATCGGTTCTTGGTAAGCTTTTAAAATGGTCTCATTAAGAAGTAGTAATGATAAAGCCCAATTCACACTATCAAACTTGAATGCAACTTGTTGGGCCTTGTCCACATGAGCGCGGTTCGCGGAACTTAGTTCGAGGAACTTGTTCCCCAGAACAAGTTTGAGCTAAGCTGAAAACTTATTCCTCCTTAACCCGGAACTTCCCCCGTACTCTGAGCTTCTACATATGTTTCTTTTGATGTGAATTCACTTGTTTTTGTTTTTTATGTTCTTTACATGCGTCTTGACGTTTTTTTTGTCATTTTGGCGGCTGTAATAATCTATTATTTTGCATTAATTGTATAGTTTTATCAAAGTACTGCTTCCAGTTTGGGCGAACTCAAGTGGACAATATCCCCTTTCAAGGAAGAAGTTCCGGGAACTGAGCAGTTCGTCGTCTAAGTTCTTTGAACCAAGCTCGTGTGGACAGGGCCTTGGATGAAAGGTTGGAAAATATGATACCGACCTGAGAAATCAACAATCTGATGTAAAATTGAATGGAAACTTGAATGTGATGGCACGGTCAACTTTTCATTCTAATCTCATCCTTTTGGTGGCTTGAATGGAAAATTGAATGGATAGTAATTGAATCAACATTTGTTGCTTCCAACTTTTCGTTCAATTAGGTTGGACGTAAAGTTTGATAATGTGAATTGGCCTTAAGAAGATCTCTTACCGATAGCCATCCAAGTTTTCAGAGCTGCCAAGAATTAACTGTCGTCATATACTTACCCATATCAATTTCATAGGCCTAGCAACCCAACAGACAGTCATATGAGGCAACAATAAATTGACTTGGAGTTTGAGCAGTTCCATCAAAGCTGTCTGTTTCTGACAACAGCGACCATATTGAGTTTGCCAGTATCTTGAAACAGGTTGTAATTGCTAGCTTTCCATCAAAGATTTGTTTAAACACCTTTAGTCAGCAGATCTAATTTACTCTCAGCTGTGCCTGAGAGTATACCAGCGAGCACTTTTAATCATTAATTCCTTAACGGTTTTGTGCTGATCAAACAAGGGTTTTGCGAGAAATTTCCTGGAAATAGACAGGGGAGAGTGAGATTGGCAATCAGGCCTCAGGCAGACTCAACCCCGAGGTGCTGATCTGCCATGATGATTTTCTCGCATCTCTAGCCTGAGACCAGGCATCAGCCAGCACCTGGTATGAAACTATGAGATGGAGATGGTGCCTGTACGCAGACAGGGGTCAATACGCTTGCTGTGCGCCTCCACCGAGGCCAAGGATTCCCGGTTTCCATCTTTCCGGAAATCATCCTTTCCGTAAACAATGGTTCTCGAATGTGATTCTTGTCCAGATACTGCACCCTGAGTTCGATAATTTCTTGCAAAAGGTATCTGGGGCAGGGTGCAAAATCTGGGATTAAGGAATTAAGAACAAAATGAAATCTGTAAAGCCATAAACAAATGCTACATAGAGGGTAAGAGGAGAAAATTTTCAGTTAGGAAGTTCTTGAAATATCTCCGGAGTGAGAACTCTGTATTGCGAAAGAAACTCATTCATCTCAAGCACTCGCCCAGATAAATCTCCTGGGGTACTTTTCTTTGTCTGTCCTGATGTATGCTTATCTCAATAAATTGAATGTAGATGTAAGTCAAAGAGCCTGGGTTTGTCCTATCTTATGTAATCTATTATGTTCATCAATATCATAGTGTGAGAAGTAAGAGGGTCAAGTATTGCTACAGCACCTTACAGATCCTTGATTATCTAAATTCGAACTTGTATTAGATCAGTTTAACTCTTGATTTACAAGCAAGTATGCCATTTCTGTTGGATATAATTCTGAGAACACCCAAAGGTAAGGCTGTTATTCCATTGTGTGTCGAGATATACAGACAAAAGTAATCCAGTGTCAACCTAACTGACACAAGCTCTAATGTAGTGGACAGCTGCCTGAACTGGAAAACAAAAAATCTGGATTTTAGGACTCCTAGGATCCTCGCTCCGTGAGATTTTCCATCAGTGTTCGAAACTCACCTTTCAGTTTCAGGAGCCATGTGGCCCATCAAGCTCGATTTTTAGGAGCCATTGAAGATTTTTTAAGGCCAAATTTAGTTTTTGCCTATATATCACAGCACATCTTGTGAAAAGTTAGATGCAAGGTGTTTTATTGTTACACAACTAGTAAATGTAACTGGGGGAAGAGAAAAGCTCCAAAAATCACCAAATAGAAAAATTAGGATTTTTTCTTTTTTGGGAGGGGGGGGGGGCAATTTCTAGAAGCCACGCAGGCGCAGAGCCTTCATTTTTTAGGCGCCATGACTGATTTCTTAGGCGCATTGGCGCCTGTGAGTTTAAAGCAGTGTTTTCCATTAGACTCATCCTGTGTTTTCCCTCAAAACTCATCAAAATAGAGATTTAATTGGGCTCACAGAGCAACTTACTGTGCCTCTCCAAGTTTTTCTAATCAAGGTAATGAATTTCCTTTGGGAAACAGAAAGATTTGGTTGCGACTCTTCCTGAACATTTTCTGAATTGATATTTGATTCCAGAACCTATGGTGAAGTTGAGGTGTGTCCAGGGGAGCATCTCAATATTATTATTGGGCCGAATGGATCTGGAAAATCCACCCTAGTAGGGGCCATCATATTGGGCTTAGGAGGGAAGCCTAAATTAATCGGGAGGTCTGATGATGTAAGTAAAGAATCATGTTCTCCTTTCAAACAAAATTTTAGTCTCTACATAGTACCATTACTTCATTCAGTTCATTTGTTGGACCATTTTAGGGTGAATAAATTCTCACTAGCTATGTAAATTTTTGTTTTTTCCAAATTGTATTTGGTCAAGTTTACAATTTATAAAACACCGGAACTTATTTTACCCCAACGTAAGAGGTTTCAAGTTTCTCCTAAATATATTACCATTGTCCTATCATGTTTCATTTCTCTTTTCCTCTCCCTTCAAGCGGTCAATATTACCCCACAGCATAAACTTTTAGCTCCAATACAATATTCTGTGGGATCCTTGTAGGTTGTATCCCTAATATCGTGTATATGTAGTTTCCCACGGTTCTGAGCACTCTGTTACATCTAACCACTGCTGGTAGGAATAAGACCAGAGCTCCTCTGGCAAATCGTACCTTCTCATTTCTTGGTGAATACCATCAATCCAAGATTTGGCAGGGCGTCCTCTACGTTTTTTGCCTCAGGGGACCCAGTCTAGAACCTTCTTAGGCAAACTGGCAACCTCCTATCTAGCAGTCTTTCGTTTCAAATGTGATCCTTCAATGAAACTTGGGCTAATCTAAGCCAGAAATGTATCTTGTTACCCTTCAGAATGTCTTGGGACCGGTTTTTTAAATGCTGTACCGCACTGAAAATCGTACCTATTGTTTTTGAAGAAATCAAAATTTGATCAGTGATACTTCCTATCAGAGTTTTAAGTGTGCATTAACCTCGTAGTCCATTACCTGTCAAGAGATTGTAAAGTTAAAAAAAAGTCAGGACATTTCTGATCAGAGATACATAAATTCCAGTATCTAAGGCATAAATTAGCGATAAAGATTTTGCAACACTGCAACTGAGAAATGCCCTTCATTCACCCAAGGCTAAGCTAAAATAACAGAATTTCCTCTATTTTTTTTACCTATTTAGGTCATTATTTTAACCCTTGCGTTTGATGTTGTCAACCATCTTTCAGATAGCAATGCTGCTGCTGTAATATGTAATTCGCAGCAAATGAGAAAAAGTCATAGTCAGCTGAAATCGATGATTTTTATTAACATTCCAGAAGTAGGAAAAGTGTTGTGCCATGAATTGTTATAAATATAAATTTCAAAAGAATGATTCCTCAGTTGAGGATAATCAGCAAAATTTCAATACGTGCCATTTTTGAAATGTGACTTGGGCCCTTATTCATTTTCCTTTTGTTCTATAGCTCAGTTCCTATATCAAAATGGGCCATAAAGAAGCCACCATTACCATAGAACTGCACAATCCGGATGGTAAAAATGATGTCATCAGGAGAAAAATCACTAAAGATGGCAAGGAATGCAAAACATCATGGATGTTGAATGGCGAAAAAGTTTCTCAAAAACGAGTGAGTTACTTGAGCAGTCACCAATGTAAACCTGGCAGGCTAAGACCAATCATTTACTTTTCCTCATTGTATCCAGAAAATTTCAACAAGAGGGTGTGTGGGTGTAAAAGATGACAACACAAATTATCACTATAAGCCATATTGGCCAGCTGAACTTTGTCGATATAGCTGATAAAGACAAGGAGAAAAATTCCAATTTGAACGCTAGCTTGATTACTTTTGAGTCGTTGCTTATTTAGTGGGTCTTCATTTTAATATATGGCCAATCCAAGTAACATAAAGAAGGGGTAGTTGCACTATTTTCAAGCCTCCTTCTTGTGAACTTCACTACTTCATATGGTCATACATAAGCTGCTTTCAACAAAATCAATGTTTTTATTTTGGTCAAATCAACACCTTGCAATGGGCCTGTTGCAAACTTTTGCTAGAGCAAGAATGAGAGTTGATACATATAGAAAGTGTCTCAATAATCACGATGAGCGCATCAGCAAAGTCTGAAATACACTCCTTACTTCACAAGCTGCATAAGAAATTTGCGTCTTTTCGAGCTTCCCGCATTAAAAACAACACTGCAGCACAGGTGAAAATTTCATTAGAGGAGTCATTCCATCCAATCCCTGCTCACACTACGCAATATTTAACATAGCCGATGCCAATCCGCCAAAACACATGTGACGGGATGATGAAACTAACCACCTGATAACAATTGGCATGTTAACATTCTCATTATTCTCGCGTTGTTAGATATCCGCCTCGATTAACCTCGTGCTCTCCTCAACTTGCACGCGGAAGCGTCGGCCATGTTGAGCAGGGATTGAATGGAACGACTCCTCTAACGAAATGTTCACCTGTGCTGTACTATCCTTTTTGAAGGGGGAATCTTAAAAAAACGCAGATTTCTTACGCAGATAGTGAAGTTAGGCGTACATTTCAGAGTTTGCCGATGCGCTGATCATGATTTTTGAGACAGTGTTTGTAAGGAGCAACTCTTATTTTTGCTCTAGCATAAGTTTGCAACAGACCAATTGTAAGTCACCATTTTGATGAGAGCTGAACTTAAATGAGTCAAATAATATTGTCAGTAACAGCAGTCGACGATTTTTTTAGAAAAACATTCATTTTGGGTCTTTTTCTCAGCACCTCTTTGAGAGAAACGACCAATTTACTATTGAAAGATTTTCCAACAAATCTGAAGCACTGTCAGATAAGTAATGAAAACACCTTGAATTTTATTGCTGCAAAACTATCGTTTGAGAAAAGAACTGTAAAAAATTTAGTCAACAAGTTCCAAAAATCAAACCTTTTTAAAATGTTGAAAGGATATAGTTTATTTTTAAATTTTCTTCCTACTATCACCATTCTTGTATTTTGACTTAGTTGAGGTGAATTTGAATTTGGGTCTTTAAGTTTCCAACTTTCTCTATTTATTATCTCAGTACGTTTTTTTATTTTTAAAAAATATCTTTTCTGTAACGCCAGGAAGCAGGTTATGCTCTTGTAAACAACTAGAGAACTCCCTTTTTGAAGAATTTTCAATTTTGAACATGTGAGCAACTTTCGCAGATCATTTTACTTCGTATGACACCAAGTCAGGGAGTGAAGAAAATTTTTCCAGAAATAAGAAGAGATTTTAAGATTTAGAATGGTGCAAAAAGAGGTTTTGTAAACAAGAATGCCACCCAGAGAGATTTTAAAATTGGGTAGATCAGGAAAAGGGGCTGTGGAAATATGAAGGCCAGCTTATATACACCCAAAATTTGCAGACTTCCTGAAGCAAATAACAAAAAATTCTTCTTTTTGATGAATGAAACACCAAACAAAGTAACGTTTTTCAATGCATAAATGGGACTGTTGCAAACTTTTTCTAAAGCAAAAATAACAGTTGTTTCTATCGGTACCTATCGCACACTAAACCTAGCCACATCATTCCCTGGGGTGTGAAAAATGGCAACTTCAATCTTGGTGCTTTGACTCAGCTGTTGCACATTGTGTGTACACTTTGAATGATATTAGGCAGGGAAGGAATACTGCTCAATTAAGAAGCCTGCCAAAACTATTGTAGTGAGTGATTTGATTCAAGCAGACTCTGGTTATTTCTGTGAGTGAGAAATTACCAAATTCAAATTTTTCGCAACCAGTGCAGAATCAAAATGTCAATGTTCTGGTATGGAGTTAATGTTAGTAATTTTCTCGCGCAAATTTTGGCACATATGAAATTTTGAAGGAGAATAGTATGTAACAGTTTTTAAATTTGTACCTTGTCCAGTGGGCCATCGCTGATTCATTGCAAATTGTGAACTAGGAAGTTTTAACCTCTTGGGTGGCAACATAAAAAAGCAAATACCTAACTCTGTTCCCTTGTTGTAAGTCATAATTTAATTCCCAAACACTTTTTTGGATTTGCAGGTAGAGGAGGTTGTTAGACGGTGTAATATACAGGTGGAAAACTTATGTCAATTCTTGCCCCAAGAAAGGGTTCAAGATTTTGCGAAGATGAATATGAAGGAATTATTAGAATCAACGCAGAGGAGTATAGGTAAGTTAATTCCGTCTATACCTCTCTTTATTAAAAATATCCTCCTCGGGGGAGGGGGGGAGGGGGCAGATTGAAAGAGCCTGCATCCTTTCAGTTTTTTCTACGATGGGAATTTTTCATTCGAAGTATCTTTTTTGTAAGACCTGCGCTTGTCCTCTCTAAACAGTCGACCTAAGCTGAAACCATGAACGTTAATGTAAGAATTTTAGGTGCCTAGCACTGGTGAATATCCCTATAAAAACTAATACAAAAAAAATTCTTCACAGTAGTATCTTGACTTTAGCTTGTAATTTGTTAAAAGGAATCCTCCGTACCTGGATGATAGCCAATATTTAGTATGTAATTCTCTGTCGTGGGTTATGCCACTTCTCTAAATTTGGAGGCCAAAAATGAATTCTTGTCTATATGGCAGCATCTCCAAGTTCAAAACTCTGAAGTGTCGTTACTATAAAATGCAAAAAAATATGGTGATGAAGATACTTTTAAAAATGTGTCAGGGCAAATTAAAAAGAATGTCTGATTAATTTTGGCTTGTCATGATGCCATATTTTCTATTTTTCTAACGGGTGTGTTGCATGCAAGAGATACAGCCAAACAAATATACTATTTACAGGTAAAACTGCATGAAAATCACATTGGGCACGTCACAAAAGTCTGTAATCCATTCCTTAGCGCGCAGTTTGTATCATGCTTATTCAATTTTCGAGCATCTGCACGCAGTTTTTCTCAGTCACTGTTGACCCGGATTGCATTGGCAGAGGAATATTAAAAAACTGACCCAAGTGAACAAACAATTTCACAGACTTTCTCTATCGTATGATTTCAATCATTTGTTTCCTTTTTTTTCTCTCTTTATTATGCCAAAAAAAGCATTGAATGGATTGAAATCTTACGCCAGATGAGTTTATAAAAGTTTGCGAGATTGTTTGTTTATCTGGGCAAACCTAACCTACCGGCCACCAAGAAAATCTGCCTGCATACGCGGTAAATTTGAAAGCGAATTTCCACTTAGAAAGTGCATTCAGTTGGCTGTATCTCTTGCAAGCAACAGACTCATTGCCAGTTTTTTTTTTTAAATGATAGGAAAATGTCAAAGGCTGGGTTTTTCATTCCAACTAAAACCTGTTCATTTCGATCAAGTTGAAGTTATGTCTATTGTATTTTATGTTTCATAATTTTCTGTCTCATAATTTGTGTGCCCAAGGAAAACAATTAGCTCATAAATTCTGAGTTTTTACCTCCTCTGTATTTTTTAACTCTTTTAGCCATGTTTCCTTACATTCTTATCACCCACTATTTTTTTTTCTTTACTTCTCCAATTTTTTTTAATCTGTGCAGAGGGTGGGAAACTTGCTGACCAACTAGATGCTCTCAAAGCTCTGAGGAAAGAGCAAACAGATTTGCAAAAATCACTTCTGTCCCTGACACAGAATAAGGAGTCAGAAGTTCAAAGAAACCTAAAGTAAGTTTACCGTTTAGGACACCAGTTAAACCAGATAACAGAATACTGTCAGGTTTGTATTATCTTGAATCCTGAGAAGGAACAGAGCCAAAATAGTTGAAGAATTAAATGGGCATTCTTTGATAGGACTTTACCATAGCAGGAAGGCAGAAAGTGTGAAAAATTTGAAAGACCAAGAATTTTTGAAAAATCTTGTAAAATACGGAGAGTGAAAAAAATTTTTAAGGGTTGAGAGTTTGGCAATTCCGTCTCAGTCAGCATAGAGATTTATGTTAGTAGTGCATTGCATCGGAAAATCTTAACAATCAGATATGTGCAAAATTTTGAATGATTTCTGGAGCGAGAGGTGCAAGTCAACATATTCTGATGGATAGAGTCTCATTTTTTGTCTCCTTTCTGGATGAATTAAACGTTTCAAAATTAGGAAAAAGCTAGAGCCTTTTTCAGTGTTTGCGTGAAATAGGGAATTCCCTATCTCCTGTATACAGCAATAGAGGCAAAGTTATCTGAAACGGGCTTTACAAATATTGCCTTACTTTCCTCCTCAATGTGTAAAGGCTCTCACATATTTTCAGGATCTCTCCACAATTCTTCCTGTTGAAAAATAAAAAATTGAAAATTGTGGAAATAAGATGCAACCTTGGAAAATTTCACAGCTTATGCTTTGTTTACGTCTCTTCTATGTTTTTACTAATTTCAAAATAAAATAAAAGCTTTCTTCTTTTTATTTACATGAACAAATCGCAGTTAAAATTATGGTAACTGTTACAAGAACTATACGTCTCGTAACTATCTAGGTACATGAATTAAATCTACAGAAGTTTAATGAGACTCCAGCCCTGGATAGACGATCAAATTCCGAACCAATTCTGATCAAAGTAGACATGCTGATGACTGATGGTCACCATCTACCATCAAATTTTGACGGGCCGCACTTATTTGTTCAAAGTAAGATCAGAATGGAGTGCCACCATTCATCATTACCTGCCTCAGGAAACATTTCTGCCAAGTTTTCATTTTAAAATGAAGCAAATTAATGAGTTTAAGACTGATGACTCCCGACACTTTGATGCTACTTTGGTCAGAATTGGTGCGGGAATTTGATCGTCTATCCAGGGCTCCCATAACACTAGATAACACAGACTATCCAGAAGACCTGAAATTTTGGAATTGTCTGTCTTTTGTCATAAGTAGAAAGGCCCCTCTCCTAAATTTAGTGGGTCTAAAAAATACTTCCTTCTGTCCAAACACCCCCAAAGTTTCAACTCGATAGCTCAATCAAGAAATGTAAATGGGGTAGTGCAGTACTTAACTTGTTGATCACTAGCATTGCTATGTAGAATCTCACAAGTTAGGTGATGAGTAACATCAGGTCTTTTAACTTCAGTGAAGTTGAGAGCGTCAATTTATGTCTTCTCTGCAATCGTTCTTATTTTCCTCAACGGTTTTTGAAATGGCAATTAAGGACTCTTTTTTCAATGTTTCTCACAATTGTGTTGGAATTTTTCAGTCTTGAAGGTGAAGTTCGTAATGCAGAAGAGAGGGAAAAGTTGGTTAAACAGCTTCTCACGATGAAGCAGAAACAAGCATTCCTTAGATTGAAACAGAAAAATGATCTAGTTACTGGCGTAAGTTATCTTTCAATTTTTTCTTTTTTAATTTTTTTTTCTTATTCCTATATGTTTCTTTCTATTGGTATCTTTTTTCTTAAAATTGACAGTGTAGACTATTTACTAAGTAAGTAACTGCCAACTTATCTGGCTATACCTCTGAATAACAATTAAAGTATATACATTGTATCATAAAAGTACCAAGGGAATGCGGAGTAAGGACTGCCACCTTTTTAAAGGCTTAGTGGATCAATCATTTCAGCCTAAGCTTAAATTATAGCACAGGATCAGAGTCGTTAGAATTGTAATATTTGAAATGCCAAGTCATAATGATTTTTCTTCGAGTACCCCGAAAGGTGCGAAATGGTCTAACCTGTTTGACTCTGAGGAAAACTCTGAGGAAAAGAGGGAAGCAAACAGAACATACCAAAAGGTATGATACCGGACCAAGTCTCTTAGCGTGAAGAAACTGAAGCTTTCACCTAGGGGTCCATGAAGCGGAGTTTTTAATAGCGGAGCAACTGCGAAGCGCACAAAAAAAACCCTTCAAATACGCTGGATGCAACCCGCTGAATTTCATTGCGGTTACTCCAGCGAGTCACGACTAAGCGTGCGGCGGTGGTAAACTTCATTGAACACTGGGAAATATGTGAAGAATATGTTCATTAAATTTTCCCCCCTCTTATTCCCTTAAATTTTAAGAATGAATTTTTATTTAGATGCCAGCAGATCTAGGATTTTTTTTTTTTTAAATTTGTCATCGGTTTTGCTTTAATGATCACAGAATGATAAAAAATAAAAACTGTTTTTACTTTTTATTCTCCTTTTAATTTTTTTTTATCTAATTTAATGTAAAACATAGCAATACCTGCAAAATTGTGGTAAATATAATTTGAAAACCATCGATTTAAACTTTTCAGAAATTTTTATTATGATGGAATTGAGGTTAGGAGCAAAGGTACTTATACACAGAGCGGCCGCAAGCGCATGCGCAAAGAACCGGTTTATGCTGGGAATCAATCATCGGCATTCAGCATCGATTCCGGAGGAGCGCGAAAATTTGAATTACCGCAAAATTTTTGCTTTGCTTCGCTTTTTTGGACCTCGCGCTTCGTTTTGTGAAGCGAAGCAATGCGAAGCTTCGCGGACTCCTACTTTCACCAAAACCCAACTGACGAAGAAAAACACGAATACTGAACAGTAAACTGACGATATTGAAATATGATACTTTTATTTCAGCATTAAAATAAAAAGAACCACAAGTCCACCTTCTATCTTTTGAGTGATGAGATAAGGAGGAAAAGACTCTACTCATTGCTCAACAGCCAGAGACGCTAAGTTCGCATTTGCATGCTTGTTGGTGAAACTGGATTGTTCTTCAATGAGCTTAGGCTTCCCTTCCTTCTAGTGTAAAGGCGTAAGGGATGGGGAAATAGCCAACTCACGATGACGTCTAAAGCACTAAGGTGGCGATCACCGGCAAGTACGCATGTATGCAACACTGACCCCTCGCTGGCCGCTTGGCCGCCGCTATATAGCAATGCCCAAAAGATGTAACCCTGGCGCGGCACGCGCCAACCATAGCACCTACCTGCGATCACCTCGGAAATACGCGATCTCTCACGTATGTCCGAGGTGCTCCTAACAGAGGCGTACTCTCAAGGTAGAGTACGTCTCTGCTACACTAGCAAACAAGGAGATGGGAACTTTATGGGGCGCTCGAATCACTCTGTAACAGATACCCTGCATTCTATGATCTATAATGGTGTGACTTAAAATTTTTATTTGGAGGAAACAGTTATTTTGAAAGGCGGCACATTATAATTGTGAAGACCTTTGAGTGAATTAATTATTTCAGTTTTTTCTTATTATTTGTAAATTTTCAGGATTTTGGGGGTGTTAATTCCCTGTCCACACAATTTTTTAGTATTTAAGTTCCAGCGTGTGCCCAAAAACCACATAGTTAGTGTTGCTATTATCTCAGCTTTGTCAAAAAGTAGGACCTGTGTACTTTTGATGTCATGTGCCTCAATATAACTAGAAGAAAAATTTTTAATTTTCCTAGTAATGAAGCTGGTGAACCTCAATAGCTCGTTATCAGTTTTTTTTCAAAATATTCTTCAAAATCAAGTCAATTACAGACTTTTTATACTGTCTTTCAATCTATTACTAAAATAGTTTTGGATTTTATGCAGACTTGAAAATTTGAAATTATTTGTAGTGTATCTGAGATGGAGAAATATTCCAATTTTGAGGATAGTAATTCTTGCATCCAATGATTTTCATACGCTATGGAAAAATTGTTAGTGTACTAGCTAGGTAAGAGACAATTTAATCGGCAAAATATTATTTTTTATATCCATTCTTACAAAAACATTGTTTGTTCTCTTTCATCCTAAACTGAGTTTTGAAAATCCACTTGATTGCAATAAAGAAACACCATCATAAAAATAATACAATGCCCCTTTAGTAGTCAATACGTTGGTATATATGCAAGTAAATACAATAAATTCAGCATCTCCAGTGAAATTTCTACGTATGCATTGATAACTGCTTGGGTCATTTAAAAATTAACATGTACTTTCTATACTATTTCAGTTGAAAAACAGGTTGCAAGACAGGAAGAAGGCCAATGAAGATATTAAGAAAACCCAAAAGCAGTATGAAAATGCAATAGAGGGCCTCAAAAAAGAGCTCCGAAATCAAGATGCAGCTGTTCAGTCGCTGGTAATCACTTTTTCTCATTTTATCTCATGTCTTCACCTATAAAAAACGAGTGTCTTTTGAGGTGTTCTGCTTTAATAAGCTCATCACTTCGACCCCCGTGGCTCAGTAGTAATATCATTCAGATGTCAATCATTGAGGTCCCAAGTTCTGTATCTGGAGGTGATGATAAGTTTCTTCTTTAAATTTGTCCTCATTGTGACTTCAAGTTGTCCGTATAGACCTCTCACCTAAGGACACTCAACTGAAACGTGGGGGGAGCGGGGGGACAGACAGAGACTGTTGGTTAAGTTGAGATGCTTGTGTGAACCCAGATGAGTTCTTGCCTTCAACTGATGAACCTGCTGAGACTAGAACTCAGCATCCTTTAAATATACCAGGGTGCAAATGGAACTCTGGCATGCCACAGGGATTTGCGATCCAAGCACTTTTACCTTTCTTAAGTTATGCAAGATAGACGACGGTACCACCGAATTTCACTGAAGTGAATTTCCAAGCTAAAGAAAAACTATTTATGGTCCGTTGTGGAGGGGATCATCTACCTTATGCCCAGGGCCGGATTTACCTATAGGGCACTGGGGCACTTGCCCATAGCGGCAAATTTTGAGGGGCGGCAAATTTTGAGGGGCGGCAAATTTTGGCACTGGATTAATTGAAAGTTAAAGCGAGAAAAAAGGAAAAATGGAGACAGAGACGGAGCGAAGTGAAAAGATGAGCGGCAAAATGTATGAAGGAAGGGAGTTGACGCTTGACGGGAGCGGCAAAGCTGCCGCCCCTTAGGTCCGGCCTTGAGCGCTAGGATGATCGTTCGTTGGAGTGATACTAAACAACACGGCAATTTTAAACATCGAGGCAGACTTGATAATCAATTTAGACGTTGATGCTCTGGTTGACAGCTTTGCTAAACTGAAAACCCGGAGAAAAACTTTTTAACCTGATCTTCCGAAAATACATTGCAACTAATACATTGAGCTACACTAGCTTCAACTTTGTCTCCACATTTTATTTTTGTCTCATCCATCCATTCCATTTTATATATTCGCGGCGCATTTTGAAGCAGCTACGCGCACGCGCCCAGGCGGCGCACGAGGGGGGGGGCAAGATGAGATGGCGTGGGAAGTTGGGAGTGCGGAGAGGGGGAGGGGGAGGAGGGGATACTGTTGACAATAAAGTGGCGAAATATTGCAGACCCAGGGGCGGCAAAATGTAGCTTGCCCAGGGGCGGCAAAAAGCTAAATCCGGCCCTGCTTATGCCTAGAGTTCACCTCTATACCTCGTGTAACGCTTCATGCATGGTTGAGGAGCCAACACAATAGCAGGGTTACCATGGCTGCAGCCTTGGAGTCCCTGCACAAAATGGCAACTCAGGTTATGTATTTGCTTCCTGTCTATGCATGGAGAGTTAGACTTGATCTAGAGAAGAACTCACGGTATTGGATAGGCGATCTCCTCCATTTTGGCCTCAACTTTGAGAGCTTTTTTGAGCTAGGAATTTTGCCTCAGAAAACGCCAGTGGTACTATTTTGTTTCTCGCAAAATTTTACATGAGATGAAGTGCTTAAACCGCAAATCCCTGAGGCAAGCAATCAAAGCATTCCATTCAAGGCAGCTAGAAAAGGGGGCTTGTAAAGAAGCATCTACGATAGATCTCTGGTTGCCGCACTTTAGTGCATGACCTGTGGTCCGTCACTTCTACTTCTTCCCAATGGACAAGCACAAATGAGTCTTTTCTACAATGCAGACTTTCTTGCCTCAAATGGAAGCAGTGTGTAAACTGAGTGTGCATATATTCTTATAACTTTTTTTGTTAAGTGGGAATGCAAGGGAGGAAGATTTAAAAGTGAGAAAATTTACTGCTCTCTGACATTGTACAGTGGTTTTTCCCATGCAAACATATTTTTATCAGCAGACTACCTCAATCAGTAGTTACTATTTATAAATCAAATCAGACAACTGCAAGTTCTGTTTTTCTTCACCCCCTCTTTTTAGTTCTGTTTAAATTTGAAGTATTATTCCAATTTCCAACATTTTATCTTGTAAATTTCAATTTCATTTTTACAGACAAACGATACCAGAAAGCAATTAAATGAGTTGCGCTCTTTTATCCATAACTCCAGCAACATCACTGATAAAATCGAAGATAAAAAGATTGAACTCGAAAATAAATTGAAAACGGAAAGTAAAAGAGAAGAGGCTACAAGAAATCTCAATTTAACTATTTCTCGCTTAATGAATGATCTACCTGAATCAGGTACTCCTCTATGTTTACCTAGTTTCATTAATGGATATCTTGTGTAATTTTTTTTTTTTTTAAATCCTCGAAAAATATTTTGCTTCAATTTGAAAGGTGATTGGTTCAATGCATTCACTCAGGCACTTTCAACTTTGAAGCTTTAGCAATCTCTTCAATGAATGTATTAATTTACTAACTGGGTCATTCCATGTCAAATCAACCAAAAAAATTGCCAAAGTTCACCAACTGTCTCGGATTTGCACAGGTTGTTTTTTACTCGTTCTCTAGGTCCAAGTAGGAGAAAGACTAAATTTTTTGCCCAAAATACCCAGTAGATCTTGAGGAAAAAATTATCAAAGGTTTAATGATTTTTGAAAAAATGCATTTCTGGAATCACTAAAACGGCTGTGCCTGTCCTTCAGAAAATCTCCATAAAAATTTGAGTTTTAAAGATATCCGGCTAAAAATTTGTTCACAGGTCACTGAAGGAATGCCAAATTTTTACAAAGATTTTTTGGTGGACAGGCACAGCCGTTTTAGTCATTCATGAAATGCATTTTTTCAAAAATCCTCAAACCTTTGATAATTTTTTTCTCAAGACCTACTGGGTATTTTGGGCTAATTTAAATTTTCTCCTATGTTGGCCTAAAGAACAAGTAAAAAAAAGTTGTGCAAATCCGAGATAGGTGGTGAACTTTTGTCAATTTTTGATTTGGCATGGAGTGACCTTCGTGTGTTAATTTATCATCAAAAAATCCAAAACTTTTTAAATTGCATCAAAATAAGAAAATCAACACCAACAAATAAAAAATTTGAAAGGTTCTTAATATCTTACTCAGTGAAATAAATTTCAATTCATCAACTAATTTTGACAGAGGAACATTTCTCATTTTGTCCGTAACCAGGCATGTGAAAGATCTCTTGCCTTACATAATGCATGCATCTTATGCCTATTAATTTATTTTCTGCTCAATATATCCCTTATCTGTCCTTTTATTTCAGATGAAACTATGCGGAGTGAGTATGATGTTCTCCAGAGACAAATTCAGGAGAGAAAAAACAGGGCCACAGAGCTGCAGGAGGAAGAAGAAAATCATAATTGTCTTCTAAGGAACAAGGACTATGAAATTCGCGGTAAATTGAATTACAATATTTCAGCTAAGTTTCGATGGTTAAGATTTGTTCCATGACTGATGGTTTCATCTGTAAGATGGCAAGTCTCAATTTGCTTTGTGACACTGTGAAACTGCGACTTTTTAACCTTTTATTCCCTACTTCCCTTGATTATGTATTTTATGAAAGTACAAAGGTACACTTCAAAGTAAATTTCTTTCTTTTATATCTGAAATAGTGTATTAGGTAGAGCTAATATGTAAACAAGGTTTTGTTTGTCATATTCTTAGCTTTATAACTCTTTAGCCTCCATGCCGAAGGAAACCTCATAAGGAGAAATTTTTCCATGGAGTCGCCAAAGTATATTTCGTTTTGGTGACTATTTCAATTCCTGTCATAGCACTAAATGAAAAATTCAAATGTAGTCCTGAATGTTAATATATTCAGGCAAGGCTCCTGGGGAAATGTCTTTCTGCTCTAAAAATGTTTGGTTGAGAAAATCTTGCATTTGTGCTCCAGATGTGGTAGGTAAACGGTTTCTGTACATTAGTTTTTGAAACTAGGTCCTCAGGTTGTTTTTTTAGCTTTTAAAGCTGTATTCATGTTACAATTAATAATCAAACTTTCTATTTTTTTCTCTGTCTTTACAGGAGTGGAACAAGAGATAGCTCGTGAGAGTAATGCTGCCAATTTAAAAATGGAAATTATGAAACAGCAGCATCCTAAACTTTATCAAGGTGTGCTATGGTTGCGAGAAAACAAACATTTGTTTCAAGATGAAGTTTTTGAGCCAATGTATACTCAGGTATTATTTCATGTTTTTCTTCATGTAACCTATTTAAAAAATGAAATTTTGATAAGTTGGGTTAGCTCAAGTTTGCCAGTTTTGTCCAACTTTACAAAAAGCATCTCAGCATTTGTCAATTTTTATTTGTTTTACGAACACAATTTGTCTGTACATACCTTGAAAAATTGCATTTCATGAACAATTTACTGCTTGTATTTAGTTCATGTTCTTTATTAACTCTCAAGCGCTTTTACGTAACTTATGAAACAATTTTTCAAAACCCATCTAAATTTCAATTCTTGTTCAAACATTTGAGTCCTGCACTCATTCTTGATGAGAACCGGGATCAAAAATCGTAATTAGTATCTGAAAAATTCAGGGGAGATTACGAGGGGAAGATATTTGTATTTAATCAGTATGCTGAACCCATTGACTTAAAGTTTATTCCAAACAAATTGAAAACCACAATCCCAAATGGGGTATGTTAAAGTTTTAAGAATAAAGGTTTTTCCATTCTTCATCAACAAGGTACTGAAAACTTTACTGTGAAGGATTTTTCAGTTTCGGTGTATTAGACCTTTCAGTTACCTCCAGCGATTTTTTCATTTTTTCCTGTCAAACCTAGGGTATACTATTTCCAGATGACTGTATGTGTGTGTTTTCCTTTGAATTTTGCAGATTACTGTACAAGATGGCTATGCTAAATATGTAGAGGGCTGCGTCCCGAATCGAGATTTACTTGCCTTCACATGTAAGAAGGCTGCTGATACGTCACTTTTGATCAGAGAACTGAAAACAAAACAGAAGTTGCATGGTATAAACGTTGTTACAGCTCCTAATAGCTGTCTTGAAGGTAGTGCTAGAGAACTTTTCAGACCCAAAGTTCCGTTGAATGAAATCAAGTGAGTAATGTAATATTTGTCATTTATTCAGATCAAGAAAGTGACAAGGGTGATAAACACATCTCGGTCTCTCTTTAATCAAATCTTTTACTTGGTTGAAAGTTTATTAATGCATATGATGTGATACAGAACCTGCTCCTCTGCTTCATGATCTTGCCATTCGTCCTCGATCTTTGTTTTCAGTACTTTCCAATCCACTTTGCTTATCGTCCTGGTCACTGAGAGCCCCTGGTAGCTGTTACAGTGGTCCTTCTTTCCCTCATTTTTGTAGACAGCCTTGATCCAGCTCCATCCACTCCCTTGGTAACTCGTCACTCCTGATGCATTGTTACATCAGTTTTCTGAGGCGCTCAAAGAGCTTGGCAGCTTAGCTTGAGGTGAAACTTGACTTAGGGAAATTTTTAGAGTCTCAGTATCATTAGTTCAGGACGTTAAGCCAAACAATGTTCTCTTGAAGAAATATTGCTCATTATCACATTGTCATATCATAATGCAGCAATGAGCAATTTGCCTTCAGAGAGCACAAGGGAAACTTTGCTGGCAATTTCCTCTGCTCGGAAGATCTACGGTATTTTTAATTTTAGTTCCTCTTTCCACTCAAAAAATCTTGGAAAGAACATGAAAAATTCAGGGAATAAACCCTGTTTCAATTTGTATTTGAATGCAAGTCTCATGAAGTTTTCTCTGTCATCTATGTTACAGAAAATATGGGTTACAGACATACTTATTGGATGTCATTAATGGTCCAGATCCCATCTTACATTACCTGGCTAAGAATATGAATCTTCACAATGTCCCTGTCGGCACGGAGCAAACTGATAGAATGATGGACAAGATTCCCGATTCCATTGCATTATTTTTTTCAGGTTTGCAGTTTTGTTTTTGACGTTGTTAATTATACAGCAACTCTTTCTGAAAGCCTGTAGGACATCAATCAGAGCTTTTTCAATATTTTGACCATTGAAATTATGTGTGTCTCAAGTGTCTCAAGATCATAACTTTCCGAATTGATTTATTTAATAAACTTTTCGACAATGGAAGAGACTTGTCTCAAAAACACCTCCAAAGAACCTTTCTCTGTTGGGTCGGAAAATGCATCATTACTCAATGTAATAGTATTATATATTTTTATGTATGGTGGGACTATTAAGTTAAAATTTCCATGCATGCTACTTTTTTAATGTGAATTTTAGGTAGCTGATTTTTTTCTTTCTTAAAAATGTTACCGCAGTTATTAGGGAGTTACTTATTTGGTCCACAAGGAGCCTTATCAATATTTCATGTAATTACTCGCAAAAAAAAAAAAAAAAAAAAAAAAAAAAAAAAGGAATCCATGATATTCATAATTTGTTCATTCATTTGTCCCAACAGCGGAAAATAGATACAGCACCAGGACATCACGTTACGGGGGCAAAAAGATTACTTCAAGTTCTGTGATAGGCGGTGCTCACCTCTTAAAAACAAACCAAAATGTTAGCCGACTAAAGGACTTACAGGCTCAGTAAGTGATTCATCTATCCACATTTTAAATGAGCTAGTTCTCTATTTGTGTAACAACCATACAACACAATGGAGAATCAAGGAACATCTTTTAACTTGAGTTTTATTTTACTGATGCAGATTTGTGTAGCCTTGAAATAAGTTGACCCACTAGAAAAAGTCTCACAGTAATTTAAAGGATTTGAAGTTGTCCTCTTTTGAATCAGTATCCAAGAATTTCATTTTTCGTATTATGACTAAAGTGTGTGTGCTACCCTCATCATTATTGATGTGAGGAAATTTTTGATGTGGATAGGTATAGCACACATTTCTGGTTCTTTTTTGTGCTGCGAAAGTGTAAATTTTTTGAGACTTCCGCACTTTATAATAACCCTTTTTCATCCTCTAGGGATTTGGTTGGTTATCAGAAAAATATCAGTTTTATGTTCTGAATGTAATTGTGCCTAAATTTTCGAAACATCGATGGAGCTTTAGAGCTCCTTCATTCGACCGAATTTTTGTCATGTATTATAAAATATATTATATACAGGGTGTCTCAAAAGAAAGGAGCCACCTTGAATATCTTTTGAGGGAATTCGATTATCAAAAAACGCAGAGACACGTGTTCAATATTTTTGAAGGGGAACTTTTTTCCACGCATTCACATTTTTTCTCGACCCACAAAACCGCCCGAAGACTCGGTTTCTACTAAGTATTTGCATAATTCATCGAAATATCCATTTCCCGCCATTTTGAAACGGTGATAGTTAGCGACTTGAGGTTTTCGTGAGAATTTTCTTTTTTTATTACCTCTCAAATGATGTATCACAAAGGGGGGTTACAATTTGAAATATTCGGGATACAGAGGCCCCCCCCCCCCTGGGTGCTCCCCCAGGGGGGCCTAAAAATTCATGTGTGGAAAAAAGTTTCCCGTCAAAAGTATTGATAACGTCTCTCTGCGTTTTTCGATATTCGAATTCCTTCAAAAGATATTCAAGGTGGTTCGTTTTTTCTGAGAAACTCTGTATATATTATATATATATTTTTTTATTGTATAATCCACATATCCAGCCACTGCATGTCAAAATTAATTTACGTCTTTAATTAATTTTATGTTTTTTTTTTTTTTTTTTTTTTTTTTTTTTTTTGTGTGTGTGTCAATACACTTTTGGTTGTTTTTTTTCATTTCCTTTTAGTTGATTAATCCCAAGCATCAGCTGTAGTTAAACTGTTGTGCAATGTATCTCATTGACCGGCATAAAAATCTTGGCAAATCTTGATTTCCACACCAAAAAATTACAATAGCTCCTACACATAAGGCTCAAGAATAATTTGCTGTGAACAATTTAAAATTAAGAGAAATTTAAAATTGGGTTTAGTTATGAAAAAAGTGTTTCATTTGTTAAGGAGTCACATCTCTCTGCGGTAGAGTTCTTTCAAATGGGGACCTTTCTTACTCATAAAAATGGTCCGATCCTGTTTATACTCTATGGTGCCAGCAACAGTCGTGAGAGATAGATGTCCTGTCACAATGTAGAGTAATTCTGGCACATTTTGGGTGCGAATCCTCAAATTGCAAACTGGTATGAGAGAATTTTGTTGACATCAGGAACCCAGCTAAGAAGGCATGAAGTCATGATTCCAGTGCATTCCAACTTAGTAAGGCACTAGAAAAAAGGTACCTTGGACAATAGTCTGACTTAGTACGGAATTAGACTAGCAATCAATTTCCATTTCGAAGTTGATAATTTTTTCATAACTTAATCGTGCTTTCTCATTTCTTTGAGCTATGCAATCTTTCTCAATACAAATGATTCTGTTGTCTCATGCCTAGGGCTTTTGGCATCTTTTGCAAATGTCAAAGATTGCCAAGATTTTTAATTTTTTCGATGCAATATATCACATGCCAGTTAGACAACAACTGAAACCTAAGATGAGTCACCTTTACTCCTCCAATAGTCATAACAAGCTCAACCTTTCATGTAAGTGTGTGATGTGACTTTTTCTTGAGAAAATCACCCAAATATTTGTACTTACTGCTCATCAGTGACATTATTATTTTTCTCAGGCAACAAAAATTAAAAGCAGACAAGGATGATTTGAATAAGCAAAAAAACCAACTGTTGGGACAAGTCAACACACTTAGAGCTGAGCTGAATGATCTCGGTGAGAAAAAAAACAATTTAAAAAGACAATTGGACCAGGCCAGGATTGCAAGGAATCAAATAGAACAATCAAGGAGGCGTTTGTCAGAGCTTCAACGGAACAAAATCGATCCAGATGAAGCCAAACGAAATTTTAAAGAAGATGTCAAGGTAACTCTCTCATCAGTTTCACATTTCATTCGTTGGCCTTTGATAAAGTCAAAGTCAAAAATTTTGGAAACAATAAAAGAAGGATTTTTTTTCACCACCATACAAATAGCCCTATGGAGCTAGTACATGCTCAACCCTTCATTTCTCAAACACCCTGCCCCAGATGACCCCTGCCTAAGACCATCAAAATCAGGTCACCTGGCTAAGAATCAAACCTGGAAAGCCCTCATCCTAGGGCCAGTACTACAGCCTCTACACCTCTCTGCAATTCAAGAAAGTAATCCTGTGGCCTCCTTTCTCCTTTGTCTGTCTTCAGCAAGCAAAATCTCATTACTTTAGCATGGAAATACTGGTCACGATTAGCTTAACCTAGAATTAAAGTGGGTACTCACATTGCCAAAAATAGACTATCCACTTGTCGAGATCGTTCAAAATTACAGGTGTTTAAATGGGTGATTCTGTTGCAGCTAGTCTGTTTTTCCTTGAATTTCAGTCTGTTTTCTAAAGTTTTATTGATTTAATCAGCAGATTTTTGGTGTCTGATCTTTGGATTTTCAAAATTTTGGCAATATTACATCGGTAGGTTTTCGAGAAATTTACCTCCAAAATCCGCTAAAATCCCTCCAATGCTTCGCTCATGGACGTGTTTTTGCGAGTTTCAGCTTCAAATTGCGTAACCAATCAGAAAATGGATAATCCATTTTTTGATTGGTCAATCACTTCTCCACGTAAGACAAGAATGCTAGCACTCACTTTGGTTCTAGGTTACTCCAGTTACAACCATCGATCAACTTTGATCTTTCATGTAAAAACAAGAGATTACATCAGTAGCTTCAAGCAAAAGGGTTGTAAGTAATTTCCAGCTTTTCGTCCCACAAACATTGTTAAAAAAATGTCTCTTAAATAATAAGGTACTTTTTCAAGATCTGGAGATATGTGTTATACTCTCATTTCATCTTACATGTTCATTATTTCTACAGAAATTGATCCAAGATCTCGTGAAAGTAAGAAAGAACATCGCTAATGTCAGCAAGGGAGTTGAACACTCTGCGACTGAATTAAGGCTACAGAAGATGGTCCTTAGCTCCCTCAAAGATTTAGAAAGATCCAAAAAAGAAGAGTTAAATGATTACAGGAGGTCTATTCAGGATGCACTGGTATGGTTATTCTATGTAAACCACTCTAACCTTGACAAGCTCAAGATGCATGTTGCATGTTTCGATGTTCATAATTTATTTGTTAACTACCACGCCGGTGGATTTGACCAGTATTCGGCCCGCAGAAGCCAAACAACCAGTTAAAAGGACCGGCGCTCTCCAGGCCGATTTTGCCATTTCAGTTGAGTCACAAGGAGGGTACTATCTCTCGGCATTTTAGTGCACTAGCAGTACTGTTAAATACTAGACAGAGGGCGCAACTGTCGTTTTTGTTTGAGAATTTGTCAGCCCACCTCGAATTTGTAAGGGTTGTATTCTCATGGGCCCCAAGGAAATGAGAGCTAAAACACCGAGGTAGTTAACATTTTATCTACTGGAAATATGAGAGAGCGGGAGAGAGAATGAATGCCCTCATTTCCAGCTTTCATTTTTACCCTATAACCTAGTTATCACATATTTGTGAATGTTGGTATTACAGTTTTTGCCCATATGCGAGATACTCATGCATACAAGACATACCTTATACGTATGCTAGGGCTGTGCGAATATTCGCGATTCCGACTTTTCGCGCCACGAATATTCAGCGAATATTCGCTTCGTCCGCCTCGCGCACTATTCGCAAATCGCGAATAATCGCGCCGTCGCGAATAGTGAATTTTTGAACTGACATTTTCAAATATTCGCGCCGTCAGAGGAACGAATTCTCAAATATTTGCGCCATGAAAACTAACGAATTTCCGATTGGCAATCGTGAAACGTTGCGAGGACCTGCTCAAGACCTCTCCTTCCATCCGAGACATCGCGAACGGCGGGTCTCCTTTGATCTTTACCAACTTTGCCAAGTTTACGAACAGCGAGCGCGATTGGGATTGGCCCACGTATCTTTGTTGCTCCATGAGTACCACACATTGAAAGTTAAATTAATAGCAATATCTGGCAGAAGTATTGTGGAAGGGAAGGTTGGAATAAGCGAAGAGCCCAAATTAAGGATTGAAAGACACAGAAATGTCTGAAATAGGAAAAAAAAAGTCCATAAACATTCATCTCCATCCATTCAGTCCATTCATCTACACCAAAAAAAATAAAGTACTAAAATGTGTCTGATGATCCTTCGATACTAGCTTGACTGCCCGCGCAGTTAACTTCAAATCCTGGGAATGCATACGTAACTGCAGGGACAGTCAAGCCAGCATCTAGGGATCTTCAAACACATTCTTAACAGCTTAGGCATCATAGCATTTCATTGTTTTCTGTGCAGGTGTATGAGCAAGTTCTTAAAAAAATTAATCATACTTTCTTTGTCGACTTTTGTACTATTTGCGAATTTTCACACTTAAAAAAGTCATTTCAAATTATTTGTTTTACTATTCGTAGCTGTAAATAATTGACTTACATTATTCGCTATTCGCTTCGCTATTAGAGAATAGTTGCCGAAATTATTCGCTATTCGCTTCGTTCGGAAAATTCACTATTCGCACAGCCCTTATATGCTCATATGCTCAATATTTACTCTTGATATCAAATACATGTCAATTAATGTTTCTTTTTTATCCGTTAGTACTTCCGTAATAAGTTGCAGATTACATTCATCCTCTCTCTTTGAACTTCACCTTATCTATGGGTTACATATAAGTGTTCCATTGGGCGACAGGTTTTTTTTTTGGAAATTTCAAATTTCAAACATTTTTCTCTTCCTTATTAGCCCTTAATATTAAATATTTCCCAATTTTTATGGGATTTTTATCCATTGACATTTTTAGTAATATGTTGCGGATTACATTCATTCTCTCTCAGAAGTTCACCTCGAAACACTCACTTTTTAGGCCCACAAACCATTTCAAGAAAAGTGAAAAATAAGATAAATACACTGTATAACAAGGAAATTATTCAACAAAAGCATAAAATACGAGAAATATTTTAGTTTAACTCCACTGACCAATCAGAGACCACAAACCAAAACATGATCTCAAGAAAAAGTGAATTGTAAGTAAATTTCTTGACTAAATGTGCCACAGTAGCTCTTGAATTTTCAAAAAAATTGCGCACTATGCTAATTTTAATGTTTGGTTACATATATAAGACCTATTAAGTGTGGAAAACTATTGGAAAAGTGAACTCCGCGAGCATCAGACATTTTTGACACTAAATCAGCTATTTTTCTCAGTGCACTTCGGCTAGCAAAGATTGGCCGATACTTAGTAGCAGGTTGTGTCCAGGGGCAATACTGGTGTTTTGAAAGCACTCATCATTTTGAGAGCGGAATTTTTTGTAAGGAAGATGGTTTTGCCCATTTCCAATACAGGTAGATTGTTTTCAATAATTTGTCTCTCTGTGTGAGGAGGGCATTTATTGACAGTTTTTTTATTCAAAAGGAAGATATTATGTAAAATTTTTGAATCGTATGTGATATCTGAATTTTGGACGTTTAAGCGTAAGGATCTTCAGCTTTATTCAATGTGATGTTTGTAAGGAAAATTTATCTTTATGTTATTTTTAGGAAGAGATCCGTCAGCTAGAAGAATCTGTGGCAGAGGAAAAAGAAAATGTCAAGAGGCTTCAAAGAGAAGCTATTGAGTTGTGTAGGGGTGCAGCTCCAAACACACCTGCCTTTGAACCTTATGCCCAAGCGTTTGGCGACTTACCAGATGACCTAGAAGAATTAGAAGCTAGCATGTATGAGAAACAAGCCAGAGTAGAAATACTTTCAGGAGCAAATAATGATGTAAGTCTTAGTGAGTGCAGCGCTTAATGCATTTTTTCTTTCATCGCCTAATTTGTCACTCAAACTCAGTCATGATGAAGGATGTTTTCTTTAAACACATATTTTGCTCTAATTAGGCGAGTTTTAACATAATTGTTACAAAACTTCATAGCATTTCTAACAATCCTCGTTGTCCTCCCAAGAGACTGGATCCTCTTTCAAAAAACCTGTCAGTAGATTTAATCTCTTGAAGAATTCATTGAAATTTGGTGTGATGAAATCATAAATTTATAATATATCATCTATTCTGCCGTGCTACAGAAGAACGCTGTCTGAACATCCGAGAGTTGCTAAAGGACTACGTGCAAAACGGGCCATTTGTGGCTCGGGGCAAATACCTTTGAGACTTGCCCTATTCATTCACCTAACAATGCCCCATCTTTTCCCAAAGTTTGAAGCCCCCCAAAAATTTTGGGGAGACGCGGCGGGGGGTCAAAGTTAAAAACCGGCAAAATTTTTGCGAATTTATTACTCAAAAACTAAGAAGTTTTGGAAAACGCGGTTTAAACGAGCGTATTCAGCGTGGCGAGAGCTTTCAGAAAATGTATAACATCATAGGGTTTTGTTCGAGTTATCGCCTCCGAAGCGCCGGAACATTGAAATAAGACCCCTTATTTTTTCACGTTTGGGCCGATTTAGAAAAAAGCCATTTTTTTATTTTGATGAAAAACTGATATGTTGTTCCTGACTCTCTGTAGCCCCTCTAGCTCTTTACCGCATGCTGGGGAAATGTTTTGGTCGCGAGTTATACGAGCGGAAAGGAGCGAAGGTCGGGAAAATCGGCTAATTTGAACTGCGCGCGCGGCGTTGATCGGAAGGAAAACGTCCCCTCCCACTCAGTTCGGCGAATCACACTCCTCTGCCGACCTCGCATTGTTGCCACATGTCTCCTGTTCCGTCGCCGCGCGCAGTTTAAAATAGCCGATTTTCCCGACCTTCGCTCCTTTTCGCTCGTATAACTCGCGACCAAAACATTTCCCCAGCATGCGGTAAAGAGCTAGAGGGGCTACAGAGAGTCAGGAACAACATATCAGTTTTTCATCAAAATAAAAAAATGGCTTTTTTCTAAATCGGCCCAAACGTGAAAAAATAAGGGGTCTCATTTCAGTGTTCCGGCGCTTCGGAGGCGATAACTCGAGCTGAAGTTGACAAAACCCTATGATGTTATACATCTTCTGAAAGCTCTCGCCACGCTAAATACGCTCGTTTAAACCGCGTTTTCCGAAACTTCTTTGTTTTCGAGTAATAAATTCGCGAAAATTTTGTCGGTTTTTAACTTAGAACCCCCGCCGCGTCTCCCCAAAATTTTTAGGGGGCTTCAAACTTTGGGAAAAGATGGGGCATTGTTAGGTGAATGAATAGGGCAAGTCTCCAAGGTATCCGCCCCGAGCCACAAATGGCCCGTTTTGCACGTAGTCCTTTACCCGAATAAAACATGTATTTTTTAGGAAAGTTGTGCATATTTTTCCTTGAAATTTTCAGATAAATTAGATTAATATGAGAACAAAATTGAGAAATTTGAGCAAAAATATTCACAATTTTCTCAGTGAATTCGGTTTTTCTTTAAAGAAATATGACAATGTCTGAAGGCTCATACGGCATTCTTCCTTAGCACGGCAGTATTGATCAAGACAAAATATAAGTAATTTATTGATTAAGAATTATTGTTATACATAACTGAATTAATCTTTTTTTCATTTCAGAGTCTTCGTGAGTATGAAAAAAGAAAGAAGACAATAAAGAATCTCGAAAGAGATATAGCACAAGTAGAAACGCGTGTGAATGAGGTAGGAGCGTCCATGAGTGCAAAAAGAGAAGTATGGTATCCAGCAGTCACAGAATTAGTGAGAACCATAAACACCAAGTTTTCTCAATTTTTTGCCTCTTTCCAGTGTGGAGGGAGAGTAGAGCTGTATGAAAACGAAGTACGTTTTATTGAATTATTATTTTATTTCAATTCCATTGTTATTATTTCATCAAAAATTATTTGCTTGCATCTAAGTATTTTAATTTTCTGATGTGTCACATGCACCATTCATTGAAGTTCGCTTAAGGAGGTTGATATGTACTTAAAAGTTCTGAACTTCCAACATTTTTCTTTTGGATTTTTTTTTTTGTTGACATAGCAAAGTCTTCATATTATGATCCCTTGATCTGAAAACTTGCGCTTGCACCCTAAAATGCGCATGCTGATTATATTAAGAAAATTTTTCAACTGTGTAAGTCCAATAAGTTTTTCTAAATTGGTGCTGGAGAATTGCGTTATAGATTGTTTTGTGTCGCAGGCAAGTAGTCAAAATAGGCATTTTATCAAATGCCTAGGCAGTTAGTCAAACTTCGACACTCAACAAAGTTTCACATATTTTTAGGAAAAGCTCTCGAATTTTCAATATTTTGACAGTAAGAATTCACCAAACTTGCATATTAAGTTTCCAGACGCTCCTCATCCTTTTTTAAAGGTCAAAATTTTAAAAACGCTTGTTATGAAATGATGTCTCTTTTGAAATAAATGTCCTTTTCTAGGCTAAAAATCATGATAGCAACTATGGAATGATTTTAACCACAAATCCTATCCATGAAGACAAATACTTCTTTGGCTCAAATTTAGCATGAGAGTCACAATTTTAATCTGAGTGAGAATGTTTGACATACTACCTAGGCATTTTATCAAATGCCTATGTTGACTTCTTGCCTGTGACATATGTATTCAGGTGAAATATTTGCGGAATTTGCAGCCCCCTCTTCTTCAGGGATGCAGGAGCAAGGGATAACTCAGAATTTTTCAGACGACAATCATTAAGTGGAAAATTTAGTCACCAGTTCAAATTTCCAGCTAAACAACGCTAATTTGCCACAAAGAAACATTGACCAGCCATCAATTTGAGATAGAGATAGTAATAGTACTTTCAGTTTTTGCTCACAGTTTGCCTGATTTCATCTTTTAACCCGCTGCTGAATGCCTTTATCTATCATTTGATCTGAAACAAAGAAATTTTGTCCAAAGTTTAAGGGAAAATAGCGCACTTTAAGAGGAAGAATAGAGTAGAAATTTTGTTTGAAGGTCAGGGAAAATCAGGGAATTTGAAATTTCTGGAGTCAGGGAAAAGCAAAAGTAATCAGGGAAAGTCCGGGATAGAGGAAGAAACCATGGCAGCTCTGCAGCCTGATCGTTGAAATTTTGTGTTCGTCGGGTAGATATAGATGACACAAGTTAAAAGTCGAACCGCGATTGGTCGGCTATGTCTCATCGCTGCTGTGTCGTGCCTATGCCCGGTGGAACTCACAACAAGTCAAAGGCACCTGTCAAGTTTCTGACAGTATGTCGTCCATTCCACCTGACTAAGGTACGATGAAGCAGCGATAAGACATTGCTGACCAATCACGCTCCGCCTTTTAACGTATGTCATCTATGTCTACCCAACAAACACAAAGTTTCAACAATCAGGCTGCAGCTGATAGTGACTTTGAAAAACCAAGATTAGGCATTATCCGTTGGGAATGTCAAAAGCTGTTTAACATAATTCACCTAACCCTTGAATTATCCAATATACAGCAATTCTTTCCTCTTGAAGCAAAAAACATGTATAGCTCAAGGTAAATTTACACCAATTTAGGGGAATTCAAACAAACATTAAGATATCAAACAAATTTCGCTAAACTTCTGATTTTGCTTTAAATTTTTATTTAAAAACAGATCCTTCACGATTTGAGGCATATTTCAGCTGTTTTTTCTCAATAAATTTATTTTGGAAAGCAGAAAGTAAAGCTGAAAGTATGCGAAAGTAAAATATCACATTCGATCAGTTCAATCGAAGGATCTATGTTTGCGTTTGTATGCTTTCAGCAGTGAGTAAGATTTTACAAACAAGATTTTTTGGGGATGAGCCACTAAAATATGCTCCTAGGCGCATCTGTTTTTTGCCAAAAGAGTGAAATCAGTATTTTTGCCAAACTGTTTGATATCTCGTTGTTTGCAGGGTCTCTGGCAGGCTGGGAAAACCGGGCAAGTCAGAGAATTTACAGCCTTCTGGAATAGTTAGTGGATTCATTGGATATGTGTGAGAATTCTGCTTGCACAATTCAGTGTAATGAAAAGGAAAAAAATTGACAGGGACAGCAAATTCGAAATTTTGCAGTCCGTGAATCAGGAAATGAAGAAATCCTGGAAACCGTGTTTACTTACACCCACTGTGCTTTTTACCTCAAAGGGTGGACTCTTATTTTCCTTTGAATAGATAACTTGCGAATGCCCGTTCTTTTCTTCCTGCATAGAAATATCTCACTGTGCCTCTTATTTTTTAAGACTCTTGTATAATATTTCAGGAGCCTTATTCTACATTTAATGCTAACTTGAAATTACATTTTTGTCAGGATAATTACGATGAATATGGAATACGTGTATTGGTTCGTTTTCGAGATGACTCAGAGTTGCAACCTCTTGACGCTCACACTCAGAGCGGAGGCGAAAGAGCTGTCAGCACTGCTGTTTATTTACTGTCATTGCAAGAGCTAACAGATGTTCCTTTCAGAGTAGTGGATGAAATTAATCAAGGGATGGATTCCTCAAATGAAAGGAGGGTTTTTGACCTTTTGGTTAGAACCATTTCCTCGTCTAACTCAGCACAGTACTTTTTACTGACTCCAAAGGTAATTGACTCCCATAAAATATTTTCTGAGCATCTCTACCGTTGAGTATTTATCACTATACTTTTATCTTTGAATAAAAATAGGTCGGGACCTTGAATCTGCTTTTCAATAGTTGATCGGTAAAATCAGCTCATGCAACAGCGCATAATGTTAATTTTTAATAACTATTTTTTAAACGAAGAAATCTGATGAGTAAGTATCTACAATGCAGAGGTGAATTAACTTGTGTATACATATGAAGCTAATGTCATCAGCATCATAGTGAGGATCATGAAGTTCCTTGCTATACCTCAAAATTTCCCCCGCTTCCTCGATTAAGCTTGAAAATATCTTTACCACCCAGGCGTTTTACACCCATGTGAGGTTTTGCAAGATTTTTTTTTGGCGCGTATACGTAGTATACCGCCTTTGCGATCGTTTCGACCCCCCCCTCGATACAATAACCGAGTCCCCTAGTTCCTTACCGAAAAGTGACTACCGCGAACTTCTGAGATTTTCCAAAGCGTGTAAAAAGTTTACTAATCCGTCAATAATAATGATTAAAATTTGTTTCTCATTCTGGGGCTCGCTAGTTTATGTGTAATGAATACCAAGAGTCTACGTTTCTTGGTTTTTTTTAAAAAAACCTTAGAATGGGGCGCGCTGATTTAAAATATGCATATATAAGCGGAAGCAAGCGAACTGATTCGAGGATGGCTGACCAGTTCGGCACTCCTTGAATGAGAATTTCACTCACTCCGTTTTGTTCACAACGTTGCTTTGACATATCTCCACAACACTGTTATCCTTTTCAAAAGTTGGTACTCCTTGCTCTGATAGCCGGGGCCACCAGGATAGTGGTAAGTGCAATCTGTGATGAGCCTCGAGACTCATTAGACCATTTGCTAAACGTGGCTCATACAGGAGTCCACTAAGCCCTCTCGTCCCCACGCTCCTGATCACTGCGTCGGCGTCACGAAGAACAATGGGCCTTGGGTCCCAACGCGGCCGATACCCGTACCCCAATTACTCACGCTTCATTAACCATTTCACCGTCACGCTAGGATTCATCCAATTTTCAAAAAAAATTGTTTCGCATGTATTTAGCAATTTTTTCCTTACTCTCCGTTAAAACACAAATAAAAAGAGACCTCATTCATAAAAATCGGCCGAATAGAAGAGAAGTTACAGTAATCGAAATCCGAAGAAATCAACAAAACCTCGACTCCTCGATACGAAAAATAAAATGAAGGGGAAAAAAAGAAAGTATAAATTACAATTAAATATAATTGACCTCAAAATTTGACAAACAATTCATTTATATACCTAACGCTGAAAAAACTGGGAGAAATTACAAAAAATTTGCCTCTTGCAAGGGGCTTCTTTGTAAGAATTTTGACCTGAAGACAACGGTCGAATAACAGCAGTACTCCATACAATACACGGTGTGCCTGAACGAGTTAAACATTTTTCATACGTCCAAATCGAAAAATCTTTATATTTTTAACTACAATGTTTCTTGAATCGTTTAAGCAAAAAAAAAAAAAAAAAAAATTCCGTCGAGATTCTGGAACGCAAAGGCGCTTTAAAAGTATTCTGGGGCTATAATAGCTAAATCACCGGTAGTAAATTCGTTATATTATTAAAAAGAAATTGACTCCATAGTTTAATTCCTTAGTTTCTTGAATACGATTATTTTAAGCACTTAAACATTTATACCACCAATTTTAGCCATGGGGTGATTTCCTGAGAGCCGATAATATCACGAATTTCTCATAGAACCCCTCAACAGTGGCTTGCTTTTTTGGCAGCCGATTCGGCCATCGAACCGGAGTTTAAATGGAAGCTGATAATAACCCAAAGCTCTGAGAAAAATTTTGAGATGAGTATAAGAACGGTTTGTTGTAAGTAGCGAGGAGAGGCGGGCAAAGCGGCTAAAATCCTATCTAATTTTTACAGTTTTTCTGTTGAATTAATGTTGCCGCGGGCTTCTGACTGTCCACACATAGTTCTGTTCAGCATATCGATACATAAGTATTTACATTTTACATACGTAGAATCTAATTTTCACGTCGGGGAGTTGACATATTTTGATTTTTTCGATTTTATACGGAAAATTGATGGTTTTTCGGGATTGAAATTATTATTGTTTCATGAAAAATAAATGCACCCAAAATGACTATAGCATATTGATTCTTACACATTTGCACTCACAAAATTGGTTGGTAAATTCAACGAGTGGGTGCATCGACCTGGTATATCAAGTTTCTGCAATTTTTTACGGCAAATCAGTAGATTTTCGGGATGTAGATTGCTTACTTTCAATTCATGAATGAATAAAGCAACGACATGGTTGAACTTCTTTGCATGGAAAGACGTTTAAAATAACAAAATCAAGACGTATTTAATGCAATTGCATTTATATCGAGTCAATTTCTTTTCAATAATATAACGGGATTTTTACTACCGGTGATTTGGGTATTTTAGCCCCAAAATACCTTTAAATCGACTTTATCTTCTAGGAGTTCGACAGAATTTTTCCTTTCTTCGCTTAAATTATTCCGTAGCACTTTTCTTCAAGAATCTGATAAGATTTTGCTTGAGGCAGATCAAAAAACTTAAATTCGATCGAATAGCTTTCTACTTTCACAATACACGGTCTCGTCAAGGTGCGTCTTTGACCTCGCAGTGTTGGATCGTGAATTCTCTTTTTATGCTGTTTGCCTATTTTGAAATCTCTGTAAATGAAAACTAAAGGGGTTGATATGTGCGAGTTAATGACGCGCCTTATCAACACATTGTGTTGGAGTTCACTGCTTGTTTTTTATTAGAATTAAAACATGTGACAATGAGATATGTGGAGCCGATAGATAGTTGTCGCCAGAATCTTCGTATTTCAACTTTTCAAGTTCCTCTTGGGCATCTTTAAGTGATTTTGAAGTGATTTGAATGTTCATCAGGCAGAAAATTTTCGCAATAAGCTGGAACTCTGTCCCAATAAAGTTGAGTCTCTGTACATTCTTTTTATGTTAGAGATTCCATTCCGGGTAATTTTGTCCCAACAATACGGTCGTCCTGATCAACCCGTGTATTAATTAAGTGAAATTGACTATATTTTGCTTGCCATTTCTTTTCATAATTTTTGTCTCTGAAGCGGTGTCTCATATCTTCTCAATTTCCCACAGCTGCTTGATAATCTAACATACTCAGAAGAGACAACAGTTCTCAACGTTCACAATGGTCCCTACGCTCTAGACTACCAAGATTGGGATTTACAGAGTTTAATCGAAGCGCAAACAAGCAGGCCTCAAGTCAAGAGACAGAGACGTTCCCCATCGTTCAATGATGAGAATGCAGATGCAAACAGAATACGCTAGGTTTGCAATTCCTTTGCTAGTCTTTCATCCTCCTTATTGTATACCTACCTATAATTTAAGTTTTTTTACTCTGATACCGTATCCTACTCTCAAAGTATTTCTGTTTTTTGTTGTCATTATTTTTCTTTTATTGTTTTTACTTTTTTACTTCTATAATTACCATTTAAATATTACAGTTGAGTCTTGATTATCTGGATTAATCGGGAACTGACCCAGTCTGGATGAACCAAAATTCGAATAATTTAAAAATTTAAAATTAGACCAATGGAAATTTATACATTTAGAGTATTTAATTACATATCGATTTAGAAAGGCCTTGAAGAAATCAGTAAGTCTTCTGCCTTTTCTGTTCAGCTTGTTTTCTGGTAGTCATGTCCCACCGATTCCGAAAAAAGTAGCTGCAACCATCCATTAACGATTCAGGTTGCGCTGCAATGTGATTCAGCGCATTTGTGGTAGCTTGGAGAATGCGTTCAGAATGCGTGCTCCTTCTCACTGGGAAATTTGTCCTCATTATTTTCTTTTCGGGGACCATGTTTACAATGGCATCATCCGTTATTTCTTCAATCTCATTGACAGTCAACCAATCATTGATCTCCGCTCGGTTCGTTTTCTTTCCTGATAATAGATTGATTGAATATAATGACTTCTGGTTTTTCTCCTCACCTCAAGGGTTGAATTGTCAAATTTGACGGTGTGACAGAAAACAGGTTTCTATGATTTCATCAATATCCGAGCAGGAATTGAATCCACTGAATACAACAGAATACTAATTTGACAGGTTTTTAAAGCGTATCTTGACCTATCAGTTAACCTTGGCTCCATCACATGGCCATGACATAACAAAAACATTTGTCTTTTCGGTTGAGTGTAACTGTCAAATTAGTCCGGCTAATCAAAGATTTTGATGATGACAGTCTAAATAATCAAGACTCTACTGTAGTTTATTGTTACTTTGAATGAGGAAAAGAGGTCTTTTTGTACTTTTAATTAGCCTCCTCCTTCTGTAATGCTGCTTCGTTGAAGAAGTTGAGGCTGACATCCAACTATACTATCAACCAGCAAAATTATTCAAGCTAGCTAGAGATTATTTGTGTTGAAGAAACAAAAAAATCCTTTGTAAGAACAAAACCTTATTTCTTATTTCACCAAACTCTTCCTCACCCAAAAACTGAGTAATCCCAACGATTTACAACAGCAACTCTAAAACCATATCTTTACTTTCTGAAAAAATTAGAAAATCCGAAGGTTTTTGGAAAACCATTCCTGAAAAGAATTGTATTAATATCATATTATCTGTAACTTAAACCCACTAAATGATGATAAAAGAAATAGTGAGGAAGTTAACTTTCCTCGTTAAGAATGTTGGTAATCAATACCTTTTCTTCCTACTTTTTTCTTCCTAATTAATTTTTGCTAGCAATGTAGGCCAGAAGATCACCAAATTAGATGACCCCCATCATTTCCCTCCTAGTACCAAAAAAATCGTGTCTGTTCATGCCATTGAATCAATCTTTGACCTGTCATTGTTCGCTTTTGTGTTTTAAGTGTTTCACTCCGAAAAATACGAAAAATATAAAGTAATAATCCTTGCATGGTCAAGGAAAGAGTAAACCAAAACAAACTGCAGTGTTTGGCATTCTAGGGAAAAATAATGTTTTGACCATCAGAACAAGGTCACAATTTTCATTATTTTTGAGTAAATAGTACAAATTACAAAATATTTCTTGCAGAGCATTACTCATCTTTTTACTTTGAGTGGATCAAAGGTCATTCAGCTTCAAATTTGTGTGTGGCGCATTCTTCTCAGCTTTCTTCCTCAACAACTTTTTGTTAGAGATTCCTTTTTCAAATCCTGTCACAATCTCCATATTTTACCGCCTCTTTGGTGCTATTTTCTTTGTGAAACCTCTCAATGGATAAAATTTGCCCTTCAGTTCATCCTCAATTTTTTTAAAGATTGACTCACTGCACTGCAGGGCAGCCGGTGAAAGAATTCATTTTCTTTTTTTCTTTAAGCAGGTACAAGTTAGATTCGTTAAGTTTAGTTCTGTATGTAGTTTTTTTTTTTTTTTTTGGATAAGACCTCATTGTACATATTTACGTCAACCCTACATTTATTACTTTTATTAAATACATATTTTTCTTTCCCAACTTTCATACTCAATATTTTTAACTGTAGAATAGCCCTAATTTTCTCAACTAGGGTGCAGGAGGTGCAGACTTGTGAATAGACATGTCAATTCAATTTCACGGGTGAAATCGAGTGAAAATCACGGTGGGCACTTCTGAAAAGTCTGAAATCGACCTAGCCAACAACCTAAGTAGTTTGTAACATGCTTTTTTAAATTTCCTGCACCCCTGAGGAGTTTGCTTAATGGTCGAAAATCAGGCTTTTCTGAAAGTTATTTAAGAGAACCTTACTGCTATGACCAACAATTTTGCAAACTGTTACAAACATTCCTTGCTTATGATTTCAGTCAATTTTTTTTAAAATTCTTTTCTGGGGAGGGGGGGGGGCAAAAGAAATAAATAGAAAGGAAGTTTGCAAGATTGCCTGTTTTTATATTTATGAAATCGTTCATTAGTAACATTATTTTGAAATATGATTGTAGAGAAAAGAGTAGCCAAGGTGTTATATGTGTATTCTCTTATTTATTTATTTAATAAAACTTGCGCTAAAGCTTTTCGCAGCTGACTTTTTACTAATTCACTCTCATGAAGCCTTAGCAGCCAAATATATGGAGAGTCGAATATAAGTCTTCCATCTGAACAGTTGTTGTTTCATAGCACCGAAAGTTGATGATAATTAAATAATTCACCTATAAAACAGGGAAGATACTGCAAAATCTCATTAAAACACAGCTTGTATAGTCATCTTCAGGCCAAATTAACAAAATCGCCATTTACACTTTGACACTATGTCGCCGGACGTCTCAATATGGTCATAACATTTTCTTTGAAGCTTTGACACTTACTTTCGTTAAGGATGAATTTTGATGACAAGGGAAACAGTAGATGAAAGTTTTAAGTGATTCTGTTCATTAGTTTTTCTCTGTATGATACTGAACTCATTTGAGAAGTTTGGCAATGTAGTACCTAAGCACAAATCGATAGTTAAGGAACAATACTACCCAACTGACAATTTTGGCAAAAACGAGTTAGCAGCTTTGTCTCATTCTACCGTGTAAAATACCAAGCTGATGTTTATAGTTTTTCCCATTCCACATAGGATGGCAGTGGTGACACTGTAATGTATGAAAAAAATTGCAAACCTAATTCTAGAATTACAAGATTGGCCAACTTTTCTCTTTGTCCTGTAAAATTGTCAGTTTGCAGATAGGCCTCCTTAGCCATCGAAACTATGCTTACGATACTTCCACCGGAAAGTGACGATGATAGAATAATTGATTTGAAAGTTCCATTTTATCTCTTATCAGTTACAAAGATAATCAGGGTTCCCAGATGTTACGACTTGTCGTAACATTTTGGAAAAAGTGCTGATTTTTGCAAATTGGTGTGAAATGTGTGCTGATTTTGCATGTATGCTGAATTTGTGCTGATTTTTGCCAATTTTGTGCTGATTTTTGACAAAATGTGCTGATTTTTCTTGGGTAAACGTACTTTCATGAAAATAGGCGGTATTTTCACGTTTTTTTGGTGGCAGCATGGAGTGGAGGGAGGGAAAAAGGAGAGAAAATGGGAAAACAAACAAAGAGGCAAGCAAAGCAATGAAGCATTTTAAGCAAGCTTTTAATAAGTTTTATCTTAATTCAGACGATTTTAACTTAATTACGTGCTTGTGTCACAGAATTAGAATAAAGTATGCAGAAGCCTAGGATCCCCTCTCAAAACTTCTCATCCTTAAAATATGAGTCCTCTGAGATGCAATATCACGAAGTCTTTTCTAATATTTCAGTATTTTTCTCCCTCAACGTGTATAATTAATGCTAGAATATCTTTCCGAAAAATAGTACATAATGGGAACATAATTAGAACATTACATACATAAATAGAATTTACATTCATAGAATTACATAATTAGAAGTATGAAATAATCTCTTTTTTTTCTCTGACGGTCTTCTGCATGAGGTGACTCATTCAAATTTAGCGCCAGAGACGTGACATCAGTGCTGCTCTCTGCGCGAGCATGACGTTCCCAGCCTGGTTGTGTGCTTCTGTGCTCTGTTCGGCAAGTGAGACAGGCGAAATTATCGGATCTGCAGCTAGTTGTGGGTTTTGACCGTTGAAATCTCAGTAGTTAACTTTAAATTAGGTTTTTTCAAGGAAAATTTCAGAGTGCTGAAAAAGTGCTGAAATTTGATGAGGCTGAGTGCTGATTTTTGAAAATTCCATCTGGGAACCCTGAAGATAATTGAGACAAGATGCAGCAAAAGTGCAAGATCCGATTATAGCCTCTCTTTATTGGTTGCAGTTTATCAATTGATATTTGAAGAAAATTCCTTCATTAGAGGAAAAAAGGGGGGACAGGACCACCCGAGTGTTATCACCCATGATGGAAGATTCTGAATTTAGAATGAGTAGACTAGGATTTTGATGTTCTAAAAAAAAACCGCCATCCTGTGGGAGAGCTAGAAGAAGGGGGATAATAAATGAAAATTAAGAATTTCATTTTCATGCACAAATGAGAATTTTTTTTATTTTGATCTAGATTTAGGAAATCCTTTACAATTTGAAAGTAGACTCTTACAGAAAAAGAAGAGTGAGAGCGAGAACCTATCGACTATGAAGAGAATAAAACTGGCATTGAAAGATAGAAATGGAATCCTTATTCTTCTGTTTTATCCTTCATAATTTTCAGATGCTTTACAGTTAAACATTTTACTACATAATCAGGCAATATACGTAAATTTGGGGGTTCTCTGATTTAACCTCTCATCCCTCAATCTCCAGAAGAACACCACCATGAGATACCTACACGTTCATTGAAGTTCTGAACAATTGATTCCACGGTGATACTTCTGTAGATTTGTTTCCCTCAAACTTTATTTTCATTTCCAAGCATCAATGATTAGGATAAAATTCGATAGTTAAACAATAATTACATTTGTCGAAACATTATGAGTATCTTCTAAGGCTAGGTACTTGATTCTTTTCCTAAAATTTTAATGCTTCTTGATTGATCTTATGAATATGAGAGCTGCGATAGATACAAACATGAAGAAAAGAGTTGGATTATCTTCTGGCATATTGATAGTGAAACTTCCAAACCATATATCTCGGTTTCCTACGTTGCAAACTTCCTTTATTTCTATAAACGGAAAATGACTCAACGCCAATGCTCAAAAACTACCATAATTTTTTTCTCTGTGAGAAAAAGTCTGAAAAAACTTCAAGGAATAATGTAGATTTGTTTCCCTTAAAATAAATAAAATAGGAGTAGAGATTTTATAACACCTCAAACGAGATACTCAGTTTAGAAGTTTCACCATTAGGTTTTATTAGTTCTACTTAAAATTGCATGTGCCAGATGTGAAAATATCTACATCCAGGAAAAATTTCTATCTTAGAAAGAAAGGTTTCCTAAAATCAAATACTTACATTGGTTACTGGATAATTTATTGACAGTCAATTCTCACACATTAACTAAAGATAATAAACCTTGTCTGAATACCAAATCTTCATGTTGCAAATTACAGAAAACAATTCGTGTAGGAAATTATGCTTTTCTTAACTGTGCAATAGATGACTTCATTCATCTTGTTTTTTTTAAATCGTCTTCCAGGAATTAATTTGCAAGGTAGGAACTTGGCATTTGGAGAAGTTTAATCATATTTTACACATCCATGAGAGTCAACATCATAATGGAGACAATGATCATTCTGACACAAGATACTGACCCATGGCAAATGTAAACAAAAAAAGCTGAATGATTCTTTCTTGAATTTTGAGCTTCAAAACTGATGTTAAAAATATAATAAAAACTAATTTTGTTCAGAGGATACAAGGCTCATGGTTATACATCATTACCAGCTCATCACAGGGGTGCAGCAAAAAATGTCCGATTTTATAATCTAGGGATTGCAGTAGATATGTGGAAAATTTTGGGACAAAGTAATATTCGATAGCGATAAATCTTTTATTTTCTTTTCTTCCACGTTTAAGAATTGCTGCATCACTGACTTGTCACTTAGAATTTCTTTAGCATGACTTGACAAATAAGCAGGAGAAGCAACCTTCCTGAAGTTTACAAAATTATTGGGGATTCTATCTGGCATTAATCCTCTTTTTTGTACAAAAATGATGTCTCAAATACATGACACATTCACTTAAACATCATATCAAAATAGCATGAAACATATAGCAAACGTACAAAAATATATTCTAAAAAAGTTATCATTTCAAAATTAAGGACACGAAAATGACAAAGAATTCTACAAATAAAAAATAATCATAAAATACAAATTTACATGATGAAAATCAAAAGCAACATATTAACTATGCTAATGTAACACTTACTCATAGTCGTCTTTAGAATGTTTTGACGCTTTTAATTCTAAATTTGGAGCAACTAGTTTGACGTTGGCAAAAAATGGATGCTTCAAGGCAGACCTTGCACTAATTCTACTGACAGGATCATACTTTACTAATTTCTGAAAAAAATAAAGTCAGAAAATAATTTATAAAGAGTGCATCAGTACAACATTTTTATTGGAAGGATAAATTATTATTTCAATAAAATGTTGATGGCGATTTGAATTCCCTGTCCTGTCTAATGATCACTTCCAAGTATACTTTTTTCATCTGAAAGTATGTTCTTATGGGGCATTCGATAGGTATTATGAAGGGTATTTTGCCCCCAAAAGAATCTAATTTTGGCTCATGTACATATTTAGAAAAATGAAAGTATCGACACAATGTTTGTACTGTGATCTACCTAAGTAATAAAAATTCCCTGAATTTTCACACAGACAATTAGCTTGTATAGAAATGAAAATGAGAAATTTTTAGCATTAATTTCTGTCCAAATAACAGAAACATGCAAATATTTTTTCTTAGGGAATGTATTATTCAACTGCCTGAAATTACAGTTCCTTGTTGAAACTCATTTCTTTTATCACTTTCAAGTGCAAATCAGAGCATTGAGCCCCCAACCTGACTGACTGTGAGACTCATTTTGATATAAAAGTAGACTCTCGGCGTAACAATAGGGATCCCCTCTATTACAGCCTCAACTTAGAGAGCTTTTTTTCTACATGCAAGTTCCCTTCAAGGGAAACTAATGGCACTATCGTGATTCTTGCGAAAGTTTATGGTAGAAAAAGTAGGTAATTAAACGGCAAATCCCTTATTCATGCAAGAGCTCCGTAAAGCGTATGACAAGAATCATCAGCAGAGAAAAAGAGGAACCAGATTTCTGAAATGATAGATACGAGGGTCGTCCAGAAAGTAAGTTTACCTATTCAATATCTCCTAAGCTAAAATGGATAAAGAAAATCTGTGAAAAGCGTTAAAAAGCCACTACTCTCAGCTTTTTAACATGCTGTAGATTTTCAAATTTGGTTCAATAGAACTCTAGAAAAATGGATTCATTCAAATTCACCTCTCTGCATGGGTCCAAAATTTCATGGAGCATCATAAGTTAGTGAGCTGCTGTGTCAATCACTTATCGCAAAAAAAGAGCTTAGAGATGGTTGAAAATATTGTAAAACATAAGGAAGGACATTAATTGCTCAGCAAGGAAATTGCAGAATTGACCCATGTTTCCTTTGAAATCAGTTATATCCAAATAAAAGGTGACCGAATTGTCAGCATTAACTAACTTACTGACTGAATTGTTCATAAGCCTTCACATTAGTTACTCCCTCTCGAAAAAATTGCATCAGAGAGACATCATTTTGAAAAATATGCAGCGTTCACGACATTTTTCCTGTAAATTATCCTGAATTTGAGGAGCTATGGTACCTTACTTGGTTAAAACACAAATTATAGAGCGCAATGCAGACACTGACCTGGACGACCACCTAAGAGATGAGCACAAAGCTGGCTCTCCTCTCTTGAGGTAATTGCTGTTTTCATTGATTTGACGAGTCCTTTATCCTTAAAGATCTTTAGATTTTTTAATAATTATATGATTTATTGTGCTCCATACTGGGATGGCCTGACAAACAGGGCTATGCTCTAGTTGTTTGTAGAAGGGGAACAAGAATTCAAACTCTAAAACCAAATTCAGCGTCACAACTCCTTGAGTTAACCAATCGTAGCTTAACCTTCTCTCATACTGCAGTCCGGACCCATAGACCGACTTATCAAATAATCCTGCAATTTCATGACTAAGCAATGTGCTTTCTCACGTTATAAATGAAATTCAACCACCTCTAAACTACTTTCTTGCCATAGGCAATATACACAATATAGCGCGTCAGAAAGCTGAGAGTAGTGGCTTTTAGACGCTTTTTACAGATTTTCTTAATCTATCTTAGTTTGGGAGATATTGCATAAGTAAACTTACTTTCTGTAAAGCCTTCGTACTTCTTTAATAAAATCTTGTCTGAGGCATACTACTAAAGGTACATACCGAAAATAAGTCGATTCCTTCCTCATCCAAGCGAGGCACGACTTCTTTCAGTTCTTGCTGCTCCCAATAAGGAAATACAGCTTTGTAGTCGGGCAGTTGTGTTACTCCTGGCCAAGAATCTTCATCTGGAGTTCCTAACGTACGAAATATGCGAAATAGCTGGTCAATTTCTGAGTCACCAGGAAACAGTGGCTTCTTGGTTAGCTGTGGATCAAAGTATAAGGCTCCTTTTAAAAAAACGATTTTAACAATATTTAACGACGAACATTTGATATGTTGCGTCTACACAGACGAATTTCTTCCCAATCACTGGGACAAACTTTAGGCTGGCTATTGGCCGATTTTGGACAATTTAAAGCAGCCCGGTAATACATTGAAAGGCGATATATTTCATGGTTAAGATAGGACTACGTCTTTTCTTGTCAGGCCAAGACTTTTTCAATAATCGGGCCACTGGTGTGCAGGGAGGGTGGCCCAATGGACCATTTGACGGTATAAGAAATTAAGCACTACAGCACATTTTTTCTGACAAAATTTTACACAGAACACATTAATCATAACAAGAGTTTATTAGTGTTTGGTAATGAGAGAGAATAGGAGTTTGTTAATGTTTATTTCTCATTTGTGAGTTACTTTTGGAAGCAAAAGTAAATAAACATTCGTGGTTTACATTATAGACAGAAAATTCAAACTTTCCATTCGCGAATTAACCATGGTGTAACCATTGGCTTTGTTTTCCCTGCTAGATGGTGTGGACCCAGCACCATTTCACTTTTTTGTTGTAACTGATTTATTATACAGAAATTTTCATACTACAATTTCCTAATCCACCACTCTATTTCGCAATTCTCGTCACTCCCTCTGGCTAACTTCACTTACATCTGGCCAAAAATAAATGGGAGGCAAAGTAATCAATCTTCGATATTTTTCCTTCTCCAATTAATTATTATTCCCTCACAATAGCAATAAAAATGCATCAGAAATTAGAGAAAATTCAGGACCATCTAGTGATACTTATCATACGTCCTCACCCTCTTTGATTACTTTGATTTAGTGACCACACTGAGCAGCCATTTCATTTCATGGGAGATGAATTTAAAAGATGAAATAACAATAATAATATATGGCCGTAAGAATAATTTAAATAATAAAATCTGTCAGAAACATACCATTTCAGCAAATATGCATCCAACACTCCACAAATCCACAGCAGTTGTGTAAATTTTTGTACCAAGAAGAATTTCTGGAGCTCTATACCATAATGTGACAACTTCATGCGTAAAACAGCGTAATGGGAGGCCAAAAGCTCGAGCTAATCCAAAGTCAGCTAGTTTAATATGACCTACTTCATCTATTAGTAAATTTTGAGGTTTCAAATCCCTATGTATGATAAGGTGCCGATGACAATAATCTATTGCACTGATTAGCTGATGTAAATAAGACTGTTAGAACAGAGAAACACAAATTAAATTAATAAGAAGAGAAACACAAATTAAATTAATAAGAAGAAAAACACAATACGCCAGGGTTGCCAAAGAATTTAGAAAATTAAATTCTTTGACACTTCCATGATTTTTCTGACACATTTCGGCAAATTTCCTGGACAATTTGAAGATATGCAAGACGATTAAAGAGACAAAGTTTGAAAAAGTTTTCAGGCAAAATTTGATGTTCAAAAAGTCAAACCCATTCTAAAAAGAAAAGTAAAAGTGAATGAAATTTAAAGAGGCAGTAAATCCACAAAATTGAAATTAACTGAGAAATATTATTTTTGAGACTTTCCATTAGAATCCAATACATACTTTCAGAGATGAAATAGATCACTGAGCTGAGTTGAATTTTCCGAGTAAGATCCCCCCCTCAAAAAAAAAAAAATTTCAATTTTCTGACACCACTTCACTTAAATTGCTCTTTGTCATCATAAAATTGTTGAGCTCATCAACATTTGAGCGAATTCACTGGATGCATCACAAACTTTTCTTAATGATAAGTTTATCATTCATCTACCTACAATGCAACCCTAATTTTATCTCCATCCATCCAGATTTTTTAATTGAAATCATCACCGAAAATCGGCATCAATAAAGTAATAGTTAAACCCCATATCGATAACAAAACTACAGAAATGTCTATATTGGTGTGGGGCTTTGCAGACTTCCGTTTATACTTTATCTTCTACATGGGTAACTATGAATCGTCATTTCTTGGAAACTTCCCTGATTTTGTTTCTCTAAATGAAGATTACTTTTATGAAAATTTCAAGCCATAATCTTTGTTTCGTCTCCTTTTAAAGAATGAAACAGGAGCAGGGATTTCTAAATACCATAACTGAGATCCACATTTCTTCAGTTTCACCGCCGGAATTAGGTTCCAACGACAGAGCAATGAATTGCCGTTGACAAAATTGGAATAATTTATTGCTGGACTGCAACTTATTGGAATCATTGCTACGTAAGTTTATGTTATGAAAGGTAGCTCTAAAAGTTCAAAGACTTACCTTAATTAATGAAATTGATAGTGAGCCTACACACACATCCATGTACTTCTTCAAGTCTTTGTACAAAAATTCAAAAACTAAAAATAACTTGGTTTCACATTGAATCACTTCCAGCAATTTTACTACATTTGGATGTTGCAACTGGTTTAATAAAGAGATTTCTCTGATTGCTGTCGCTGGTACTCCTTCTGTATCTCTGAAATAAATAACGACAACAACAAAAAATTATTTCAACAAAAGAGAAAAATGGCTAAGGACAATGATCTTGGTGCCATCTTGGTGATGATTACCTGGATAAGGAAAAACAAGCATTCCCCTGACTGAAATGTCATTGACTGAATGTCCAGTACATTGACTTAAAACACGATCTAGACAACGCACTATGCCCGACTTTGGGTGGGGGAGGAAAGACAGCTAGGGGGGTAAATCAGGGTAAAGACGCGCCTTCAGCTTAGTTGATACAGCCAGATATACAAAGCGTACCAGGCAACGGCACTGGCAAGACTGGCATTTCCATTGTCTCGGTACATATAGCCGGTACACTTGCTGGGTTGCCTATCGTCTCGCCGAAATTTCCTAATGCACGGTTTAGATTTTATTATACGTCAATGGTCCAGTATTATTTCTTGGTGGTTGTAGTCACTGAGTTACCCCTCTTTCTTAGAGCTAAATATTGTAGATTTTTCTGATTTTACAAAGATTTTCAGTGATCAGCTCAGTCTTCAAATGATGGCTATTTGCCTTGTACAGCATTTAAACTCTACTTCATTTATAACAGTGCCCCTGAGTTAAAAGATACCTGACTCCATTTTAGTCGTTTTGGGATATCAGGGAAAAACCGTTTGTCGGTTCCATTGAATCCAATATAAATCGCAGTTTTTGAAATTCTGTAACTCATAACTGGCTTAAGATAGGGCTAAATAATTTTCTACACACACGGAACCGTTATTGAAGATTTCCAAAACAATGCTGACTAGATTTTTTTAAAAATGTGAGTTAGTACCTTTTGACTCTGGGGTACTGATAGGAGAATTGCCCTATTTTGTCACAACTTTTTGATTGTTTTATGGACATCTATGACAGCAGGAATAATCACTTTTGCTTTGCATTCCTTTATTCTCAGTAGTGAAAATTTGTTAAAGATTGATGAAAGACAAACTGTAATGATATGGACCCCCATCAATGCCCCAAGATGTTCACCCTCTGCAGGAAAAGCAGACATGTCACTTTTTTTGCTTTGCTCTCCCACTCGTTTACTTGATTTCTTCTCTTTTATGCTAGATTAGCAACTCAAGAGAGTAGATAGTGATTTAGTTTTTTGTGGACTGATTACAACTGGCCCAGGTAAATTCACTGACTGCTTGAGTAGACGGCAATTAGCCCAGGAAACCATATCCACATTCATCAATACCAAAATGATAATGAACCGATAGGAGATAAAAGGATCATATCCTTGGATAGCTGGAGGAGATCTGTGTGTGCAATTTCTTTTCGTTTTTAACACTTACGTCTCAAGCCGGAACTTCTTCAGAGCGACAAGTTTTCCAGTTTTAAGATCTTTAGCTTTGTACACAACACCATAAGTGCCTTCACCAATTTTCTCAATTGACGAGTACCCTTCCATTTTGTATCTAATATTATTTTATAGGATGTTCGTCATTTTACCTGCAAAAACACAAAATTCTAGGTGAGATGGTGGAGTAGTAGTTGGTTTCCATATTTATATTACATAGATTAGAAATTGAGGGCTTTTCAAATGTTCATAGGATGGCAAATAATTTGTTTGATGCTAATGAAACAAGCAACTCAATCAGCAATTAAAGGTTGAATAATGAAAGAATTCGAGAAGATTCTCTTCTTGAATTTTAGGAAACAAATTTTGTGTAAATTTTCTATTTTGTATGAGAAATTCTTATTCTTTGTCAATGCAGTGTTGGTAAGTACGACTTCCATAACTTATCTAAAAATATTTTTAAAAACAAGTCCAACAATACTGATAGTGAATATTCCTGGGGTAAAGTCTAAACTTAAATGAAATAAATTGCTTGTTGGTCTCAGTGTTTTCTTGGAAAATTTATGATGGACCTAAAAGATGGCGGACTTTTCTTGGGATAACTTTACACCAAAAAATATTACAGTTTCATAATATACTCTTATGAGAGCTACAAACTATAAAATTGAGGAGCGAATTGACGAAACTGTAACAAAATAATACTAGTGTCAATGAGGCTGGGACACTTCCTGCATCGGGATTGTCATGCTGTTCGACCGGACATTCAGAATGAAACAAGATTTTTCATCTGCAACTGCAAAATCATTGCAATCACTCCTGTCTCCTCACCATTAACACAATGTTTTGCATCTATAGGAATCATGAAACGTCATTCAAGCTTTGGTCGACTGAATTCGATTAGGATGATGACTGAAGAGCTGTGAAGAGTATGGAAGAGCCAATAGTCCGAAGTTTAGGTTTACCTGATGGATAAGATAGAACTAGATGAGAATGCTGCTGTGTAATTGATGAGCTATTGCATTTGGTCAGCTGGGATCTAAGATGCGAGCTCCTTATTCGGCCAAATAATCTACTGGTTGGCAGTTACCAAGAAGGTGCTTTCAGCTAATCCTTCATTCAGGTCCTTAAGAAACTTGTATTGCAGATTTCAGTCAAACGAAAAAGATAACTCACCAATCAAAGAGTATTATCTGCCCATAGTATTGTCTGGTCCACCAGTTATTAACACTAAAGTTCAACAATTGGCCCGTTGCTTTCGTTTCATATTATACGTTGCATCTTACAGACTTGCACTACAAAATTGGGAGGACAAGGAAAGCTGTTTCATGTTTCTAAACATATTCTGCACACAAAAAAGAAGAAATGATTCTCATGAAGCCTGATTTATTACGTGCGGAGTGAAAAAGATGAAAATTACCTGTGTTTAACTGACCACTTACGAACACCTTGGAAGGGTGGAATATCATAATCAGCCCACCTCTACTGCATGTTGGTGGTCAAGGAGTCTGACGAGAATAAATGGTTCGGTGGCTGAAAGACACGCCAAATGTAGGGCTACAAACTATTCGACAATTTCAGCAACAATTAGTTTCAAATTGCAAAGTGAGAAAGTGACAATGAAAATAAGGAAACCAAAAGGAGAAAAGGTTAGGTATGTTATGTTCATGAATGCGCCAAAAATGTATTGACTATTTACATTTTATCTACATGGCGCCAAAATATTTAAATAACGCGCTTTAACTTGGAACATGCTGCTCAACCTTGACAAAATATTACCAAGATCATGGATTTTTCTTCCCATCAATGTTATACACTTCTGAGTGTTTATTTTAGATAATAAAAATTTTGATAATATTATTTATGGCATTTAAAATATTTTTGACTGAGAACGAAAGATTTCGGCAAGACCAATGATTTCGGATTCTTAAATCCGGACATAGACCACGGTTAAACTAGAGGCTTTTGCTTATGGATTGACTGACAACAATGGAATTACATTGTAAACAAAGATGTTTGATGTTGTTGGTTAATGTTGACATTATTGCAACTTGCACAGTTCCGGTTGCAGCTGAAGCAAGCATCATCAGGGATCAGGGTTTCAGTTTTTTTATTGTTCCCATTTACTAAAAATAAAGCCACCTATTTATTGGTCCGCCAGGGATTTTCCATCTTTTCTTTCATTTTTCGTTTTAAAAGTAACAATGATTAAAGTGCAAGAAATCAAAGACCAGGTTGATAAGTCCTTAACTGACGAATCAAAGCCATGGACTCCGATCTTTGCTCTCTTAGAAAGCAAAACTGGAGTCAAAAGATCTTATTTATTTAGTGGTAAGTTTTCAGTTTCTCATCCTCGTTTAAACCCATACCAGTCATATGCCAATTATAATAACCCTGCAGTCCTAATGCATTTGCATGATTGTGGCCGGATGGTCACGCTTTTATATTTCATCCGAATTGTTGTCACAATCAGGTTCTCAGGCAACTTTAGCTTTTACAGCTCTTATGATCATTACCAAGTCAAAGAGAATTTCTATGGTTCAAATATGTACCTCACACTCTCAATAATTTCCACTCCTACCTTATCATCAATACTCGCTTGATCATTACATAACGTGCCCATCCATGTGGACTGGAAGCTCCCATCAATATTTTATGTTAGGATAATATCTGCAAGCTAATCACCTAATTCTGTCCACAAATGCAACCATTTCACTCTTTCTCTCATTTCTCTGTATCAGTAAGCTCTGGGAACCTTTCCTTCTATTATAGTTTCAATCATCTGAAGTGACCTTGAGCAAGAGCCCAGTCGAACTATTTTAATTGGTTAATGCTGATTACCTTGTGCTAGTCCTTTCTGCAACTCAAAATTGAATATTTATTGGTTTTTATTTTCAGGATTTGTGGGTTTTGTTGTGCTCTACTTGATATTTGGATATGCAGCGCAGCTTGTCTGTAACATCATCGGGTTTGTTTACCCGGCATACTGTTCAATAAGAGCTCTAGAGTCTCCAAACAAAGAAGATGACACCAAATGGCTGACTTACTGGACTGTTTTTGCATTCTTATCTATCATAGAGTTTCCCTCAGAAATTATCTTGCGAGTCATTCCAGTCTATTGGCTTCTTAAGGTAGAGTAATTTGATTTATTTTATTTTTCATTTTTTTTTTCACTCTAAAACACTTTATTTTTGTAGTTTTACACGAGAAAACAGTCAAAATATTCTAATGTGAGTCTTCAAACGTATGAGAGCTCATGCAGAAATGGAGCCACTGCCTTCTTTCATAAGACATACTATACTAATCATTAATTAAATGTAGATTCAGTATACTCCAGAATTTATGCAAGCAAAATATTAACAATTTTAACTTGAATTGCCTCTTTTAACTTTTTAAGCTCCCTTTACCTATGCTGCGCTATCAGTTTAGCATGTGAAACCATGTTTGTCAAAGTATGAACAGGAAAATATCCACTCCGTTCAACTGTAGAAATACCATAATTAATCACCAAATAATGTAGCAAGTAGTCTAGTGAAGAAAGTATGAACTTTTTGAAGTTTTCATTATTTACTGAAATTTTTAAATTTTCATTGTGCTATTTTAGTTTAATCATGGATGATGTACAGAATATTGGCTAGTTTCCTCTACTAGAAATGTACAGAGTTGTCAAAGATTCACAGGTTTCTTGTATTTTTAAGACATTAATTTTGGGGGTTAATCTTTTTTTGTAAAAAAAAAATTGTTAAATTTAGCTTTGCTTAACATAATGAATTTACTTAGAATCTGTGACACCGATTGAACTCTCTACTCTCAATTTATGTCATCTGAATGCTTGTTCCTATTTTATGGTTTTATTTTTCAGTGCATTTTCTTCATTTGGTGTTACTTACCCATTGAAAACAATGGTTCTATCATCCTCTATCGCAGATTAGTTCGGCCCATGTACCTCAAGTACCAAAACAATATTGAAGATGTAACCTCTAAATTAACATCCCAAGGTAGTATTATTCACTCAGATCTTTTATCAGAAACTCATCAAGTAAGATACCTACCCTTTCATTCTAATTGAATAAAGCAGTGCAATTCTTTTATCCTTTGCTCATCACTGTCTAAAATAAAATTAGCGCTTTGAAGTTCGGATAAATCTACTGCTTGAACATACAGGTAAAGTTTTTAAGGCTTGGTACTGAATTCAGTGAGATGCAAGTTGATCATCGAGTGAATAAATAAGAGTTGACCTTCTGTGAAGTACTTGCAGGACCAACTTTTACGCTATAAGTGCCCAGTATGTTTGATTTCTTCTCTACAGGTAGTAAGTGCTGACATTGGTCTCTGGCTTGGACGGCATGCATTACCTACATTAAGTACTCTACCTTTAGCCCTACCATACTTGAAGATCTTCAAGTGTTTGTGTCAGTATCAATTTGTTGCATGATCAAGGAATTGCCATTACCCTAGCAAGAATCCACAAAAGTAAAGAAAATGATGAGATTTCAAGAGAACAGCAGGGGATACAAACAATTATTCCTCGGATGCAATAGATGGAAGAAATTTGGTTTATGAGTGACAGTAAAATTTGTAGAAATGAACTGAGTAGGGATACCTAAATGTAGGATCAGAAGTAGGAATGGAAAGCTGTAAAAATAAATAAAACTTAAGGTGAATCCAGGCTTGGAACTTCTCGATTTGGCCACCATGTCGCGCTGCTCAGAATAGCCGTATATATTTGCCAAAGTAATAAAAACCGTAATACTTATTAAAGATTGGGAATCCAGGGGATATAGCAACATACTTGAGGAACACTCAGTAAAAAAATCTTCCCAAAATTCCCAAAAATAAAGTCGTGACTACAGCGGAGAGTAATTCCCTTTGCGGCAAGGGGAGAGAGAGAGACAGAACATGAGGGATTCGGTTGCGCGCTCGGCCGCCGCGGCTGAGCTGAAAGTTTCAGTCATACTTTCTCTGCGCTTGTAATTCTAATTGCCAATATTTTTGGCCCAAAAAATCAAGCAAAAAATGATCTATATCTTGTGGATCTGCTTTTTGTAATTTGAACAATATTATCTCAGTAATCGTTGAAGGAAAGTGAAATTCTCAGTGGTGACTGGTGGCAGTGGTGGCGCTATCTCTTATCTTGAATTATCCCTAATCGAACCCTGGATTCACCTTAATTGCATTGTTCCTTGTGGGTTTCTAGAAGGAGAAAATAGCCTCAGCACTTTTTCGCAACAATATAAAGGAGCATAGATCCATAACCATGAATCATCAGAATTTTTCCAACTTGTTTTAAAATTCCTCTTTGATCTCATTCAACTTACGTAATATTTTGTTTTTCAGCTACCAAATACATTGCTAAAAATTTGTTTGAAGATGGTAAAAAGGGTGAATGAGATAGTCTCAGTTATATCTTCTGAATGGTAAGTTTAGTCATTGTTGTAAGATTTTTGCCATAAGACATGAAGTAAATCACTTTATTAAATACGAAGTAAATGATATCTTAATAGTTGGGCTAAGTTGAAACCTTAAATTAACTGAAAGGCTGTAAGATTTCTTCATAATTTCAGTAACTTACAAGTATGACTCCTGCTTGAGGATTGAAATACATAGTTGCAAGACCTACTATACTACTGCACCGGAGCTGTAGCCATCAAAATATAGCTATTAGCACGTAATCACACTATTCACTATCGGCTATCTATCATCAATTCTACCCAACATGGGCATGGCCAAAACAGTGAGAAAACATAACCAACAGATCACAGTACGATGTATCACTTTTGTCATCTTTGTACGCCTGGCAAACAAAAAATTTCAATGATCAGCCTGTTGGGGATTTTGTAAAAGCATCGGCTTATGGCGAGTCCTCACATTTTAGAACTTTGTCTACTCCTAGTAAGCTGGTCCCAACAAAGGGAAACACTCTCTGTGCACTACATGTTTAATTTTATTGCAATTAATTGCGTTTTATTGTAATTTAGCAATTTTGACTTTTTCAGGTGTTGTGTGGTTAAAAGGACTGTTTTATGGTAATATTTCTTCAATTTCCATTATTTTAGGTAACTTTTGAAATTTTTATTTTTTCCCTGTTTATTAGTATCCAACAAATGTAGCTATAGTTATAAATTAATCAAATATTTTTTTAATCAGGGTGTCACAGGCTACTTTGAATTGAAGTTCTGTACTGAGCAATCATTACTGAGCTGTTATTCTGTTAGGTATATAATATTTTACATCAAATGAAATTTTAAGAAAATGAGTCAGTGTATGATAATGTTGTTGATTAGTGATTAGTTTTAATATTATTCCTCTTTGACATTTTTCCATCCAAGAGCCCTACAGGAACGAATTCTCTTGACTTTATTTTTGATTCCTGACTATTACTCATTTTGAACATTATGGTCATTTGGAATAAGTTTTTTTTTTTTTAGCTATTTGCATACATATGGAAGCAAACTATCTTTCCATTAACGATTCATTATCAAGTTACTTTCCCATCAGGAATCCGTGCTTTACTTATGTTCATTAATGTACAATGGGAAATGCATCACTCCAGTTGTTACATTGCTTGAGTGCAAAGGATCATCTCTCGTTTTCCATTAAGGCATTGCCACCAGTGAACTTTTAAACTCGTTGTTCTGAAATAGATGACATGGACCTCTAGACTTTCATCTCTTTTGAAGTACCTCTTAGAGCAACGTGTAGTGTGGAATTTAACTCAACCTTCCCCTGGCATTTGTGCAATTTGAGTTTCTTAAAACAGGGGTTCTCATGGTGGATTGCAGGTGCCATTTCACAAAATAGCATCCTAGATTATTTGCAAGAATTGTTTTTATCTCAAACTTTTCAAGGCTGTAAGCATGCTTTAATCTACACAGTTGTGATTCTCTGGTGGTACCATGTACATATTCATCTCAAATAGAAGATTTCTTCTCAATGAAATCTGTACTTGGATGTGAAAAATAACGCATGAGTGCTTTTAAGTCAATACGTAAACCTGTGTGTTTTGATACTCTTTGTAAAAGTGAACTAGCGTTTGCACAGATAGATTTTTGCTATTTTATATGCATAGCCCTACTGTGAAATAGAAGGACTGTAATTTTGTTTTTATATTCTCTCCAATGTTTTTTTTTATCTTCATCCTAATGAAACTAAGAGATAAATAAAATTACTGTAAAACTATTTGCTCCCTCTTGTTATTTCTCCAATTTTGAAACATTGTCCTTTCAAGAGCTTTAGTTGCTGTAGTTGAAGGTTTCTGACATTAATTTTTTTTTTTTTATTTTTTCTCACTTAAAGAAAGTTCAAAACCAGTTGTAGAAAGAGTGAAATAAAGAACGACTATTGTTGTATTAATGGAAATTAACTCAATTTATTTCTCAATAACTGTAGCTAGAAACTAAGAAAATCGATGACTGCAACACAGAGCAAAAATCAGAAATAGAACCTAACCTAAGCTTGTATGACACAGTTAACGTATTCAAAGTAGAGCTCTCAAAGTGGCGTTACAAGGGGATTAAGTGACCCCCCAGAGTTTCTGTTGTTTTTCGGTGATCTGACTTGAAAGCCAAAACATGAAGAAAAGTACACGTCATTCATACACACACATATAGGTCGCCTTATAGCACTCCCTCACGCTCTGCAACTCCTAACCTCCATTACTCTCTGTCGATCCACAAGGTCATCATAGATCATTCATTCCAGTGTGATTATTTTGCAAATGTAAAGCAAATTTTCAACTGATTCTGTTAGGTAAATTTAGGAAAGGGCATGTCTTAAAAAAAAAGAACTCTCTGAGCAAATGGGTCAGTCGCGCTAGTCACAGAATCGTGCTTTGATGCTTGATCCTTGTAGTTCAGCTAAAAATAATGAGATTTGTCCAAACAGCAACTCTCTACGTTCAGTATTAACTGAGATGTCGCCCTTTGAAAAGTCAGGTTTTTGAAGTCATCCACCGCAGCAGTGACATCTTTGGTTTCTCCCACCTCGCTTTCATCAGTCAGCATGACGCACACTTGCACTGTGTATTTAACATGTACCTTCGATGAAACCAAGGTTAAAGAAACCAAGGGTGTCACTACCGCAGTGTATGACATCAAAAACCCTACTGTCCATAGGGCGATATTGATATGGCTACTGAACGTAGGAAGTTGCTGAATGGACGAATCTTATTATTCTTTGCTTATCTTCAAGAATCAAGCATCAAAAAAGGATTCTGTGACCAGCGCAACTCACCTATGGGGCCTATTAGTTTTTAAAATTCCATCAATTTTTATCAAAACAAAATTAAGAGAGAATTGATAAGAGGGGTGTTACCCAAAACGAAGCATATTTTTACCCACTGCGTATGATTCTGATAGTCTGCTCATCGTGCAAAGATAAAAATTTGCTTAAATGAAATGTTCTAACCAAAAGTGGGTACATATGAGCTTTTTTCTATCGGTTAATGAACAAATAACTGGTGTGATGGGTGGGACAAATGCAATATTCTAATTACCATGCCACTTTTAGAAGTCTGAAAATGCCCAGTTTCTTTCATTTTTTAAATCATGAAATAGAATATTTCAAGCAACTCTTAGCCAAATTTTAGCCAGTTTCAATGCTCTGTTGAACTAGGATGAGACCATGAATCTGATCACTATTTTTTTGAGATGTGCAAGACAGATTATATTCAAATTTTGACTTATTTTTCAATATTTCAATTAATTTTAAGTGGATTTACTCCAGCATTTTTAATTGAAAACGATTCCAGAGACTGAGAGCTTATATTTTCTGTTGCAGAATGTTGCTTCTCTGGAATGACCCATATCTTACAGATATTTTATTTTAATTACTATTTAATTATTATTAAAAACGGATGTCAGGAATTTGGGAAGATTGCAACTGTAAGGGGCACTTTCAGAGAGAAAACATATAAAGGAAAGAAGTCTTTCTCTTCTGCCAATTACACACATTTTTTGTTGCACTTTAGTTTCTTTTTTTTTTATCAGTCTCGTTTATATAAAGGCAAGAAAGAAAATCATTCGCTCCATAAGACTTATGCAGATAGTCTCATTACAAAACTTGCTAGGAAACAAGTCTTAGTGGTACCATAGTTTTATTGTTTGGTCCGTTCCGAAAAATGATTTTTAAACTACTGAAGTTCTGTACAGTTTGATAAAACTAATTAGTGTCTCTAACTTAATTGCTTAAAAAATACTTGAACTGGTTAAAAGGTTGTCAAGCTCATTGTTTTCACTGGGGGCCTCAGTCAGTGAAAATTCATTCTCAGACTCATTTTTTCTATGTAAGTAATACAATTTTATTTCAACTGATCACTGTAAGGACAAGAAAAACAGAGACATTCTCATTCTCAAACTCATTTTTTCTATGTAAGTAGGTAATACAATTTTATTTCAACTGATCACTGTATGGACAAGAAAAACAGAGTAACAACAATTTGATGTTATCAAAATGCAACACCAGTACTTAATTAATAACAAAATAAAGTAAAAACCCCATGCTGATATCCTTAAAATAAACATCTCGGCAGTAAAACGGCCAAAGATATTCAAATGGCATAAGATCCTTAATTCCCGCATGAAGAATGAAAATAGAGGTGATAATTTCATTGTTGATAAACTCAATGGTATCATCATATAGCACATCATCAAAAAAATTTTCTAAATGCTAAAATCAGTTTCAGTTTTTAAGTAACAAAAAATGACTAATATTTCCAAAATTATTATGAAATTAATTTAGAGATTAAATTATGAAAACTTGATTATAATGTAAGTATTGCCAATGCAAATATCCTTTAAAAACCTAATTAATCTGTGCTAGTGAAATTACTTCGTATTGCTTCACTTGCTAGAGAAGCAGAAGGTCAAGAATACAGCCCATAGAAAAGCTTGGAGCATGTATGATGAGATGAAAATAATAACTTCCCAAAAGTTTAACCGATTAGGAGCTTGAAGGTGCGACGTTTTTAAAATAGTACCATGAAAGACGAAATGTGATTCTAGTTACCTCTTTTTCTGAGAGAGGAGGAAGTTGGAGAGGTTTTCAAATAGGACTTCTAGAGTTGAAACACGATTGATAATTTGTTAAATGCAGGTGTATTTTTCCTGAATCTTTGCCACAGCTGATACAAAGGTTCGAGGGTGGGTAATGCAAACTGCTTTATTCTTTATGAATTAAGTTGTTCTAAAATTCATAAAATAAATTTGAGAACAATGTCTATGAATGTCATAGAGTTAAAACAGGATCTGAACACTATGTAAAAGCTATGACTAATTCATCACAATATGCTAATTGGAGTCAAATTAGAATCGTTAGAGGTATGGTGCCACCTATAAATTTAGGCACTTTTCCGGCATTTTTGTGCCTCCTTGTCTTTGGAACGCACACCCCCCTATCTCTCATCATACTTTGCAGGGATGAAAGCAGCCCTATACCCCCTCTTTTTCGGTAACTTATGCAATGTACAGATGGAATGCTTGCTGATACGTACCTACTTGAGAAAAAAAGGTGACATTTCACAAAATTTTTCAAGAGCCATATACGAGCAAAACAACAATGATGTTGCGATATCAGACGTTTCAAGTGATGCCAGGAACGAGTTCCACAAGAAGGCTTCTTTGATGATACTCAGGTAGAGTCCTGGCCGAATGAGTTTCTTAACTTTCAGAGTGCAATGGAAGGTCAGCATTATTCAATTCAACATTAATAAATTACAAGAATGAAGATGGCAGATCATCTATTGCATTCTAAAACGCGCCACCTAACTTTATCTCCTTGGGGACTCTAATTCAAGGTAATGGATCTGCTTCAAAGTTGTGTTACATATCCTGCCAGTTTTCATCTACAAGGGGGAAGGAGGGCATCTTCATAAGAGATAGTAATCCCCAGCCCTTGAGGCTGACCCCTCCAAATCACTTGAGTGGGGAAGGGGAGGAGCTCAAAGTCAACTAAAAATTGATTGATAACCCATAGGGTGGGGTTTTTCTTTTCCAATTAAAGTTACTACTCTGAAGTTGAGTTATTCTCATTTTCTGGGGGAATAATACTAAAAAGCTTTGTCTCTAAATCCTCTGACATGAGACTCAGTTGTGTGAGAACCCAATCACCAGTCCTTTGATTTTTCCTCCCTTCGATGTGAATGAATCCTTCCTTATGCTGGCCTTTGACATGGAAATTCAGTTTAGATTCATAACCATTGTCAAAATTTATCCTTCCATTCCATGTATCAATAGAGTCCTCTTTGATTGGAACACCGAGGAAATCTTTGACTTGTCTGTTACTGTAAAATATCCTTCTTCCTTCGTGAGCAAGAGGAGATTCTTGGAGCAAATGACCATGAATTGTTCTTCTCAAATACTCCACAATCCCGAGACTAATTACAGTACCTGAGATGCCAAATCCGAGTATTGGTTTCCAAAGGTTCATCCTAAACAACAAATAAAATTAAAAAATACACTAAGTAACATTAAATAAAAGGGTGCTCACGTCGATGCAATATATTGTATATTCATGATTAAAATTTTGAGAAATATTTTTTTTTAAAAAAAAATTTCGGTGATTTTACAGCATACTACATTGAGAATGTTCAGATGTATACCTACATGATCTATTTCGACTTCATTTGAAGTTGGATGAGAAATTTCAGTTTTTGACACTTTTTGTCTTCATAATTTTACACTTGTGTCAAGTTCTTAGGTAAAAGGGAAAAGTCCTAATAAACAGGAGCTTTTAAACTTTTGACGACTGATTTTGCTAGGAAATGAGACCTTCATAATACGGAACCAGAGAAGAAGTGCATTCTGACTCCTTACATTCTTTATATTTACTTAGTGTCAAAATGCTGTTAGCCAGCAGTGGCAATTTCTGCTTGTATGCTAGGGGAGCACTGCGTCCCCAGAGCAATGGGAAAATGATTTCTTTTTCTAGAACACTTATAATCTTTCAAAAATTATAAAGACAGCGATATTAGAAAATCGCTTTGCAGTACGCATAGTAGCGGCTAGTAGTAGCAGGAAACATAGCCAAGTATGCGAATGCAACAACACCGCTTATACGCAGTAGTCACTGCAGCGTATGGGCTTGGGACAAGGAAAGCAGAGCTACAAATAGGATTGTCAAGTATTAGTAGTAGTAGTGTATCGGGCCGCAGCGACAACAGCGCTACTACGCTGCACCTTGAGTAGCGTAGGCCTGCAATCAGGGGCCATGCAGGTGCTACTTCAAACTTTATTTCTTGCATCTCTTACCCTCTTGTCTCTCTCTCCTTTCCACCCTCTTTGCCCCTCCAGCAATGTCTTTTCCATCGCTTTCTCCGTCTTTTAGTCAAATTCTAAAAACTATTATTGCTGGTCACTTAGACACAAATATAACTACGGAGCACAAAATTAAGCTCACTTTGAAAAAAATAAAAATCTGTGTGGGGACTCCCCCCCCCCCTTCAGCGTGGTAATACGGGCTTTTGTGGGATGATCCTGGTTCTAGCCGCACTTACAATTGTATGAACAAACTTCATGTAAAAGAACCCTGATCGCCCCTAAGGGACAGATCAAGAATTCATTGATGCTTCCTTCCGGTACCCACCCACTTCGCCAACAAAATTTCACCTACAAATTATTAGACCTAAAATTATTTTGCCTACTTCAATACACCTACAAAATTTGACCTAAAAATGTGTTCATCTCACCTACAATAGGAAATTGTATCCAAATCCCCAAAGATAATCCACGAGTCTCTCTTGATCTTTGAATGTGTGGTAATCTGGGGCGAGATTTTGAAACCGCTTGTTGATGGCTTCGTATTCCTTCCTCCAAGCCTGTTTTACTCTCCTACCAACTTCTACCTCGGCAGTCAGCAGTCTTAGCTCCAGCTCGCCGGTTGCCTGAAACTGGTTCAACCATGTTGGAGGGTATCGCAGTGGCACTGCCGTTCTTTTACCCCAAGCTCGGACACCTCTAATGTACGTCTGTGACTTATTTTTTTTTACATAATCAAAAATATGTAACATTACTCCAAAAAAAAGTCATATGGTAAGATCAATAGTTAATATGGAGAAGGTGTAAGTATGAAGATTATAAGAGTTTGTGGTGAGTTTTCCAGTTAGCAAAATTCTGTAGGAGAAAAGTAGGCCTAATAATATTAGGTGTAATATTTGTAGGTGAAATGTCATGGAATCCTTTCTTCCACAGCTCTAATGAGCTCACAGTTTTAGGTGAAATGTAACTAAATTACCTGTTTCCTTTTCCACCATTGAAGTCCACTTCTCATCAGACACGGCCTCTTGAACTGCTTGGACTCATAAACCTTACTGCAGGATGGAGTGTAAAAAAACTAGATACAATAATAGAAGAATCTTATGTGATGACAAGACTAATTTAAGATCACATTTGCGTCTAAAAAGAGGAGGAATGAACGTTCTAGCATTGTAATCTCGAAGCGCACCTGAAGCGCACGCACGGGCAGAAAATAAGGTTATGTTGTGGTCATTCTCATTCATGTAAAGAGGAAAGCGGTAAGGTCATTGGTCAAAGTGCAATGACGTAGCAATAGTCTCAAATTTGATTGGTTACTTCAGTTTCACTGATAAAAATGTTAAAATGTGTTGAGTTCATTTTATTTACCTATCTTATCAACTATCGAACTATCAACATTACTAAGGCCAAAGACTCTAAAGAGATAAGAGAGCGCGATTTCGCGATAAGCTCAAAAAAAAAAAAAAAAAAAAAAAAAAAAAAAAAAAAANAAAAAAAAAAAAAAAAAAAAAAAAAAAAAAAAAAAAAAAAAAAACCATCAACATTCACATTCAGTCATTCAAGAAGATGTGTAACCAAAATTAAACTAAAGTTCTAGTAAATGAGTGCATTAGATGTTCAAAAAATTGTATGTGCACGTTATTAGTGCGGCAGAGTTTATTTTAAAGCGTCTCTAGTCTCGAAAGGATGTGATGACAACACTTCCCTTCGCTCTTCTCCTGTGATGGTATTTACTGCTCCGATCATCTCTTTTTGACATTTTTAAGCATTGCAGCATTCTTAAGTATAATTTGACTTGAAATTTTTTTGCAGAATTTTCAACTGCCAATGAATACCTACCTAACAGAATAAGTTGTGGGGTAAAACTAAGAGCATTTCAATCATGGGCGCACTAAGGGGGGTCCAGAGGGGGCTACCGAATCTGTATAGCGAGAGTTTGGACAGATCTCTTCATGGAGGGCTTAGGGCCCAAAACTCAAAAGTGCAGCCCTTCTGCTAGCCAACTTCTAACACACAAAATTTCACTGCCAGTCCGCAGAGTCTGCAGATTCCAATTCTAACCAAGATGGCCAAGAATGTACATAAACGAGCGTTCTTCCGCCAAAATCAGTAAATTTATGCCGAAACAAAGTTAAATACATGCTTCATAAACGATGGTTCCTGACAGTTGTATTAGTAAGTCGCATTTCTGCATGCATGGCATGCATGCAGTGCATGGCTGCATTTCTGTGGCCGGATTGTTGAAACTTTAACTGGCTATGTCGGTACGATAAGCCAAGACATAGCCCTATCTGCGCCGTGTAATATATCGATTTTCGATTCTTGTTGTGCCGACATAAATTTCAACAATCGAGCTGCTGGGCCCTAACTTCATTCGCGGAGGCATCAATGAAGGCCCGATGGATTTTTAGAGCTTCGCATCTGTCCATATTCTTGCTAGGTACTCTAGAAGGGGCTGNCCCCCCCCGAATTGAAAATAGTATCATCTGGCCCCCCTTAGAAATTCTGGATGGTGGGAAAAGACCTTCATCGAGGATGATTATCTCTCTTCATGTAGTAAAAATTGGACGTATTTCTGCCAAACGGAAGTATGTGCATTATGACGTGAGCACTGTTAAGCATGTATGTTTGTGGGTCTCAGGGCTCATGTTTTGATGCACAGTTCCTTTTGATAGAAATACGTCCAATTGAAAACACAATGTTTATTCATTTAGCATTTTCTAAAATTTACATCATGGAAGCCTCAAACTGTGTCCAAGTAGAGTTAAATTTTCAAAGAATTTCTGGATCCATTCAATGCAACCATCCAAAAGTATTCTTTGCTAACATAATTTTTCTCTAGAAATTAATGGAAAATCTGTATCATGGAAGTCTCGAAATGCATTCATGTAATGTTAAAATTTCAAAAATTTCCTGAGGGAGGCCCCTTGGACTGAAAAGTATTCCATAACCCCCCCCCCGGTCCTAGCAAAATGACCTGAGTATACGCAGTTTGATGCAGTTAAGTCCCAAGATTAAGTCCGTGTGGCCATAGGCTTGGGCATCAAATTTTTTTAGGGGAGACAAATTAAGTAAGAAGCTCCAAGGTCTGAGGAAGCCTTTTTTTTAACTGAAGCGGAATGATAATACTGAAGCCAGGAAACTTGTTTCATAAAGGTTCTGTGGGAATATGATATCTTAACTTGAGTACAAACAAAGTCTCTTTGATTTTTTTTAATTTTATGTTGGGTGCCATCCGAAAATTAAAAACATGCACCTGCTCCAAATGCATTGCCAATGCATACCAAATACAATAATCAGAATTCATCATCTCTTCTCTTCTCTTTTGTTTCAGGTGCTGTTCCCCGAAATGAGTGTTAATCACATACATTGAGAAACAAGAACATGGGTATTCCCAAGTTGTTTGGACTGGTCGACAAGGAGCCAGCATTATTTTATAAACCCATCAAATTACATGACACCCTTATAGTCATCGACGGTAACTGCATCTCATGTTGGCTTTATCGGACATTCTGTAGCAACACAGTTTTCAATGGAGAGTACAGTGAATTTGAAAAGTGTGCCCAAAAATTTTTCTGCATTCTCAAAGAATGTAACATTTTTCCCATTGTAATTCTCGATGGAGCACATGAAGCCAGAAAACTGAAAACAATCAAAGGAAGACTTTGCGATAAAATTTTACGCAATCAAAAAATCAAAACGATCGATTTTAGAGGTGATGTTTTCATTCCTATTCACCTTATTGAAGTTTTCAAAACAACCATGATTGATATGGAAATTTTCTATTGTCAAAGCTTCCTAGAAGCAGATGTTGATGCCACAAAGGCTGCTCAATCTCTTAACTGTCCACTTCTAAGCTGTGATTCCGATTTTTATCTGGATGATGTAGATTACATCCCATTCACTACGTTGGATCTACAGCTCTTACGACTCGATCAAGAGAATGGATCCTTACAATCCCAGTATTGTGTACAAGGAAAATTATTTGATCGCACCACCTTCTTCAACAATTATGGTGGTCTAGCTCGTCTGGAATTTTTACCATTATTTTCATTTTTGCTTGGAAACGACTATTCCGAAACAGAACTTTGTGAAGCATTTTTCTCCAGGCTAAGTGGTCAGAAGTCTAGTTTGAAGTTGGAGCAGAAAATCAGAACTCTCTGCAGATGGCTCCATAACTTCCAGTCCCCTGAAATCGCCATGAATGATGTAAGTAGGTGGAACAACTTTTTATTATTACTTTTGGTAGCATATGAACTTCCGAGCCTCTCTGATGTAAAAAATGTCAGCTGACAGGGAGTAGTGAGCTAACATCCAGTCCAGGGTATAGCCGATCAGTGGAAGAGTCTGGTACACTGTTACAATCGGTAAAATGATCGAAACTCATCGCGGGGACCCATCTTGTAGCTTGGAAGCCTGCCCAGCGCTTCTCACCACTAATTGAAGCAGAGCTCTGAAAACGAGCCTTCAGGTGCAGGTGTTTCAAAATCTCCTCTTCTACTTTAAATATTTTACAGAGAAAAGTATTGGGTAACTTTACCGACATTTTTTGTTCGGAGCATTGTAAAAACATAAAGGATATTCTTTAAAGTTGCATCAAATTACATACATTTGCTTTGCTCATAAAGGATGAAGTGTTGGATGAGATTCTGAAACACTGCTAACGAGAAAAGCACTTTCTGCACCTAGCATTTCAGTTAGCAGAGTAGGCTCCTGCCTCAACATGAAGGCCTTGCTTGCTTTGATTGGCTACTGTGAAACCTAGCTGAATCTCTCCAATATTTTTATCGCATCTTACTGCCATATTTAGCGGAAACTGCTTTTTCATACAAGGTTTCCATTGGAGATAGTTACACAGGTCTTGTCTAAAAGGGCAGGTAAGTGCTAGCTGTTACCATGATTTTCATTCACCAGTACTCACGATCAGCTCAGTTTAAGAAATTTTTGAATGAGAAAATCGAGAGGCAATTTTTGAAGCTTCCTTCACACACTTAAGTGTAAAAATACGAACTTAACTTCTTGTGGGCTCTTCATATAATACACTGGCTGTACGGACGACTAACACCCAAAAAGATTAGGTTAAAGCAAGGATCCAGGCGTTGCAGATTGCTATGGGGAGTTGCCTTCCCTCCTCTCCTTCTCCCCAGGAAACCGCCCAAAGGGAAGTTTAAATGCAACTAAATGAGGTGCAAATCTCAGGTGTTGAATGCTTTGCTCAGTAATTGCTACATTCAAGATAACACATGTTAACATAGTGTAGTTATCATCTAGCACTATTAAAATGCCCTATTAAAATGTTCAGTTCTGCATTTAGGACACTTCTGAAGAATTGACGAGCATCATATCACACTCTAGTATTTATCACTCTAAAATTTGAATATGAAATACTTTGAAAGAACTCCAAAAAACCGCCCGAGTGAATATTACAAATCAAAAGGCAGAATGATTTGTGTCTTTTACTCATTGGACCATACTTTTGGGGTTATTTCTTATTGTTTCGTAGTTTTTTGTGTGCAAAGACGTGATGCACTTATGCTCGAAAATTCTTAAGAATTGTCATAAAATCCAGAATTCATCAAGTGATTAACCGACTGTGTGGAATTGTTTTCCAAAGTGCTGAAGAATCACCTTAAAGCATATCACAATCTTTATCATCAATTAATTGTACACCTTCTTTCAGTTTTTGAAGGAGATTCCACAAAAATTAAGGCAGAGGATGAAGAATGAAATATTACGGTGTTTGGAGGAGAAGAACAGCAAGCTGTCTAGTTATCTGGTTCAATACATTTTACAATCTCTCAACTCGGTAAATTGCCCCTCGCTACCTTCCTCTATAACTCTCAGCAATAATATTGAATCTATCGAAGAAAAATCTAAGTGGCTCACTACAGCTGTAGCTTATTTACTACCAAAAAGTGCTAAAGCAAACAAGACTAAGTCACACACTAGTTCCAAAACGAATATTCCTGAATGGATTTTAGTCCAGTTTGTTCAAGGGAAACTTCCAAGAAATTTGATGGAGATCCTTCACACCCACTGTTTCTTTTTTGTGCCACAGATAGAACTTAGCTCATTGTCACCTGTTGTAGCATCTAGTTTTCAAGCTCTAGAATGTATTCTTGGCATTATATTCTGTGGCACTCCTGCGGAGAGTAACCATCAAGTTACTTGTTACTTACGTCAAGGCAATCACTTAGGGACAAAACTTTTAAGGCCTACTTATTTGAATCTCCCAATTCTCAGCATGACAGAAATACCCGCTCTCCCAATACTTGATAGGAAAAAAATTCTGTGTGATGTATTGAAAATTCAACAAATGCAAGATGGAGATGTACCTGTGGGGTGGGAAATGTTTTTTTTCTCCTTGTCACATTGGTATCAAGGTGAGAGTTCTCAAATCATGAACATGGCGCTTGGCTGCTTGATTTTCTCAAGTATATTTATCGGCCTATTAGACAAGAAATTAGGTTATTATAAAGATGAAAAGTCTCTTCTGAAAAAATACTCGAATGAATTAGATGAAGCAATGAAAGAGAGTGAACCCTTGGAGGCAATGGTCAGTGATATTAATAAGCTAAGCTTTTTTGCTCAAAATTTTTCAGCAGCCATTTCTGCTGTAACTTTCAAGGACTCTCTACTTGCTCTTCAGCACTTCATATCTTTTCGCCATCGATTCCATTCTAAAAATCGTCAGTCAAAACAACTTCACAAACCTATTCTTCACTATTTTGCTCAGTTTCAAAATAATATTTTAGTCCATGAGACTTTAAATGCGCTCTTGAACTTCCCATTCCCTCCATTAAAGATAGCTAATTTTTATTGTGGCACATTGATGTATAATATTTATTTTGAAATACAGTGCCATAAGAATTTGAGAGACTTTGTTGAGGTTAAATTTCATCATATGCCAACCATCAAAGCATTATTTTTATCAGCTTTCAGTCTTATTGAAAAACTTTCTGGATGTCCTATCCTCTCTGAGATGAAAACATCCTGGAAAACAGTTAGTCACCGCAGAAGAAAAAAATGATATTTAATGGAAACATAATTGGCTAATCTTGGGATTACTCAACATGAACGCCAATAATTTTAGATTTTGAATGAATTAGATTCGAACCAGTAGTTAACCATCGACTTATTATTGAACTATCTCTTGTAGGTAGCACTGATTAACTTAAACATAAAAGTGGCAAGATTGCACACTCGAGCATATTTTATATTGTGAATAGTCAGGATATAAGAATTTTGCTATCAGCCATCCAGAGATTTCATTGAAATGAGTCCATGCAGTCGATTTTGTTTCTTGATCACTACATTGTGAGATAAAATGCTCATTTTTAATGCACTGACTGAAATGACTTCAGCTACCTCAAAGCTGCAGTGAGGTTTTAACTTCATAACATAACCTTCAGTTACAGCTAAAAGCAGATTCAGTGATGGAAGAGTGATGCAAGTGGGCAGTCAAACCTCACAACTGAGAGTCTCGAATTTTTATGTGTGGAAATGGAGAGCAGGGCGTTGTTGACCAGGCCTAATTTCCAATTAATTTATGAATAATTTGTTAGCCTCTCATTTCTACTACCCCTTAGATGGAGATTGGGCAATCCTGTACATTATTCATTTGTGCGCGTTTATGTCATTGCTGGAAACCACGGCTTGGAAACATGCACAACTCAAACTCACAGTAACGATTCTCAGCAACCATCGGACTAATGTTGAATTTGTCTGAACTATTTGAGTAGATTTGATACACATCTGGATGAAAATAACTCGAATTTGCTAAATTTCAGCTGTTGGGCGATGACTGTTGACTTTCACATTCAGCAGCTAAATTCAGTGTGTGATTGCGGCATCATGTTTGCCATCCACCGTGGAGCTAGTATAATTCCTGCTCTACAAGTAGATCAGTTCTCAGGGAATTTTAGGTGCTTGTCTATTATCTGAAGCTTAAAACTAAGTGGAAGAAGCATTGAAAAAAAAAATTTTCCACCTATCACTATTGAGTATCCACCTTACCCTCAAGCCTAAATGTATTGAATCCAGGTATTTTTGTTATCATTAGGTATAAGTACTTGACAGTTGCATGGAAAATGTCTCTTCCCGATGAATTCATATTTTTTCATTCATGTAACTTGTATTTTTATAAGTGTAAACTAATTTGTTTTTTCTACTTTTTTTATTCATACAAAACGAAGACTTATTTCAATTTATTATGAGGTTACAATTCGGTGGAATTTTTTACATATATTTTTAGAAAAATAAATACAATTTTTTGTTTCCACATAAGACTTTTAAGTTCAGCTATACTTCCTTTCAATACTTAGATCCTTTTCCCTTACATGCAGCCCATACAGAGTTATTAAATCTATTGGAACCCCCCCCCCCCAATTGTTCATTGTCATTTTCCTATTTATGTTGACAGTTGAGTTGACAGAAAAAAAGAGAAAAAAATCAGATTGTTTTCGTTTTTTGTATAAAGAAAGAAAGGATTGTGACTAATTTACATTGTATGAGGATCACCTGTAAAGTAAGCTTTCATATTAAATGACTAAAAAATGCTTAATGTATTTAATAACTTTTTACTTCCAAAAGGAAAGAGATACATCTAATAAGTATAGATTCTCAGGCTAGGCATACTCGCAGCTTAAAAAAAAGCCAATGTTTCTGAGAATCAACTGCAAGACCTGTGGGAAAACACTGTGACAGCCTTGCGGCACCGCATGCTCACCATCCAGTGCACTGGCGTATTGCACGAACATTTCCCAATTGTTTCTTGAAGGGCAAGAAATGTTAAAAGCAAAGTTGTTAGAATTATTTTGATCCGAAAATTCGCAGCTTCAATTTGATGTATTGGCTCGACTTTCCAGATCAGCCACTTGATAAGGAAATCAGATTTTTTAAAGTATCTACATCTGCAGCGTATGTTTGACATTTAACGCAATGTTAGATTGCATATTTTGCAGAGGTGTCCTTTCCCTCAGACACCAAGAGACGAACAATAGCTGAAAATTCAAACCTTTGCAAAAAAACATCTAATCTGACTGGCCTATCAAAAATGGTGAAGACCAGTTACAGAACCTTTCAAGAATAAAAAAAAACCAAATGAATCCGCAAATTTCAGTTTTTTTTTTTTTTTTTTTTTTTTTAAATACTATGTAATAGCAGATTTTTTAATAAAAATTTCTTGGTTCAGGAGCACCGAGAACTGGACAATAGCTGAAGATTCAAACCTTCACAAAAAACAACTAATCTTCTCGCTGACTGGCCTAAACCAAAAAAAAAACAAATTGAAGCTGAGAATGTAAAAACAAAATAACTGAAAGCCTAATTTCTTTGAGCAGTACTCCCTTTTGAAGAAAAAACTTGGAAACTTGGGAAAGATTCCTTAAAGCACAAGACAAAGGGCATACAATGAGGAGAATTTATCGTTGTAAAATTGAGTTTTCTAACAAACCCTTTGCCCGATTTCCAAAAAAGTGGAATTTTTTAAACTGAGAGTATACCTCATATTTGCCTTTAATACCAATTTGATCTGTCTCATTCCAATAGGAATAAATAAAATGGGGAGGCTTACTTTGCAAACGATGCACCCTCGTGAATGAGGGCTGCTTGAAAGGGAACCCAAGAAATAATTTACTTCAGAGAACTGGGTTATCTGCATTTGTACTTTCTAAGTCATCATTGGACACTGGTTGATAAAAAGGACCTAGGCTCAGGGCAATAAACTGAGATTTTACAAATGTATTTTCCCATTGAGAGATGCGCATAGATTGTTGATTAAATAGAATAATTTCAGGCAATGGAAAACGACAGATTGCATAGATTGTTGATTAAATAGAATAATTTCAGGCAACGGAAAACAACAGATTGGCACTCTTCAGTTCCCACCTCAACTCATCCTCAGCACTAAACCATCTTTTTCCTCCTGTTTTCTTTGTAAACAGGGCTAAGGAGTGAAAAAGGGGCCAATCATTATCCGTCACTTTGGACCATTTTCATGGTTTGCTCACAGTCCCATTGAATAAAGACTTCTCTAAAGGTCCCAAGCGCCAAAATCCAAGCCTCGAGAAAACAAGAAAAATTGTGCCTCTCCGCCTGCTTTAATCTTTTGAACCCAGTCTCAATAGGTACACATATTTCAAACTCGTACATATTTTAGACTCAAAAGATCGAGCGTATGCCAAAAGGCATGATTTTCTGTTTTTCTCAAAACTTAGAATTTGACGGTTGGGCCATTAAGAAAAGTATCAATTCAATTATGGAATGATACAGGGCATTCTTTAAAGGTAGTAATTTTTGCATTTCTACTGAATCGTTAGTTAATTCAAAGAGGAAACAATTATATTAATGTCTTTTTTATTAATGGAATTTTAAAGCAATAATAAGGATGAGAGAAAAATCACTTGATTTGAATTTTGGCACTTATGACTAGATTCTTCAATAGACTTCCATGGATTCATCTTTCGGTCGTTTCTTTTTTGGTTCCAATTCATTTTCGTGGTCATTTTTCCGCTCCACCAAACTTGTAGCTTTGAATACAACTGGCACTTTCCCGTACCACCTTTCCTCTGGAGAAGTAAAACAGTATCAAAATGATAAGAAGTACATAAGAATAGTTGGATGAGCAAACAAGGAAAATAGAGGAAACAGCAAGGGCTTTATTAAAGTTAAATAATATTAAAAGTATGAATGCTCCAAAATTACATGAAAATATTGGCAAAATCGGTATAAAAGCTTTGAGAAGCATGAAAGTTTTAGATCAGGTGGGGCCTCTACAATGATTCTAGCTGAATAAACTTCTAATTAATAAATTACACCAAGGGAAGAGTGCAAGACGGATGCTGATATGAATTGCATGTTTTCAAGAAGTTAATGAAAATTCCGAGAAAAGCAAACAACTAGAGTCCTGATTTTTAGAGCAACAAAACAGTTTTAGAGACAAGTCAGCACAATTTTAACTTTTAGGATTCCATTGTAAGCATGTTTGTTTCAGAGCATTTCATTCTCAAGAGCACCCAACAAGAAACATTTTAAGGTTGCTTTGGAATTAACTGACCTCACAGGACACTTCAATTTAGTCATAATTTTATAAAAATGATGTAAAATTGTCTTGATGAAAATATTTGAAGTGTGAAAGAGCTACCACTTTGCTGCAAATATTTTTACGTATTTTGCTCAATTATAAAAGAAAATATCAAATAAAAAAGATCATTAAAAGCTAATTATTCTAAAGGAAGAAAAACTTCAAGGACCCAAAGAGCATGACTTTTCTTGAGTTTTTAACAACATGTTTCTTCAGTCGCGAAGAAAAAAAAAATCCTTTTTGCCTTCACATTTTAAAAATCTCTACTTTGAGCCTTGACACTTTTTCTTGACCGAAGTCGGTCACCAGCTGGTTGTTAAGTCCTGAGAAGTTCTGAACCCCTAAAAATAAAAATCCACATAGAAATTGAGCATACCTGCTTTCAAAAAAAGAGACCTGCAAGTGGTAGAAATGGCTGCTTTAGCTGGTCCTTCATAAAATCCGAAAAGTACACCTCTGTGCTGAGAGTTAAGGAAAGTTTAAAGTTACGATTGACATCTACACTGCACTGTTGCTTTGAAATGTAACAACACTAAAAAAAAAATTTCAAATAAATATAAATAAATACTTAATCATTTCATTATGCTCCTCTGCTTAAAGACAATTACAAAAAAAGATGAGACCTAAAATTTACATTACTCAGTAGCTGGTTACTTTGTTACAGTATTTTTGTACTACTGTGCAGTTAAACAAAAATCAATCCTAAATTCGGCTGATTTGTGGTCATCTTGCAACTTTCGTGATTTTGACTGTGAATCAATAGTAAACGGAATCAATTGAGTTTATTCCTGCTTACCTCAACGAATCTACTTTTAGAGATTGATATTTTGATTTTCAATAACCTCAGGGAATGAATTTAAAAATATTTTTAGGAGTTCAAAGTTACTGAGTTTTGGATTTTTTGGCCCGAGCAAATAATAAATGTAAGTCAAGTAATTCAAAAGTCAATGGGTTAAGTGTGTTGTAGAAAATTTTGATCTTTCAACACAGCTTAGAAAAAATGCAGGAAAATGTTAGATTAAAACAAGATTTCAAAGGCCGTCATCACAAAACAGGTTATTCATGGACGGTAGAAAAAAACGGGAGAAAAATAAATCGAAACACAAGGCTCTAAAAAGGATACAAGTTTATAACATCGTACGGGCCTCTGATATGTGACAGAGATTCAGCTCCACTCGTGAATATTATATTCTGCAACAAAAATAAATAAATAGAAAAATAGAAAAAACTAGAAACTTTGTCAATGAGCAAAAAATGAATTTCAAAAAGAATAAACTTTTCAGGTAACTTCCAATGCTCATGTCTCTCAAAACTGTTAAGAATGAACCATTCACAGAACATCGAGAGTAGACCACTGAACAGAGAACAGGGTAAAAATTAAGGAAATGCAAGATATGATGCCTTATCATAATTCCACGCAGAGTGCATTAAATAAGTTGGAAAAGTTCAAAATCAACTGATAAATAAGATAATTGTGTTCATATGGAAGTGTTCAATAGAATCGGTAAATTCAAACTACCAACTCGCAAAAAATCTAACGGCATCCTTGGGTCGAATGGGGTCAAATTTTTGCAAGGTTGCTGCATGATTTTTCTTGGATAGAATTCCGTGAAAAAACCAAAAATTTCATTATAAAGTTTAAAAATTCATTTCTGGGAGGAGAAAAAGTTGATAAAAATCGGACCTATCAAAAACCAACAGTCGAGTTGATGTAGCAAGGCATTGCCTGAAGTTGAGCTCAGCCAATTAGTAAACGTCCCCCCCCCTCCCCCATCACCTGAGTATATCATCTGAGGCCGCCATAAGATCAGTGGAATTACATTAGGCGCATACAAAGATTTGAGGAAACATTACAATTAAATTTTCAATGGGCCTGTTGCAAACTTCAGCTGGAGCAAAAAAATGAGTTGTTTCTTGTCGAAAAAGGCTCAAACATAACGAAGAGCACATTAAGAAAGTCTGAAATACACTCTTAACCTCTTCAAAAGGAATATGCATTTTTCTAAGCTTCCCACTGCAGAAACGAAACAACGGCACAGTTGAACGATTCGCAAGAGGAGTCATTACATAGAACCCTTGCCAATTTTCACTGTCAATTATTTTAAAACACAAAAAGTAACAGTACAGAAACAAGAATTAGATACAGTAAATTTCCATACCTTGGAAAACTGAAACCTATGCAGTGAATGTGAAAAATTTAAGGTGTTCTTTAAATAATCGATGTCATTTACAGCAGGCGAATATTTAACCTCTACATACAAGTTTTTCTCTGTAATTTTGTTCCGTAATTTATTAGAAATAATATTTGACAAACTCCGAGACTCTGTGCTAATTTCTATTATGTCCAAATCCATGGGTAAACTTGAAATGGCCTGAAAAAAGGAAGTAGATTAACAATGGTTGAATAAAAGTTTCTGTAGTTGCAAAAGGGTGAACTACTAGTCAGGGTAAAAAATTAAGTACCACAGTCCACAGCGCTTGTGGAGCACATTTTGCAATAAGGAACCACTGGCTCTTTCTGGCTCATTTTAGAGAATATACATGCTATTGGTTTCCCTATGCGGAAAGGTGCTTTTAGGAAAGAGCCAGAGATAGTGGTTCCTGATTGCTAAATGTAATCCATGTTCTCTTATCAAAAGTTCACACATAAGAGAGATATTAGCGTTTTTCTTCTTTATGAATTAAGACATCTTGCTCACTTTCTGAACCAAAGTCTACTAGAGCCAAATACACTAAAATGACTTATTATTTTGTTTTAGAATAGAATGAAAATTTCGTCTTGATTAATTTTTCTTGGAAAGCTTTCATAAGTTCCATAGATTAAGGGTAGAGAAGATCTTGTTAAATCAAACGCTGATTTTTTCCTGGAAAACATTGTTTTCAGACACAGATTTGACCTTCATTGATTTTGGTTTGATTAGGAGCAGAAAATCTAAATTAACAGAATCTAATGTAAACTATAAATGCTGATAAATTACTTGAGAGGTTCATTTTGGAAATTTTCAATATGTACTGCCTGAAGTTTTTGTATTACGATTTCATGTCCTAAGGAAGTTAAATGTTTCCTCTATCTAGTGGACCATTAAAAGGCTTTAATTGGAATTAACATTGTACTTGAGTTCTTAAGCTAATGATAGAACGAAACAAAAAATTACGGAAAACAATTAAGAGCAAAGCTGTAATAAAAAATCTGTTAGCCCTAAGAACAAAGATCATTGATAAAATTGGTAAGGGTTAAAAAAAAAGGAATAATGTACCCGTTTGTATTGTAAACAACACAGGTTATACAAAGACCGAAAGCTGCTCATCCTTAATACATTATGTTGATATGCTTGTTTCGGGAGCAATTATTAGCAATTCACGAAACATTCAATTGTTTTTTCTTCCTTAAATTGACTAATTAGCATTAAAAAGGGAGCAAAAGGAAAGGCATGAAAATAGCACCTTAGTAAGAATAGACAAGCATCTGACAGTACTGCCTCAACATAGCCTGCTCACATTTTAGTTAGGAATTTTCATCTTAACTGGCCTATCTACTGGACTGCCATGGAGTTTGATTAACTGGATCAGACATTGTTTTTAAAGTCAGCCCTCTTCCATGACCACTTTTAAGTGAAATTAATTGAAAGGAAGAAAAAAGGAATCGCAAAACTGATTAACTCAAACGCATGAAATAATTGTCTGTGCATTTGGGTTTATTCTTTTTCAATTCACTTTTTTCCCTTATTCATCCAGCTTGTGGTTCGATGTTTTGATTCTTATTTCAGTTACTGTTTTGTTTTCGTTTCTTTCAATTCTTCAAGTTACATATAATCCACTGTGTCTAAAGATTTGAGTCAGATTCTCCATTCAACATGAATATCAATTAAAAAGAAAAAAGGTTACCTCAAAACACTCTGCATTCATTGGACAGATGGCTAAGAAATGGTAATCTCTGAGGTTGCCATTTTTATTCTGTAATATTTTAAGAAAAACACCCAAAGATTAGTAAAAATGTATAAAATGTGAGTATCTGGCAACTAATTACTTAAATAGTCAAGCATTTGGAGATAAAAATTACAATGTTAAATTATTGACCACTCATGGAACCTATTAGAAAAAAACCATAGAATATTTTCTGACGAAGAACTTGTATTTTGCAGAGAAGAAATACACTTTGAAAAAACTGAATGATTGAAATCGGGAAATATTTTAAACAATTTTTTGAAAAGTGCACATAGTTTTTTATTGGTTCATTCCAGTAAATTTTTAGTTTTGTATGTTGCATATTTTACATGTTTACTCGTAACTTTCTCTTTCACAGAGCCACTCAGACAAACAGTCACAAACAGTCCTTCTGTCCCGGTTGTTCACCGCAGTTTAAGTGGCTCTAAAATTTTTGAGGCACTGAAGTAATTAGTTAATCTGTCTTAAGGTCTCATAGATGAGCACAATTTTAATGTTTTACCCAAGTTTAGGGGCCTCTCTCACAGTTTCACAAGCCTCTCCGGTACAACTCTTGTATGTAACTTTTGTTACTCAGGAAATCAAAACTTTACGGTATTTTTGCACTACAATTGGAGTTATTCACAATGTTTGAAATTTACATCGAGTAAGCTCAATACTGCATCTCTAGTGCCTCCAACTTTGAGAATTTTCCAAGGGAATCATTGCTGAACTTCCCTTTTTCAGCTGGGGATCCTTTTTCCCATTCCTGGGAGCCCGTCCCTGTAAGTCCCAGGGCCAATATTGTGTTTGGGCAGCCCTGGTCTTCCAAAATAATGAAACAGATTCATAGGAATCAATAAAGTGTTGATGCATTTTCTTGTTTTGTTAAGTAATATCTTTCAGAAATTTTAAATTAATTCAAAAGAAAGGGTTTCTAACTTGGTATGTACCTGCAAAGATTATTTCACCCAACTTTTTTGGTGGTCATTGCTGGTAGAGAATTTTTATCTTTAAGAAAGCTTCCAGCCTGACATATTATATTTTGAATAGCAGCTCAAGTTCAAAGTGGGATAACACACACCGTGATCATCGCGGGTATTTTTTTTTTTTTTTTTTTTTTTTTTTTTTTTTTTTTTTAACAAGTTTGTTTTTTCTAAAATTTAGCGCATGAAACTTCCCTACCAACTCTTCTAACAAATCTACTTAGGAACTTGTAAAAGTGATCAAGATACGTTATTTAGTCATCGTCTGATTCATGATGTAGCCCTGAGGACAATGCAAAATGAGTAAATGGGTCAATTGCACTGGTCACAGAATCGTGTTGTAATGCTAGATTCTTGAATAATATAAAATAATACTAAGATCTGTCCAAACCGCAAATTTCTACGTTGGAATTCTTTTTTTCTTTCTTTTTTACTACTTCAAATAGCCCATAAGGGCTAATGCTTGCATTTTAGTCCCGTCTCCTCTCCGTCCCTACAATCAGTCCCAGGCAACCATTGTTTGAGACCATCAAACTCAGGTCGCCTGGCCGGGAATCGAACCCGGGACCTTCCGGTCATAGAGCTTGCACTACAACCACTACACTATAGGAGGTCGACTTAAAAAACATTGGTAAATTGTTTCTAAAGATGCCAAAAGAATTTCTTTTTCGGCAAACTTAATGGACTAGTTTAAGAAAGAAGAAAAAAATTACTAAAACCATAGATGGTTTTCATACGGTCTATTTTCAAACCATCAAAACTCCATAATTTTTTGTTAACGTGAACTGATTTTGTTCTCAATAGATTGATAGCTTCTTTTGTCTCCTTTCAAAAAAGACTAAGATTAGCTTGATAGGTAGCTCTGTTATAGAGTTAGGTCCAGGTCTTCTAGGGATGTCCTTTATATTGATGATATAAGACCAATTGAAAACTGAAATTCTCGCCAACACTGATCGAAGGTAGCCTAGAACTTCAATCCTGATTAGAGGCACATAAACGAAACTATTTATTCTATTATTGGAACTATAAATATGAAAAAGACCTTACTAATTTGTCTAGAATTGAGATTTCGGCCACATGGAATGTTACACGGTTGTAGACTTGGAGTTTTCCTTGTAAATGCTGAAAAAAAGAAAAATCATAGCCTGAACATGAAAGATAAAAGAAAATTTTCATTGGGTAAACTTATTGGAAGAATGTACAATGCTGTTTTACATTTGTTTATGAGCAAATTGGAAAGTCCTCAGAATACTTCTGAAGCTATAAATTTATAAATCTGATGAAATAAAATCTGACACACACAAATTCCAATCATTTGTGACAACTAGAGCATAGCAAAGGAGACTTGAAGTAAGATGTCCTTAAACCAAAAAACAAACAGAAAAAACACATTCATGAAGTACATGATGCTGACAGTGTCTGAGCTCTGAGCCTGCATTAAAAGAGGGAGAGGGGGAGAGTCAACGGCTGCATTTTGTAAAGCTTGACGCAGTATTTAATTTCTATTATAAAAGATAATTTCTTTTTATTGTTTGTTTTCCTATTTTATTTTATTTCATTTTAATGTTTGTCAACTTTCTCTCTTGTTTCATGATTCTTTTTTTAACTTTGAATTTATAATTAAAAAATGTTCTTACAGAGGTAATTTGCCTAGTTCCCTTCCTTTATTTCCGCCTCTTTTCATTATTTTCATGATAAAAAAAAGAAAAATTGAGGTTCATGAATGATTTTCTTACTTTGGGGGAGTGGAGGGGATTAAATGGCGTACTTCAAATAATTTTGAAGGGGAAGGGGATGACCTGCATTATGGATGTAACTGAGAGGGGTAATAATGAGCAATACATGTTTTATGAACGACGCGTAATCAAATTTTAATGCTTAGTGATATTGATTCCACATTGTACCAGTTACCAAAAGAAAAATTCCCCAATTTTCAGAGACAGAATTTAAAGCAATTTGTGAATTACAGTCGCCTCTTGTAATAGTATTTCTGTGCAAGATTAATTAGGTGATTGAACGTTATGATCAAAAGCACATTAATTTAAATTAGGTAACATTTAGAATTTTTTGGCTACTTCATTAAAGTTACGAGACTTTCAAAATATTGATACACCATTAATGCTTTCGCAAGGTATTAAAAACTAAAATACATTAAAAATTATAAACTAAAATCAGAATCCTCATGAACTCTGGCGATAATTAAGAAATCAGTCACTTTAATGGATCCAATTCGGAATGTCATACAGTGGATTTTTAAGTTCATTTGAAATATTTCCATGAGTTATTCTAGCTTTGATTATACATAATTTTTTGATACTTACAATTTTGTGACACAGATTTATAAAGGCACTTTCATGATTGAAAAAAATCAGTGTTTCCATGTTCTTATATTGCCTAATCTTTGCGCTCATAGCAATCGTGCAAAATATTATGGTGAGTAAAATAATGCCCCCATTGATCAGCTTTTCGATGAGCAAAATCACAGAAAAGAGATGACCTGAAGAATATGAATATGCAAGATTATACCTCAGGTAAATTGATTCTTTCAGGAGGCGGTACAGGGTCTACTTCTTTCGGGAAGTTTTCAGGAACGTCAGTTTCCATCAGCTTCCGTTTTTTCTTTGTCTTGAAAAACATATCAGCAGTCAAGTGGACACTTCGGTTGAATGCAATTGTGCGATATCCAACTAGAATGAAGATAAATCAGCATATTTAGGCTTAAGAATATACAAGGTTTATGCAAATAGTTGCTACTGTTTTTCTTTATTTTAACCCTATTACATCTGCTTGATCCTGAATGAGCTATCCACAGTTATGGGTGAGTACACTTAATTTGCTTTGGCCCTTTCTCAGTGCTGGCCTCCTCGACAACTTCATCATTATTGTCATTTTAAGGTTAGATTCTCATTTTTTTTCATACTTTACAGAAACATTGAAGCGCTCCCCTACAGTGTTGGTAAAAAACTAAAATCATTTGCTTGCATATTTTACACTGTAGAATGCCGCAAAGTTGCTCACTTTTTTTGGCCAACATATTCAATCTAGTTGTTGTTTGTTAGCCCTTGATACCCTAAGCAGGTAGCCTTCTGTCCGCGATACGGTTCTTGATTTCTTTACACTATGAGCATGCTGTCACCACTTGCTTGGAGGAAGTAGACCATTGTGATTCTGTCCTTTAGAAATTTTCCTTCTACCTATCCACACTTTTCCCTCACTGATTCAAGTACCTTGAATGCAGATATTCAGTTTTTTAAAACAAAAATTAATGTAGGGTTGCAAATTGACTGACACAGCAATCAAGGCGCTTGCTTTGTAGTTTCAACATTGATACAGCTTTAGATGGTGAGGTTTACCTATGGCCGGTTACAGAAGCTCCGAAGTGAAGCTGATAATTAAACGTCTACATATTACACACCAGTTTGTGGATCATCCGATGATAAATATCAACTGACCGTAAGGTTCGACTGATGAAAATACAGTTGAAACATTCAAATTTATAGTCAATAAAAAGTAATCCGAGATGAAACTTACAGTCATACAACCTTTCACACACTTTGGAAAGTGATACTGACTTTCCTTCGATGAGACTTAGTGGAATGTTCAAATCATAAAATCCTGATGTTCGCATTGTGATTTGCGGACAATGTTTCAGAGGTTGAATTAATGTAAGAGCTGCTGAAGGAGGCACTTGAGTTTGCAGAAACTATGGACCAGATTTTGCATTAAGTCAGTATTACTGTTCGCGTTCTGGAAGCAGAAAAATTGAGATTGAGTTTGTGAGATTGAGGTAGGACACGGAGAACGTGGTGGTATGGTGGCCAGTGGCCATGTGTTGTGATGTGATGTGTAAACAAACAATGATTGACAGCAAGGCCATGGATGAATATATACTAACGTGCAAGGCGGATAAAGAAAGGTGGTCGCATTCCGTACCCACAGATTAGTCCAGATCGCTAACATCCAATTTAGCCAATGCTTAGAAAGCGTGAGTAATTTTGCTTCAAGTTAGGCAACTTTAGAAAATTGATGGCACTACCAGTAGTGAAAGGACTTGACCGGATTGAGAGAAAATTCCTCTTGATTCTGATTATAAAGCTTTAATAAAGTATAGATAGTAATGCATAATAATGGTTTTTGATCAAATAAGATTTTATCAAGTACTGTTATGCTAAGTATTCTGTTTCAATATTCTTACAACAGTTGGTAGCAATTAACTGCTCTCATGGGGGCCTGGCGGGAATTCAAAACTAGGAACCAAAAGTCTCATTTTGGCAGGATTTTGCTTTAATTTTCGGTTTCTAAGGCTTTAAACTTCAAAAATATGATATATTATAATCTGCAAATTTTTTCAATAATGTTATCTACTCAGTATACTGATGAACTCTGATTTGTTTATTTCCACCGATAAAGCACAAAAACATAGCCCGATTATACGAATAAAGAAGGAGAATTAATTAAAATACGGGTAAACAAGGCTAAAAATTATTGAAACACTTAAAGGCAGGACGTTTCGAGCTGCTACCAGCTCATTTTCAGCTGCAAAAACACATAAAACCAAGTAAAAAACTGAGTGGCGACCTGACCCCAGCCGTTATTATGAGTGGTTACGTGATAACGGCTCTAGCTGAGGTCAGGTCGCCACTCAATTTTTTACTTGTTTTTATGTGTTTTTGCAGCTGAAAATGAGCTGGAAGCAGCTCGAAACGTCTTACCTTTTAGTGTTTCAATAATTTTTAGCCTTGTTTACTCGTATTTTAATTAATTCTCCTTCTTTATTTATTTCCACCTTAATTATTTAATCTGGAAATATTGAACCACATAAATTCTACTGAGAAACTAATTCTTGAATTCTTCGGAACGTTTCATCCCACAAAAATCTGAAAAAGAAGTATTCTCCCGCCGAAAATCTGCTGAAAATAGCCAAAATTTCAGTTTTGGTTCCTAGTTTTAAATGCCCATGGATTTTCCCGCCAATGGCGCTCACAAAACTACTCACGCTCCTCCGCCGATGTTAGCGATCTGGACTAATCTGTGTCCGTACCCTCTTGACGTTACGCGGTATCGGGTACAAGGGCCGGACGAGGCAGGGGGAGTCAACCCGACCGCCGCGTGCCGCCGCGCGCCACGGCGTACCCGTACCCGCCTGACGTCACAGATCTTCAAGATGGCAGCCAAAATCGAAATGCGACCACTTTCCTTTATCCGCCTTGAATTGACAGCACACAGCAAGAAGAAGAAGATAAGAGAGAGGGTTGATAAATTTTTGGTTACGTCGCCTTTTTCTTTCCACTTCTGATGACGTCAAAAGGAGCTTGACTTGTGATTGGCCATTGTTTTACTGATAAGAGGAATGGAGTAATGGGAGGAGGAGGGCAGAGGAGGGAGAAGGGATTGTTGTGTGTTGTGTTGTGTTGTGTTTAACACAGTTTAACAACATGATGTTCGACCAATGGTTGACCAGTGACAGTGATAAGTGAACATCTCTTCATACCTTTGAATTTATCCAAGTTGTCATCCTGAAAAACATTTCATTGCTTCAATTACGTATTCATCTTGGAATTAAAAATGTCCAGCAACAATAATTCAGAGTCCAACAATGTTACAGCTCAAAATGGTACAAGTGAAGCTGAGAATTCCGAAGAGGAGGAAGGTATGAAATTTACACAATAAATACCGAAATACATACTCAGCACCTAAACAAAATAACTGATCTACTGAATATCTTAAGCATCAATCTCTGAACCGATTTTGGCAAATCAATATTTACAGCTGATATCTTACTCTGCCGTTCCTAAATTGTGTTATTTTGGGGCGTGTCTGCTGACAGCTTCTTTTTCCATGTTCTCTTTCACCGCTAGAACAGGCCCCAACTTTTAAATTCCAATTAGCATGGCAAAAGTGATTGAACAAGAGACATGGCACTTCTCAGGTCTGCTTCAGAGTTGAGATGTAGCAAATTCGATAAACTATGAGACACAGGCGCAATGGCAGTAATGCTTGGTATCATTCTGGATATGCCATCAACACCTACCATTTTATTCACTTTTTTTTGTGACTGTTGCCAGCAAAAGTGAGTGCAGCCTGTCCTAAAGGCATAAGTTAATTCCAGATTGGTAGCATTAGCATTCAAAACTGTGCTACAACACAAATTCTTGATTTAGCTAATTTTTGCCTTGTCTGCGAAGAATTGGTACAAGTTTTTCCTCAGTGTTGACAGAGAACAATGAAAGCTCTGGTGGAAAACATACAAGAGGTTTTGAATCTCCCTGATCACTAAAGAAGAGAAAGAGGAGAGTAACGCTTTGTACTGACAGCATCAAAGTATCGCAACAAGAGCAAAGCAAATACACGTACCATAGAGTACATAGAGTCGTAATGTAAGTGGGTGAGCTGGCGCCACTTTTGAGCATTTTCCAGGTCCCGAATTCCGAGACTCCTGTGTGACGCCGGGTCACTTTTTCGATACATAATCGATCGTTTGCGATACACGGGTACCCTGCCATCTAATGTAAACAAAGATGATAGGAATCACCACGTATTCCACACCGTCATTTTGGATCGAACATGTATCAAAAAAGTGACCCGAACTCGGCGCACACTGGGCTCGGAACTCATAGAGCAGATCATGGCGCCAGCTCTCCCATGTACATCACGACTCTATGTACTCTATGACACATACTTAGGTGGTTGCGTTTTGAACCCTCCTGATGTCATACAGCACTATAACTGCAAAGACTATTCTCTGCACATCAACTGGTGGTTCAAATCAAAATGCAACCACCATTTCCTAACAACTTGACAGAAAAGGGTCCTGTTGAAGTAAAGTAGGTAAGTAGGTACGTCCCCTTTTGTTTATTTGTTATTAACCTGATCCCTGTGAACTTAAGACTGTCCACGAAAATTCAGAGAACACTTCAGAGCCAATGAAAATATTATCTTCAGAATACCTTAAAAAATATAAACAAAGAATTTCATTAGAATGATTGTCAGGAATTGCTCAAGTAATTCTTAGGAGGACATTCCTTGAATACACCACAGTGGCTTTATCCCATCAGTATGGCAGATCTAGAATGAAAGTCTTCATTGAATTTGAGATAAATTTGTAACATAATTCGGTACATCATTCCCATCTTGCCGTTTTTGGGAAGAAAGCAGTCTGTAGTTTTCAACATAAGGCCCAGAGGATTGTGGCAGACTGAGTTGCTCTATAAAATTCTCGGCACCCTTTATTTGTGCTGCCTTGAAGAAGAGCTTAAAAAAACTTGTTTCTTGAGTGAAATCCTACTTGCACTCAGTGGCATGGCACGCTTTACGAAATATCTATTGATCAGCCATTTAAACTGATTGAGAAGAATCGATGAACAGGGTGTTTGCAATGAAAACCTTAACAATTGATTCTTTACCATGGCTTCAAAAAGGGAAATAATGATCATTGATCATTCAAGTCTTGCCAATGCTTGCACCTTATCATGTGAAGCAACTAAAATTCGATTGAGGAATCTCGCCCACCATCCAACAGCTGGTGACCTAGTTAATTTGCTGAGAGCCGAGTTGGGTTTTTCAGTGTTGCCACTGAGTGGAGAAAATTAAATTCCCTAACATTTCCCTGATTTCCCGGACACATTTTGGTCCAATTTCCTGACCGTTTAAGTATGCCAGATGGTTAAAAAGACATAATGAGAAATAGTTTTGGGGCAAAATTTGTTGCTCAAAACGTCCAACCCATTTCAGTAAGCAATTAAGGTGACTAAACAATTTTGCCCTGACATTTCCTGGTATTCCCTGACTGTGGCAACCCTGTTTTTCATCTGATTGATTCTTTTTAAAAATATTTTCTTCTTTCTCATTGCCCTATAGAATATCCTGTAGTCTTTTAGACGCAGATTAATCGTGATTGTGTGAGAAGAAGTTCTACCAGTTGATTTCTTTTCACAGAAATTTGTGAGCTGAATCAGCAGCTGGACATCCTCAACTCTGCCTTAGATTCCATTGAAGAAAAAAATGACCACATTAAAGCAAGGCTGCTTGAACTTTTGAAGAATGTACAGAATGTGAGGACAGAGCAGAGCTCAGAAGACAAAGAGAACGAAAAATCAGAATCAGAGCGCTGACTTGAAATCATACTCATCTCTTATGAGATACTTTCTTCCGAAGTTTTTTATTCACTACATCCTATCATCATAGTTTAAGTACCTGCATTCTTTCAATCCTTACACACCCACAGTGAAACTGCAGACATGCTTCTATCGGTTTGTGGCATTGCAGGCCTCTGCTCATACTGAATTTTTTAAATTGAAAAATAGTCATTGTTACGTTCTGAAAACCTCCCTAATTATATTCTCTGTGGAAAAAAATGTTTCTGAAATTTTCCAGCAATAGCGCTGTTTTGTTCTCTACTGATAAAATTTAATGGGAGCGGAAATTTTGAAGCACAGCAAAGGAGATACATTCTGCATTTCTGCAGTTTCACCATTGCTATGTCCTATGACTCATAAGAGAGTATGAAGATACTTCTAAATTGACTTTTGCCAATTATTGCAATATTCCTTACTTTTATTTCTTAAGTACTTTAAGATGGAAGTCATTCCCTTGGTTGCATTTTTACTGACGATTTGCTTGTTGTTTTTGAGAAAAGTATTTTTTTAATTTCATACCTGCTGTCTTGTCTACCTTGTTGTCTGAGTGTTAAAAAGAGCACTACACAGTGCCACCTTAAATTTTTCAGTAAGGGTTGGTGTTTCAAAAATTTCTGCAGCCATACCAAACTCAATATATGAGGGGAACCCACCCTAAGAGGGCCGTTGAAGAAAAGGGCAAGGCTCTGTAATCTGATAAAGCCTTTTGATGGCAAGTGTCTTTTATTATTTCAAAAATGAAATTCAAACAATAAATAAGAAATTTTGCATTAAAGGCAGGTTGATACTCTTTTTCAACACAAAGTTTTCACTGATCTAAGTTTACATCTATCATGTGCTTCTTGTTCACAGAATGTAAAATAATTATACAACAATTGAAGGTATTTTTGCTAACAAGAACTACTTATGTTGGACATAAATCTTATGCACACAGTCCTTAGTTTTTGAAGTGATTCGTTAATAAGTAAGGCACTAAGCACTTGCAAACTTTACTGGCGATTTTGTCAAATTTCCTGTTCGCGTCCTTAAACTTCGAATAGCTGTTAAAGGGTCAATTTTTGTAATGTCATAATGGTTCTTTGCGCCGTGTGATACCGAGCTAACTCTTCTGAGCTGTGAAGGAGTCATCTCCTTCCCCTCCCTCCTTAAGACACATTTTACCCAGTTAAGTTGCAATTAATGAACTTCAATGTTTGAAATTTGCGAGCAGTTTTAATGAGTCTCTTTGGGTTAGTTTCCCATTTCAAGATTAAAGGTAGCAGGAACTTATATGCTCAAAAACAATGTTTTTTAGTTTCATCATCAACAAATAAAAGTTGAAAACGTCAAAGCTAATTTTCCAGAACCTCTAATGTGACAAACTATTTGCAGGGGTCATTGAAGACCACTGGCAGAGTGATTGTACGCCAGGAAAATTCCCTTCATATTAATTTTTTTAAGAATTGAAATGGGGCCCATGTTAAAGGGAAATGTTTGGTTAATTAGAATGTGCCAAACTTAAAATGAACATACAACGTTTATTAAAAAATCAAATTCAATTTTATTTTGTAAAAAAATTAGAGGTAACAACGTAAAAAAAAAATAAGAGGGAGGAAATCTCAGCTGCAGTTAAACTCATTTGAAAAGCACCATTAATAATCACATGAGCAGTCTGAGTCGGAGTCATCTGCCCACCGGCTTGGTCGTTTATCAAAATCAAAAAAATCGTTTGATACTACAAAGTGCACGCACTGGAGGATCACATTCCTTTCATGCCGAATTTCCTTACTCAACAGCTGAAAAAAGATTTGTGTAAAGAATTACTCATTACAAGGAGTTAAAATGAAAAAAAGGTAAAAAAACATCGGCCTAAGATTTGTTTTTTAAAAGTGTTATTCTGTGTTATAAATTTACAAAAAATTTTATGTAAACTTGTTTTTGATTAAATTTGTTAATTTTTATTTCAATAAAATGTAAAACTGACTGCTGGTCTAGTTCATTTTTACCAGCTTTCTTCCCACTTCCACCGTCAAAAAATTGAAGGTTGAGGCTGGAATACAGACATTTGGAAAGCAAAAACCCTCATCATAAGATCACTATTCAGAGATCTGAAGCAAAGACAGGAGTTCTTGTCCGGTTCTGTTAACTTTGGAAGACACTGGTACCAAGTTTCAGAAAACTGGAAGGGGGATAGTGAAACTTTTGACAATATGATAATCCTATTGAACAAAACCCCGTTATTTGAAACATAGAGTTAGGAGTAACTATAAAAGCTTATTTGATTCGTGGTACAATTTGGTTACCTTTAAAGCCTACATATTACGTGAAAATTCTTTCCAAATTTGTTCAAAAAATTTAATTGAGTGGTTAAAAATGCAAAGTCCTTTCCGTACTTTTCCCTCTAAAAATGAGCAGTTCACGATCCAATGAGAGACAGCCTAAAGGGAAATCATGGGCTAGAATATGAAGCAGGATGAAGCCTCTTTTGACGCCCTTTTTAGATCCAGGGGCCTTTCGACAGGTAATATCGACAGTGAAACTACAAGACTATGCATCTTGCTTACGGTGTTTAAAAATGTCCTCTCTCATTATATTTTTACGAGGTTGGTTAACGAAGTTGGTAGTTTCATCAAGTAATCAGAGCCCAAAGGCCTGGTTACAGGACTGTTGATGGGTTTCACTCTCAACTAGAATCGTCAATGGGTTCCATAACGTGATCCGGAGCGCGTTTACGATATCGTAAACTGTTGGCAAAAATTAAATTACACTTAATTACCGCCGATTTGGTAGGAAAGGCTAGGCCACGCCCATTTAAAAGCAACCGGAGAATGGAAATTTGTTTAGATGATGTATTTTGTAATCTGTTTACGGATTTCATCAGCAGTTTGACAAACGAAAATTCACTTTTTTTACAGATAAATTAAAAATATACATTTTTCAATTACAGCAGCAAGAACAGTAGGTGATGGGAAAGAAAAGAGAGTGCAAAATTAATAAATACATAACAGCAGAGAAATAGAAAAAAGAGAGGATAAGAAAAAAGTTTTTGGCTGAAGTAAAGTCAGGAGAGAGGGACAAATTGTAAAGGAAGCATAAAAATTATGTTCAGCCGCAATTTTGAACCACTACAAGCCAGAGTGGACTAACTGATGCTGGGTATAGGCATGCAACATGTTAAATCCTTAGTTTGAAAAATTCAAGTAAAATTTTACCTTTTCTAGAAGTGTCAATTTCTTTTTCTTAAAACAATTGTCTTTCTTCACTGAATCTTCAGTTGTGTCTTTCTGTTTGTCACCACTATTTCGATGCCGATGTCGCTTTCTAGACTTAGAATTGATTACCCCTGTGTCAACTTCAGAGGAATTTTTAGTCTCTACAGGGTCGCTGACAACTAGGTCTGATGATACAGCTGGATGATTTTCAGTAGTTTTTACTATGGAACATTCTTCGGGTTCTGAGTCATCGGTTTCGTTGGTACCAACATCATAAGGCACTAACTTCATTTTAACATCAGAGGATGAGTCAGAATCATTAGAACTTCGTTTTGGAGCTACTTTAATCTCTTCTTTCACATCTGAGGTAACATTTTTACTGTCATTGCTAATTGTTGGAGTGGAATCGGTTTCAGAATTGAAAACATGTTCCACATTTGCGACTTCTTCACTTTCACTGAAAGATTCATCTTTTGGGTTATTCTTCAGTTCGTCAACACCTGCAACAAAGGACATAAACATTAATTCAAAATTGTAAAAAATAATAAAATCCGCAAAAAACGTGATTAACAATGACATGAAAGATATTTTTAAGAATGAAATCCTGACCTAAATATCATTCATGATCATGCATGTGTGGCAGCAGCTAAGAAACATCTGAATTTATATCAAAGACATTCAATCGCAGGGACCAACATACTGGTTAAATCATGACAAATTACCCCTTCTCTGATGTGAGAGCGTATCTTCATTTACGAGTGAGCCCTTCAACGGATAGAGTTATTTAGACTATCAGGCTCAAATAAAAAAGTAGTTACACTCTTATGCTAAAAGAGCGACACAATGATGGCTTAAAATACAAACTTTAATCCCCCTCTTCCCTTACAAGAAGACACCACTGTACAGCTGGTGCAACCAAGGAGCACAGGAAGGCCCATTATTTACTTTTCTCTGCTATAAAAGTTGGTTAAAGCAAGAAGGTGCAAGGTCATGGGAGACACATGTGCTCATTATCAATAACAGCCATCCAAGCCTAGATGATCAAGACCGCTTATGTTAATGAAGAAAAAAATCTCTGATCTGCCTGCAAGTTAGAAATGCTGGCATGAAGCGTACCTAAAAACTGAAACAGGGGCCCTGAAATGCTTGAAAGTGGACATGATGGCGAGAGCGCAGCTTCATCGAGCACATGATACAAAAATGCAGCTGATGATGCCACGAAAGGCCTTCAATATATTTCTAAAAGGTTTCAAGATTTTAAATAACTAGCCGATCTCATACTTAATTACATTTTTCAAATGAGCAGAGAAATATGGAGATTTATGGCTCTTTTATGATGCTTGCGAAGATCCTTTTGCCTTGTTCTTATATGAAGGGAGTGGGGAAGGGAGAAGGGTCGTGATACTCCCTTTAACTGTAAAAAAACGAGAGCTAAGAGTACTCTGATGGATACTGAAGCATTGATACATACCACAATTGGAGCTGGAAACTGGCGAAGAGTGAACAATATCCTCGCTAATGCTGGCATCAGGGTCAGTGTGAGAAGAAGTACTTTCTAATTGGTTCAGGTTTTCAGGAGTTTCTATCTTGCTTTCAACTACGTCTATGGTTGACAAACATGGAAGACCTGCATACAATAAAGTTCAGGTAAATTTTATGGGATTCTTTTTTATGAATTCTTTCATATCAATGGCTAAGGAACAATACCGTTTATCTGTAAACTGACGATTTTGCAGGGCTAAGAAAACTTTCGCCATTTTTGTACTTTTGAGGTTAAATTTGCAATTTTTTTACACATTACAGCATCATTACAACGCTCTCATGCAGAATGAGAAAAACTAAAAACACCAGCAAACTTTTTTTGTACTGTCAAATGCGGAAAAGTTGCTGACTCATTATTGCCAAAATTATCAGTTTGTTCCTTAGTTCTCGATATTTAAATTTAAATGAAAATACGTGGGATTAGATGAACTGATTTTTCGTTGCAACTAATCATATTCCACTCTAAAAATCCAATTATAGTCTTCACAGTACTATGTAAATAAAAGGAAAAAAAAATGGGTTGGGAGAAAAAATAATACATTTTGTTGTCTTGAAATTTAAAAATAAGGAGCAAATTTTCCTCATGGCATTCTGATGAACTATAAAGATTTTTTTCTGTTTTTCTGATCAAAAGGAATTGATTCCGCATCGAAAGATAGAATACAGAAATCAATTGAGTATCAAATAACGACGCATATGTGCTTCCATTAACGTTTTGGCTTTAGGATGCTCTAAACTATGTCGTTTCATACTAACTGGGATTGAGAGCCCCTTTTTCACCACTCAAGTCAGGTTTCAGGATCAAACAGTGGAAGAGGAGCTTACATGCATTAGAGCCACTCAAATGTGTATCAGGGTTTGAGGGCACTGGCATTCTTTTTCATAAAATCACTTAAGAACTGGCTTTTCGATTAACATGCATCATTTTCATAGGATAAAAATCGACCAAGTTACTATCATAACGATGATTCACAGTGAGGTCTAAAGGAGAAAGAAGGTGCTAATACCCCTAATGAAATCATTTAACATGGATTGTATAAAGATTCTATATATATTTGCACACACTAACCATTTGCAACTGATTAGTTCTTTATATTTCAACCAATAATATAGCTTGGCAGAAGAAGGGCCTAATAGGTAATGGTATAAAGTCAATTAGTTATGGTAAAAACCTAAAATTTATTTAATATCCATCCAGCATCCGTCAATAAAAACATTAGGCAACATAAAAACTTGGATTATCGCATGGTGAGGAGGCAATATTGTAGAGATTCACATCCAACCCGCACCACTTTTCCAAATTTACTTGGCAGAGGATTGCAGTGCGGGTTGCACATGAGAATTTGCTTGTTGCAAAACATTAACAAGAGTTTTATATAATTAGAAACGTGAGTTTTTCCCACAGTAGACGAAAAACGGGATGTAAGTTTCCTACAGGGGCCTACGATAAATCTAAAAGAAAACGTTTTGTTTAATTTTTCAAACAGAGTTTCTTCAAGAGGTCTTTCTCTTGCGCATCCAGGGAAGTATCATACTGCATCATCTCGAGCTGATTTTAAAAAGTGTGGCAAGTCAGCAAGAACAATTAGGACATAGCAATTTAACAAACTTGGCCAAAACTTGTTGAAAATTAAATTCTGTATCGAATTAAGCGCAAAGTGTCCCCTTCCAAGTGATCAATGTTTTGCCCTTCAAAACTAGTTTTTGGGGGAATCAACCCAGATGGAATAAAAGCAGATGTATTTTCAGGCCTTGTGAATGTTTTAAATAGTCACCTTCTCGCCAAAATATCCAATTATAATAAGAATAATAATAATAATATAAATAAACGTAGCAATGAATTTTAAGAGTACAAACAAATTGTTACCTTGGAAGGGTGGTAAATTCCCATTCCAATCCTTTTTCGGGTCATTATCATCTTCATCAAAAGTTACTTGATTTTTCTTCGGTGTAGGTTTATTTTCTGAGGATGCTTCACCACTCCGTCCAAAACGTTTGTCTCGCCAGTTTGGCTTGTGCGACCGCTGCTCACCTATAAAAATAAGAGGAAGATAATAAAATTAGGGGCCCCTTCAGAGAAAAGTCTCATGGTATCCTTAACTTTAAAATTAATGGAATAGTTGATTTGAGCTGTCTATTTTCTCACAAATTTCGACTTTTAATTTGATTAGATTATCTTTGAAGAAGGAAAATCAAGTTATTACTCAGCATCCTGTTCAAATTATTTTAGTGACACCTAGAAACAGAGCAATTCAAATTTCCTGCGAGAAAACAGGAATAAGCGACATATTGTTTAAAAGTTCTGTAGATGAAATAGTAAATTTTTTATAAATTGAAAGAAATTTACAGAGGCTTTCAAAGCTTCGCGATCTTTTTGGTGAAAAACAAAATAAACACATAAATCATGAAAGAAAAGCAACATCATTGTGAATGCAGAGCAGTTGTTTCTCGATAAATCTACTCACTTGTGGTGAATGCAGTTGAATCTAGGGGACTCAAAACGTCGGTAATGTGCAAAAAAAAAAAAAAAATTTAAGGTGATTAAATTTGATTATTTAAATTTTATTTTTTATTTATATTTTGCCCGAAATCTGGGGACTTGAAAACGTAATATTGAACTAATTTTGAACTTATCAAGATAATGTTGAGGGAAAGTTAGGGGAAATTGGCTTAGTATTTTGCAAAAAATCATGACTTTCGAACTGACATATTTGGGGGTCCGAACCCCCTCCCCCCCTTAAAATTAGTTTGAAGTGATTTCTGTGATTTTTACTTAAAAGTGCTTACAATTTGGAACATTTTCCAGTTTTATTTTCTTCACTGCAATGATTGGAACCGGCGTTATAATTTCTGGAAAATAGGTCAAATTTGGCCTTTGACTTAACATAACTCAGATACTGATCTGCGGTTGGCGCAAAAATGCTTGGTTTTTAATTCTTTCCGATGATTTATCACAAGGTAGGGGTTATCATTTGAAAAAAAGTTGGGAGCCCTCTCTCGCCCCCCCCCCTTAGGGAGGGGCAAAAATGCTGCCCCCCCCCCCTAGAAGACGGTCCCCTTTGAGATAGAAACATTCCCAAAGTTTCATCTTTTATCTCCAACGGTTCAAAAGTTAGAGGAGGGGAGTGGGACTTTTGGGACCCTGTAGATTTACTTCCTCAGTATGATGAATGGAGGCCATTCTTTAGTGGTTGTTACAGTAGCCTCAACATTCCACAGTAAATTTGATGCCTGATTCTGTGATTTAGATTATACAGCTGACCATATTGGTATGAGTGGCGGTAGCCACATCCAGGCAAGTCACCTATCCTCCAACAATTGGCAACACAGCACAGCTTGGCTGAGGCACCGACATATCATAAACAGACAACTGCCAATAAAGATCAAAGATAGCAGAGGTTAAAAAACTGCTAACTCCCATACAAAGACATAAAGACGGAGCGCTAAAAGCAAAAAATGAAGCTTCTTTTCAATCACCTCTACTATTGGCTAGAGGATTGGCGGCGAAATCGGGACAAGTTTGAAATTCAAAAGTAGGACAGGAACTAAATAAAATTGCGGAAACAAAGTATTTTAGGTTGATTTTTGCCTAAATTCACTTACACACCCATATTTTTATAACTTTAGATTAGTTTTGGTCCGTCGTCGACCGATTAATTTCATTTGGGAGTAACGGGCATCTACGACTGTAACGGCCTGTTTGAACCGGCAGAACCACTATGAGTAGAAGAGAAACTAATTTTATCTGAGATTACTGCCTGTTACCGAGCAAAAGTAGTTGTATTATAATAGGACGCAGTCCCAACTTTCTTAATTTATTCATTTTAGGCATTTAAAATACGTTTCGAAGAAGAGATGTGGAAAAATCAAGAGGACAAGTTCAAATCAAATTTCCGTTTGCCACCATGGATTCCCGCGCTCATTTACACACTCACACAAGCACCCAGCGCCAAGCCAGGCTTCACTTTTTCCCCGTGCTTTTAGATACGAGCACTCCGTCTTTACGTCTTTGCTCCCATACGATATAATTTTTTGGACCTTCAGTTTTCTTTGTCATGATGCTTACAGTAAGACTCACCTCTTTTGGGTCGATTATGCCTGTCAGTTTTACTTTCTTCAACTCGTTCTCCACGTTCTATCATTTCTTCTTTTTTTGCTTTCCGCATGGCAACATTAGCGTCTGTTGGGTAACGACTAAACAAGGAAAATAAATTAGTTCCTACATTTGAGAAAAGAAGCTTTCCTCATATCTATGAGCTTTTAAAGTCATCAAGGCATCTGCCATGATGACTGTAAAATTCTACCAACAGTCATAATACTTACAAGAAGCTAGTATAGACTGTTTCAGTTGTGATATCACAAGGAGGTGACAAAGCAATCAAATAGCATCAGAGAGTACAAAATTAAAATTTGAGATTTCGACAGAAAATGCTCTCGTACAAAGGCAGTGACGTATATTTTTGGTCGACAGGAGGCATGAAGTTACATTAATATCTACAAATTTCAAACCATGAACATAGCACATTAAAATTTTAGACAGTTATTCTGAAAGGTACGTCTTTCGACCTTCAAATTACAAACTTCCGGAGCTTGGGTTCGGTTTAACATTTAGGGGAGTTTCAAAATGTTTGCAGAGCAAATCTCTAGGCATTTATTTTTAAGTTTTTGTCCTCTTTCTGCAGGCAGGCACGATTAGAATAAATTGACTTAAAAGCCAATTAGCTGTTTGGTTTATATAACTTCTAAGAGGTAATGAAAACAGCAAATGAAATATTTTGTTTGAATTTTCTTTGATATTCAGACTGCTAATTTTGCTTAGCTGAAGCAATCTACAGCAATCTAACTCTTGGTAAAGAGAGATAAAAAATGAATATAACAAAATAGAATCGATGAGCGTTAATAATGAAGTTAAAACTTGTCGTTCATAAAAAAAGGGACTTTAATCAATGAAAATTTATAATTCAGTTTGATAGAAAGTAAGATATAAAAATGATCAAAGAATTCTGGAGATGAACCCGATAGATATAGAATTTTTATGAGCAACATTCATTTTAATATGCAATTCATTCAAGAATGTGTTAGTATTTCCTAAAAGCTTTTTTTAGTTATTTTTCTTACATCTGGTTCTCTTGTAGTATTATAATTGTAATGGAACAGGTTGCTTCATTGTAATTCATTTTCTTTTGTGTCTTGGATTTTTATCTGTTTATTAATTAATGTACAGTATTCAGCTTTTAGGCAGACAATTCAGAGCGCATTTTATGCCATATTATTCAACTGATGAGGAACCTTTAATCTTAAGGTGAAAACTGAACTACTTTGACTTTTGACCATATGAATAATGTTGAAGAACAGGGTAATTACCTTTTGCGCTCAGCAATCCACTTTTCAATATCTTCAGGGGATTGGACATTAGCAATTTTCTTGTAAATTCCTGTAAAATGGTGGAACTGTACATGTAAGGCAACGATCTTTGGATGAGCGGTAAAGGTGCATCCCTCTCTTCCGCAAACTTCATGTTCCGAGATGTGTTCTTGTAATGCCTCCGCAGTTTTCCAAGATCGATTGCATGCTTCACAGTAAAAAGGATCATTCTCCTGAAATAAGTAGCAAAACTACATTAAAAAGGCTGTTAAAACACGGAACACACACTTAAAAAATAGAAATCTTAAAATTAAAAAGAAAAAAACAAAAGAATTAAAGAATTACAACTGATAAAATTAACTTAAGAAGGACGGAAAAAGGGGCAGGGGTTGAGCAGATAGGATGAAAGATTGGTAGCAAATGCGGTTGGTCACAAGAGGTTTATTACGATAGCTTTCATCCTCATTTTAACCAACAGTGCTATCATCTTTCACATCAAATTAAGACTGAAGTAAAACCAGGTAACTGTAAGATAGAATTTAACGATAGGGATATGATGGGGTTTTTTTTCTTTTCTTTGTTCTATTACTACGAGCAGTAGCATGAAAATATCATGGGTACATAATACTGATATCATATTAAAGTTAAATACTTTCATACTTCAAGATTTATAGGGTCAACGCCCTAAAATTGGCACGTATAAAACAAAAAAAAAGGACTACCAGAGATAAAGGGAGAAAAATAATAAAAACTAACCAAAAAAAAACAAAGAGACAAAGCAGAATCGATGGCACACGAAGGTACAGAAAGCTAAAATCATAAAAATACTTATGAGTTCTTCGATTAGCATTCAGTATACTGAAATAGGAGGAAGGAAGAAGAGGGAAAAATATAATACAATGAATCTGAGACATGAGTGTTTTTTTGTTTTCCAGTACTCAAGAACAGCTGAATACTATAAATTATAGCCATGATCAGTAGAAGAAAGAATGTTTCTTTGGAAAAGAAAAGTGGATCAGCCGTCATTGACTCAAGAAAAATTGAAAAGCAAAATATAAAAGGGCCAATGACACTTACAGCGGAAAAAAGCAAAAATTCAGTGACCACATAAGATCTTCATTTTAAATGAGATTAAAGTTCATTAAAAAGAATGAAAAAAAGAAAGGGGATGGAGAGTAATGTATGAGAAACTTTTACGTAAACTTACGCCATGAGTGAATGCTTCAAACTTATCTCCATGAATAAATGAAGCCAAAAAAGTTCTCCTTAAGATAGGCAGCAAGAGTTAATCTAATAGGATTCATCATCCATCCAACATCTTTCGATGTGCTTGTTCTAATCGGTTGATTTCTTTTTCTCCTTTTTTCCCCCGTTTCATTATCAATTAATTTTTTTTTCAGAAGTTGTTCCATCCGATGCAAAACTCTATGAAACTTTATAGGCGAGTGAACTTTGCCACTGGACTTACATTTCAAAATTTATAAAACGTGCATATGAAAAGGAGGCATTTGATAGTAATTACTAGTAGTATAAGTAAAAACATTGGTACAAAAACTGACATTGAAGCTTGACCTGAAATTACTTTGATTACAAATGCACTTTTTTCATTTAAAAATTATTTAACAACAGGGAAAAATCAAGTTCTGTACACTTTCACCACTCAGAAGTAGAATACTTGAAAACTTAGAGGATCAATCTTAAAAATGGAAAATTCAAGATGATTATTAAATTTGAAAAATTTGAAGCGAACTGGAAAGATGGCAGGTCTGCTTACAAGGAGAACTAAAACAAAATTTGCACGTTTTAAATTAAATGAAAAATGATTTTCTAAAATGGTAAAAAACCATCCAAGGGGGGTTTCATATCACAGAGGTTGCCATGAAAATTTAGACATAAGAGACCAACACTCACAGATTAATAATATAAAAGATATTATTTTCCAATTCCAGCGATGGGGAGAAAAGAGTGAAAGAATCACGAGTTTGAACTTCTAAAAACAACATCTTAGGCCCAATATAAAATGCATGTTTATTGTTCTGGATATTAATAGTGGCATGGTTTGATGGAGATTGCAACAAGAAAATATTCTGTGTAGGTTTTAAAAGCAAGTTACTTTGGGATGCGTACAAGTAAACAGTCTTTAGAGAAACAAAATGATCGTCAAGGCATCTCCTCATGGAAAAAAATTGTCCTCATAAAAGTACTACTTTGACAATATTTAGGTCATACTAAATTGGAAATTTAATGATGAAAATCTGTAATGATGCAACAGAGCAAAAACAGAGAAACACTAATTTTGAATAAAAATTAAGTTAGATTTTTCCAATTGAGAGGAAATCATGATATGTAAAAATTAGAGGAACATTTTATGATTTCCTTCGAATTTCTGATGTGTGGCATAAAATTAGCAAGAGGCATCATGGTAAAATGGGTCTAGGTAAGAGCAAGTTAGGCAAGATGAGGAAATGGTTACGTAAGGTTTCCGCATGGTAAATGGGCTTATAGGAGATATAATTGGAGAGCTATTGTAAGGTCAATGCTCAGCAGAAGCAAAGAAATAATCTAATAGGTGCATCCTGAAAGCAGCACGAAAATGTTGAACTTCTTTTCCACTATTATTAAACCTTAAAAAGTCAAATAAATATTTCAGAATCATGAAATACTTGAATTAAATTGGCTACTGATACACTCAAATTATTTCTCCTTTTTATAGATGATAAGTGTATGCAAAATACCTAATGAATGATTTTTTAATGCATAGTTTTTTGTAAAGATGAGAAAACTGTAACGAGCGTTTTAAGTTGTTGCAACTCCAAAATTGAGGATTTAATCTATTTTTTCAAATTTTGATGTAACACTGCTTCTAATTGCGGATGAAGTAGCAAATTCAGTCACATCTTTCAGTACGGTCTGAGCCTACGAATTTAAAGTATCAAAGACGCAATATACTCTCTGTTGACCATTCAAATGCAAATGGTGATAAGACAGGCAATAGAAGAGTCAGGCTGACTAATTAAGTTCAACAGGGCTTGCTCACTCGTTTCAATTCTTTTATTAAACTTTGAAGAATTCAAAGATTTAGAAGAATTTAAGGTATTTCAACATTGTAACTGTTCTAAAGTAACCAAAAATAGAAAAAGAAATTCCTAGGGATGATTCAAAATTTCAGACAATGCTTGTTGACTGTGCTATGACTCGATAAGTCCAACATTTGATACAAATAAATTTGTGCTCAAAATACTAAAATATTCGTTTCTCGGGTCTGAATATTTGGATGTAAAATATGATACTTCCGAGCTTTCGCCTTTATTGGGAGTATTTAGGAGAACTGATGTTCAAAGCATGAAGTTTTTTTTCAGTCAAACACTTTATTTTCATTAAATCATACTTTATAATAATAAATATTTAAACAAATTTTTTACTTAAAACATTGACACCAACAAAGACTAAAACATAATAGTTCAAAAACTTACGATAATAAAATTGAGTTCAAGATTAAATGACTAATTATGTCTGCAGATTGAAGACAATTCAAAATCTAATTAGAGATGTTTAAAACCTTATCTTGTTAGAAACTGACCTATCTGATAGAAAAGATCAAGATAAAGGTACATCTGCATCAAAAACTTGTGCACATTGCTGAGAGGCATTTCTTTCACATGCAAAGCTATTCCAGTAACAGGTGGGGCAAGGGACCCATTAATCTCCATTCATATTCGATCACATCATTTTTAACCACCAATTTGATTTTCATCTGTTGAGCGCCCCTCAATGGATGCAGCAGTAAATCAGATGTGATTGATCTTACTCTAAAGTGCAGTCCAGTGAGATACAAGCACCAAAAGGCAAAAATATTCAGCCAGCAAACCTTATTTTCAGACAACCAGTGCCCCATCGATTCAAGGAATACCTTAATTTTCGGGCTAATACTCTTACTCATAATTGATTTAAAAAGACTTAGCCAGTATTTTAATTAGCATTTGTCCGACGATGGGCCACAAATAATTTGTGAAACCATGCTCAGCCTCCTTTTGGGGACTGATAAATTATAAAATAAAAGAAACAAAGAAGAGCCGAGCTTAGGAAAAGAAATGAAAATCCTACTGAATTCCAAGAAAAACGTATGATTACGAAATCTAAAAATATTCCGAGAGTTTAAAATTAGTTTCCAAAAATATTCAATTAATAGTTTCAAACTGAAAACATACGAAGAAAAGAAAGGGCGACAAGACTATCCTTATTGAAGAACCTACCTTCTTCATCAATGACTTGGATACATGAAAAATGCTTTTTCACAAAAGGCAAAATGTGAGACACACGCTGGCGGTTCTCGTAGTCATTTAAGGGTTTCAACTACCATGGGGATATAATTTCATAATAATTTGGCCTCTTTTGATTGGGGAACAACACTGTGCCTCTGCATGAAGCATGTGCGGGCAACCACTAAACTCTCTTAAAAATATCGAACAAGCACCAATTATTGAGACTCAAAGTTAGAGATTGAAAGAAAATGTTTCAAATGTAAACCATAAAAAACTCAACACTCTCACACACAACTTAAATACACAGCAATGAGTTTTAAACCGAGTGATTTGCAGCTGCACATGTATTGAGTTTATCTACATAAATAGGTACCAATTTAAATGCGGTTCCACTATTTTTTTTAGTTTAATAGCTTAACTGGCTTAGGGGAGAATACATCAGCCATACACTAAGAATTTTGATTTCCCACCATTAGATTATAAAAAAGAAAAATAATCATTCAATACACATTAAAAAGTCTTTGGCTCCAGAAAAAAATCGGAAAATAAGAGAGAGGAAAAAGTAGGACTGACTTATAACTCAAAACTTTATTAAAATCAAGGACCACACACACAATACCAAGAAATTCAACGTTTCCTTAGTTTCGATGTTTTAATGTTCCTTGCAGCCTCCTGAACATGATGAGCCTTTAGTTCAAAGAGTTTACAAAGGAAATGTCAAATCAAATAATATCGAAATTTAGCCAACGCCAAATTCCTCGATATTGCATTTCCAACTTTATGATCTGAAGAGCGAATAACATGAAAATGACTACTTGTTTTTTTCTTAAAACAGCAAAAGGAAAAAATCTCCAATACAACCAAAATGGGTGACCCATATCAGTGAGCCTGAACAAGCATATCACAATCAATAATGATATAAATTAAAGAAAGAGAACTTCAGGATGACTGGAACTTTTAAATGGTCTTTT